CTGTGTCCGCCACGTGTTAGCCGAGATATGTTCGTTTTTCGGTCTTGTTCTGGCCTCTCTGTCGAAGCAGAGTCTTCAATGGCTGCGAATTGGGTAAAAACGGCGGCGGCTTACCTGTGTCTGACTCCGTGTACTCAGCGAAGAGCAGGAGGCAGTGAATGCAAAGTGCTCCGGGGCGGCGGTGTGGGAAGGTGGGCGGCGACGCAGGAGTGGTCGTGGGGTTGTAATAGTAGTAGCGGTACGTTACGTCTAATAAGGACGGGTCGTCTAGAGCTGTCTCTCCGATTCTCCGAGAGCAATAGAGAGTCTATGAAGGACAAGAAAAAAGAAAGAGAAAACGAGAAGACTGCCCTGGCCGAAGAGTCCTTGACGTGAAGTTTGTGGGAGAGGAAGAGAGAGGGAGTGGCAGATGGCAGGTTAAAGAAGAGAGAGCTTGGAGATCAAGGGAAGGTTGGGAGGGTGTGCAGCGGTGGTTATGATGGGCAGGCGAGGCAGTTGAACGGCATCCCTTTCGTTTTGCGTGTGGTCTGGGTCCTGGATATTGGGTCTTGGGACAAGCTGCCCGGGTCACTCACTCTCACTCTCTCTCGCCCTCTCTCAATGGGGACTGGGATGATTGGGGACAGTGGGATTGAGATACATGCATCCCAGGAAAGCAGAGGTACCAGCACTTTGAGGAGGGCGGCGTGGGTGTGGATGTGTTTGATGGGTCCTCACTTGCTGTGAGGCAAGGTAGGTGAGGTCAATACGGCCAACGTAATTGGAGGTTTCGGGTTCCAGTTTTGGAGAAGGTACAAGTGGGAGGTTCGTCGTGAACTCAACGATAAAAAAATAAAAATAAAAAATTTAGGCCGGGCCTTTTCGCACACTCTCCGTCCCGTCTCTGCACTTTTTTTTTTCCTTGGAGTAAGGTGCTGGAATGAATCCAGTTGGCCCGGGCTGACGGAACGTTTCTGTTGTTACCGTTGGCCGATGGTGTTGCTTGTCCCTCACCCCGCCATCTACAGGGAAGGAGTGACTTGACGAGGCGGGCAGAGGATGTACCTTCCTCCCGCGACTTGGTGTCTCCAACACAGCAAGAGCAGCCACTTCTGTTACAAGACGTGCTCTTTCCTCTCATCTGGCGGATCGCAAAAGTGCTGCGTCGTGGTGGTGGTTCCTGCCTACCAGCATCTCCAAGTCTCAAATCTCAATGTCTCGCCAAATTTTTTTAGTTCTGTTGGGGATGGTCGCACACCACACCCACCCCTCGAGCTCCACCATTGACTTCATGCAGCCCGAGTGATCCGCAAGGGTGCCGCGTTGGAGAACGGGCGGCAATGTACCGATACCTTTTGTTGGCGGGAACGCAGCGACGTCGACTTGGCTGGATGGGGCCGGGAACGCTGGCAGCTTTTCCTGAATCCTCCCTATTTTGGGTCTTTTTGGGGACATCGACACTTTTCAGCGAAACCAATCAGTTTTCCGCATCTTTCCCGGATTCTCAACCCTTCAGCCCGCCGCGCCTGGCCGAACGCTTCACCCTTCACGCCTCACGCTTTGCCGTTTGCCGCCAGGACTCGGGACGCACCAATACTCGGCCAAACGGCAGCATCTTTCGGCTCTTCAAAACCAGACCGTTTCGAACCATCTTGCCTCATCTCGATGTCCCGGCCGATAAGATGCCGAGATGCTACCCCGGATGCAGGAAACTGACGATGACAACACTCGACCCGAACATCGCCGGTCTATTTCGGGTCTACACGCCGTCTGCTGTTCTTTCACTCTCGGATGGATTCGCGGGCTGCCTCTCAGCATCATCAACATGTTGGTGTTCTGTCCTTTTCCTACCTGCTCCATCTCTGCCTTGCCGAGCTGGACCCTCGATTGGTACTTCTGGATTTGGAGGGGCCAGGTCCAGATGCTGATGAGCAGAATCCGACCAACCAAAAGTTCCCGATACCTCATGGCCCCCCGTTTCGTTCCCGCAACTCCCTGGCTGTTGGCAGGCGGTCAATGTCGAACAGCGTTGTAACGGATTTTCTGCCGGCTTTCCATCCCCACCGCTTTCACCCCACGCCTGGGGCTGATGCTGGGCAGCTGGGGAGCACGAGAAATGCGCGGGACCCTGAGGACGTGGAAGGATGGAAGGGAGACACCGCCCGGCATGCCCAGGTACAGGTACAGGTACCGGTACCGCCACCGCCCTTTTTGCTCTTTCTTGGCTCCCTGGGGCGGGAGCTATCGCCTGCCATGCCACGCGGACGCTTGTCGGGGAAGAGCAAGCCCCTCAATGGCTGACTTTTTTTTTCCTGGTTCATATCGAGGGGCATCATTCCAGTCAACAGCACAAACCGTGGCGCGCAGGCAAGACATCAAGGCAGCTAATTACTGCATGGACTGATGCGGGAGAAGGCTGGAATTTGAAAATCTGCAAAATCTGCACAATGTCCCAGAACGAGAGCCAATAATTGGTTTCCCTGACAATGCCTCGGAGGCGTCGAAGAAACTTGGAGGTGGCCAGAAACAAGCGGCGATCCCGCTGCGACTCCTGCGCATCGCAATTGTTCCTCGACTGATGAGTTTCCCTCAAATCCAGATGATGGAGTCGACTGGAGTTCCCGTCTCTAACCACAAAGTCTCTAGGCTTGTCCAATGTCCTTTGCAGAAGCGGAGCAACCCATCGCGACTCGCCGAAAGGTCAGCAGTGGCTAGACCGGATGATATTGTGAACATTCGCATAGTAATCAGCACGGCCAAAGTCAGCTCCCTCCCAAACGGATTTCAGGGCTGGAGCTGAGACGCTCCCCCAAGAAGCTTGGGTCAAGTCACGTCGCTCTTGGAGGTATCGCTACATGCCCAACTCTGGCGGGTTCCTGGAGCAGCGACCACATTTTGCCCCTCCACATCCCTCCATTTCCCATCTTCCCCCCTTCAGATTCTGCGAGTTCGAATTCGGTAAATCTGTTGCTGAGGACTCGACGTCGCGGCTGTTGCTTTCCGGGTCCCCGTTTGTTGACGGGCCAGGCTGCTATCATGACACCACTTTCCCACAACTCGTATTATTGAGCCACGAACACGTATCGACCATCACTAATCCGCCGATGACGCCAGCAACAGAGTTCCTTGGAGGCGAGCCTCGTTCAACAGCCTTCCCGCCAAGCTCCAACAAGCTCCAAAACTATACTTGGTTGAATGTCGCAACATTGAAGAGTTGGCCAACAGGAACGCCGCGATAAGACGCCGGCCGATAGGAACCCGAACAGAGTTGAGGGTCGTCGGAACGGGTACATCCAGCTGGTCCTGGAGCTACATTGCCATTGTACCCAGGGAGCTTAATGACAAGGCCAAGCTTGGTGTAGTCTAAGACACAGAGCCTCGCGCCGGTCTAACGCTTCCTACGTGCGCTACTCGACGTCGAGGGGCAGGTACGGCGCCACTAGACCGAATTCAACATTCCGACAGCTCGGGAGAAGGACGCGAGGGAAAGTGGCAGACACGGCGAGCTCAGACAAGACGCGCCACGAAGCTATCCGTCTTACCATCTTGATATCTCGGGGTAAGATATCTACATACGTTTTGAAGCTGTCTCGCTCTGCCTCATGACATGGCATCAAGCGGCAGGCTGGACAGAAACGGAAGACAGAAGAAAGCAAAGGGATCACGCACGGAAGGAGATACTTTCTGGCAGCTTGTCAATATTGGCTACTGCTGTAAGCCATCTGATGCATGCAGCATGATGATGATAATGCACCTGACAGCTTGAAGCTCTCCGCACAGATCCAGCACTGACTCCAGTCTGGGCTGATGACCAGAATGCTTGGCCAGAATCTTTCATGCCATCGTAGCCTCTTCGAAATCAGCGCGACTTACATCACGATGAATACTAATCTCATCCCATTGCCGCAGTTATTATCCAATCTCTCCGACGGACGTGATGGTGTTGAAGCGCCAGACGTCAAGGCAAGCAAGCAGTGACGACGTCCAATATCCCTCCCTGGCGTCCCTCAAAAATGCTCCACCGTCCCACCCTGCATTCCCCCAATGAAATGGTTTTGTGGGGAAGGGCCCCCTGATCGTCCCATGCTCGATTCGGTTAAGCGTCTGAATATGGTTGAGGAGCTCTGGTACCGGTGCCGTCTGGCGCCGCGGCGACTGCAGGAGAGCAGCTTCCCACCTGCATGGGGGGAAGAAGAGACCGCCGGGAAGTCCATCGTGAAGTGAAGCATGGCAAGGGATCCACTTCTTTTTTTCCCTCCCTCCTTCTTCCCTCGCAAGAAAAAAAAAACACCGAGAGAAACAGAAACAGCCAGTCGAATGTCTCTTCGCGCCCAAGTATGGGTACCCTGTGTACAGTACATGGAGATGACGGCAAGTAGCGGTACCTCTGGCCAACCTCACACTCCAATCCAGTACAATCCAATCCAATCCATCCTCCTTTCTCACGTCCACACCCTTCACCACCGCTTCCTTGAGCCGGTGGGGGCCTTCGCCTGGTTCAACAATCGTCTTTTTCCTGCTGGTCCCAGCACATCCAATCCCTCCCTTTCCAGTTGGTGTCTCTTCAAAGTCCCCCCAAGAAAGTCAATCAAGTGCCAGTGACCCGATATCGAGGGGCCAGAGCCACCATCTCGACCTTGACTTTCATTTTCCATCATATCCAAACCTCTTCCCTTCATCCGTGGCTCTGCCAGTTCCATTTCCTCCCACTTCTTCATCTCCCTCGCTCGCCTCCCCCAGATTGTTCCTCCCTCTCTCTGGCGCGGACTTAATCTCCCTTGAACAGCCCACCCACCGACTGTCCAGAAAAAAAGTCTTGCGAGCTTGTTTGCCCTGCTTCTCTCATATACCCACGCAGGCAACACCAACAAGACGTCTCTTAGGAATCCGACCTCCCACGGCTCCAACGAGACTATTTCCAACAAAAACGTCACTTCGTCGACGACGACTTTAATCTCAATTCCCCGGTTCTCCTCCCAGCTCCGTGTAATTGAGCTTCCAGCTCCTCCCAGCTGCCCAACATGCGTCCCGAAGTCGAGCAAGAGCTTGCCCACACCCTCCTCGTGGAGCTCCTTGCCTACCAGTTCGCCTCTCCCGTCAGGTGGATTGAGACCCAAGATGTTTTCCTCGCCGAGAAGACCGCCGAGAGGGTGGTCGAAATCGGTCCCGCTGATACCCTCGGTGTGATGGCCAAGCGCACCCTCGCCTCCAAGTACGAAGCCTACGATGCCGCCAAGTCCGTCCAGCGTCAGATTCTTTGCTACAACAAGGACGCAAAGGAGATCTACTACGAGGCCGACCCTATCGAGGAGGAACCCGAGCCGGCTGCCGCCTCTTCGAGCGCCCCCGCCGCCGCTCCCACCGCTGCTGCTCCCGCGGCTGCTGCTGCCCCTGCCGCCGCTGCTGCTGCGCCCAGCGCCGGTCCCGCTGCTGCGGTTGCCGATGCCCCCGTCCAGGCCATCGACATTCTGCGATCTCTGATCGCTCAGAAGCTCAAGAAGCCCCTCGCTGAGGTGCCTCTGAGCAAGGCCATCAAGGACCTTGTTGGCGGTAAGTAGCAAATTTTCGAGAAAACCATGCAAAAACGTGTGCTAATAGCTTCAATCCAGGCAAGTCCACCCTCCAAAACGAAATCCTCGGTGACCTTGGCAAGGAGTTCGGATCGACACCCGAGAAGCCTGAAGATACCCCTCTTGACGAGCTTGGTGCCTCGATGCAGGCTACCTTTGACGGCCAGCTCGGCAAGCAGTCCCAGGCTCTTATTGCCCGTTTGATCTCCTCCAAGATGCCCGGTGGCTTCAACATTACCGCTGCGAGAAAATACCTCGAGACAAGATGGGGTCTGGGTGCTGGAAGACAGGACGGCACTCTGCTGCTGGCCATCACAATGGAGCCCGCCGCTCGTCTCGGCTCCGAGGCTGATGCCAAGGCTTTCCTCGACGATGTCACCAACAAGTACGCCACCAGCGCTGGTATCAGCCTGACCACAGCTGCCGCTGCTCCGACCGGCGGCTCTGGCGGTGGCATGATGATGGACCCTGCCGCCATCGACGCTCTGACCAAGGACCAGCGTGCTCTGTTCAAGCAGCAGTTGGAGCTCCTCGCCAGATACCTCAAGCTGGACCTCCGTGCCGGCGACAAGGCTTACATCAACTCGCAAGAGTCAGAGAAGCTTCTGCAGGCCCAGCTGGACCTGTGGACGGCCGAGCACGGCGAGTTCTACGCTGCCGGTATTGCTCCCGTCTTCAGCTCTCTGAAGGCTCGTTCCTACGATTCTTCCTGGAACTGGGCTCGCCAGGATGCTCTTACCATGTACTACGACATCATCTTCGGCCGCCTCAAGGCTGTCGACCGTGAGATTGTCAGCCAGTGCCTCCGCATCATGAACCGCGCCAACCCCACCCTCGTCGAGTTCATGCAGTACCACATTGACAACTGCCCTGCCGAGCGCGGCGAGACTTACAAGCTCGCCAAGGAGCTCGGTGAGCAGCTCATCGAGAACTGCAAGGAGGTCCTCACCGCCAACCCCGTCTACAAGGACGTCGCTGTCCCCACTGGGCCCCAGACCACCGTCGATGCCCGTGGTAACCTCCACTATGAGGAGGTCCCCCGCGCCAGCTGCCGCAAGCTGGAGCACTACGTCCAGCAGATGGCTGAGGGTGGCAAGATCTCCGAGTACGGCAACCGCACCAAGGTTCAGAACGACCTTCGCCGCATCTACAAGCTCATCAAGGAGCAGCATAAGGTGTCCAAGTCCTCTCAGCTTGAGATTAAGAACCTGTACGGTGATGTCCTGCGTTCTCTGGCCATGAACGAGAACCAGATCATTCCCGACGACAGCCCCTCCAAGAAGGACAAGCCCGCTACTGGCCCCAAGGGCAAGGTCGAGACCATCCCCTTCTTGCACCTCAAGCGCAAGAGCCTCCACGGCTGGGACTACAGCAAGAAGCTCACCGGCCACTACCTGCAGTCTCTTGAGGAGGCTGCCAAGGACGGTGTCAGCTTTGCCGGCAAGCACGCTCTCATGACCGGTGCCGGTGCCGGTTCCATCGGTGCTGAGGTCCTCCAGGGTCTCATCAGCGGTGGTGCCAAGGTTGTCGTCACGACGTCTCGCTTCTCTCGTGAGGTCACCGAGTACTACCAGTCCATGTACACTCGTTTCGGTGCCCGCGGCTCCCAGCTTGTCGTTGTTCCCTTCAACCAGGGTAGCAAGCAGGATTGCGAGGCTCTCATTGAGTACATCTACGACACCAAGAACGGTCTCGGCTGGGATCTCGACTTCATCGTGCCGTTCGCCGCCATCCCTGAGAACGGTCGCCAGATTGACAGCATCGACTCCCGCTCTGAGCTTGCTCACCGCATCATGTTGACCAACCTTCTCCGCATTCTCGGCAGCGTCAAGACCCAGAAGAACGAGCGCGGCTACGAGACTCGTCCCGCTCAGGTCGTCCTGCCCCTCTCCCCCAACCACGGTACCTTCGGTAACGATGGTCTGTACTCCGAGTCCAAGCTCGCCTTGGAGACTCTGTTCAACAGATGGCACTCTGAGGACTGGGGTCACTACCTCACCATTTGCGGTGCCGTCATTGGCTGGACCCGTGGTACTGGTCTCATGAGCGGCAACAACATCGTTGCTGAGGGTGTTGAGGCTTTCGGCGTCCGCACCTTCTCCCAGCAGGAGATGGCCTTCAACCTGCTCGGTCTCATGTCCCCCGCCATTGTTGACCTCTGCCAGAGCGAGCCCGTCTTTGCCGATCTCAACGGTGGTCTCCAGTTCATCCCTGACCTCAACCAGACGATGACCAAGCTCCGCAAGGACATCATGGAGACCAGCGAGGTCCGCCGCGCTGTCACCAAGGAGAACTCTATTGAGAACAAGGTCGTCAACGGCCCCAACTCGGAGGCTCTCTACAAGAAGAAGACTGTCGAGCCCCGTGCCAACATCAAGTTCGACTTCCCCACTCTTCCCGACTGGGACGACGAGATTGCTCCTCTCAACGACCGCCTCAAGGGCATGGTCGACCTCGAGAAGGTTGTCGTCGTCACTGGTTTCGCTGAAGTCGGACCCTGGGGTAACTCCCGCACCCGTTGGGAGATGGAGGCCTACGGTGAGTTCTCCATTGAGGGTTGCATTGAGATGGCCTGGATCATGGGCCTGATCAAGAACCACAACGGCCCCATCAAGGGCAAGCCCGCTCCCTACTCCGGCTGGGTTGACGCCAAGACTGGCGAGCCTGTCGATGACAAGGACATCAAGCAGAAGTACGAGAAGTTCATCCTCGAGCACTCTGGTATCCGTCTCATCGAGCCCGAGCTTTTCGGTGGATACGACCCCAACCAGAAGGAGCTTCTCCACGAGGTCGTCATCGAGGAGGACCTCGAGCCCTTCGAGGCCTCCAAGGAGACCGCCGAGGAGTTCAAGCGCCAGCACGGTGACAAGGTCGAGATCTTCGAGATCCCCGAGTCTGGAGAGTTCACTGTCCGCATGCGCAAGGGTGCTGCTCTCTGGATCCCCAAGGCGCTCCGCTTCGACAGACTTGTCGCTGGCCAGATCCCCACTGGTTGGGACGCCAAGAGATACGGTATCCCCGAGGACATCGTCTCTCAGGTCGACCCCGTCACTCTCTTCGTCCTCGTCTCAGTTGCCGAGACTCTCTTGTCCGCCGGTATCACCGACCCGTACGAGTTCTACAAGTATGTCCACGTCTCTGAGGTGGGTAACTGCATTGGTTCCGGTATGGGTGGTGCTGGCGCTCTCCGCGGCATGCACAGAGACCGCTTCCTGGACAAGCCCGTCCAGAACGACATCCTCCAGGAGTCCTTCATCAACACCATGGCCGCCTGGGTTAACATGTTGTTGATCTCTTCCTCCGGACCCATCAAGACCCCCGTCGGTGCTTGCGCCACTGCCGTCGAGTCCGTCGACATTGGTTACGAGACCATCATGGAAGGCAAGGCTCGCGTTGTCTTCGTCGGTGGTTTCGATGACTTCGGTGAGGAGGGCTCGTACGAGTTCGCCAACATGAAGGCCACCAGCAACGCCGTTGACGAGCTTGCTCACGGCCGCACCCCTGCCGAGATGTCGCGTCCCACCACCACCACCCGTAACGGCTTCATGGAGTCCCAGGGTTGCGGTGTTCAGCTGATTATGACCGCCAAGCTTGCCCTCGACATGGGCATGCCCATCCACGGTGTCCTGGCCCTCACCACCACCGCCACCGACAAGATTGGCCGCTCCGTCCCTGCTCCTGGTCAGGGTGTCTTGACCACTGCTCGTGAGAACGCTGGCAAGTTCCCTTCGCCCCTGCTCGACATCAACTACCGCCGCCGTCAGATCAACCTTCGCAAGAAGCAGATCAAGCAGTGGCAGGAGTCTGAGCTTGAGTATCTGTACGATGAGGTCGAGGCCATGAAGGCCCAGGGCTCTGAATTCAACGAGAAGGAGTACGCCCACAACCGTGCCGAGCACATCAAGAAGGAGGCCGAGCGTCAAGAGAAGGAGGTCCTCCGCAGCCTGGGCAACAACTTCTGGAAGAACAACCCTGAGATCGCTCCTCTCCGTGGTGCCCTCGCCACTTGGGGTCTCACCATTGATGACCTTGCGGTCGCTTCCTTCCACGGAACATCCACCAAGGCCAACGACAAGAACGAGTCTTCTGTCATTTGCCAGCAGCTCCGCCACCTTGGTCGCAAGGAGGGTAACGCCGTCATGGGTATCTTCCAGAAGTACCTCACTGGTCACCCCAAGGGTGCTGCCGGTGCCTGGATGATGAACGGCTGCTTGCAGGTCCTGAACACTGGCTTGGTTCCTGGTAACCGCAACGCCGACAACGTCGACCCTATCATGGAGCAGTTCGACATGATTGTCTACCCCAGCCGCAGCATTCAGACCGACGGCATCAAGGCCTTCTCCGTCACCTCTTTCGGCTTCGGTCAGAAGGGCGCCCAGGCCATCGGTGTTCACCCCAAGTACCTCTTCGCCACCCTCGACGAGAAGACGTATGACGAGTACGCCTCCAAGGTCCAGGCCCGCCAGAAGAAGGCGTACCGCTTCTTCCACAACGGTCTCATCAACAACACCCTCTTCGTTGCCAAGTCCAACGCGCCTTACACCGACGAGCAGCTCAGCAAGGTTCTGCTCAACCCCAATGCTCGCGTGACCGAGGACAAGAAGACCTCCACCATTTCTTACCCCTCCAACTTCATGAAGGCGTCTGAGAAGACCGTGTCCCCCACGGCGTCTCAAGCCACGCAGGACATGATGGAGGCTCTGGCCAAGAAGGTGGCGTCCAAGAACAGCAACGTCGGTGTTGATGTCGAGGACATCTCTGCCATCAACATTGAGAACGAGACCTTCATTGAGCGCAACTTCACTGCTGGCGAGATCCAGTACTGCAAGTCGGCGCCCAGCCCCCAGAGCTCGTTCGCCGGCCGCTGGAGTGCAAAGGAGGCCGTCTTCAAGTCTCTTGGTGTTTCCAGCAAGGGTGCTGGCGCACCATTGAAGGACATTGAGATTGCGAAGGATGAGTCGGGTGCCCCGTCGGTCAAGGTAAGCCAGATTCCCACGCCTAAATGATGACGCAGTCTGCTAACATTGACACAGCTTCACGGTGATGCCGCCGCCGCCGCCAAGAAGGTCGGTCTGAAGGATATCAGCGTCTCCATTTCACACTCGGAGTCGCAGGCGATCGCTGTCGCCATCGCAAACTTTTAAAATGGCGATAGACTGTATAGTGCATTTCGAGTTATTGGGATATAGGCAGGCATGGGATCTTGTCTTGTTCGCTTCAATCGTGTTTTGAGATCATACAGGCATGGGAGTATAGAAGGTGACGGCACTTTGGGAGGAGTGTCATCGCCTCATCATCGTCGGATGAATTGACGAATAATGCACGAGGAGGGAACGGCGCAACGCGATAGACTGCTAGTTCCTCAATGCCACAATAGAATCTGTATCAATCCAACCACAGCTTACTGATCATTGCTTGAGATGAGCCTCGAGCGACACATCTTGACCTTGTCCTGTCGCTGCGGGGCTTCACGTCGGGCTTATCGTTATCTAACCTTTCCACCTGTCACCCCTATCCCACCAGTTCGGGCGACAGATGACGATCAGGATGGGGAATAAGCAGCGTGATCCCGGTCTTAGCATAGGGGAATTTCGGCGTGCCCTGCTCGCGTCTGATTAAATGGGACGAACGAGTGGGATGGTTTTCACCCTCGACCGACGTGATTGGCTTGAGGTCGGGGGTGAAAATCCAAGGTTCAGTCCTTCTTCAGAATTCTTCAGAACTGGGACTATTCATGATTGTGTTTTTCCGGCGCCAATTCTCCATGGCGACGAACGTGCTCGTTCACCGTCCGTGGGCGTCCGTTGAGTACACGGTTCAGAAGTAGGTAGTTTTGGCGGGAGTGGTGGCTAAGGCAAGGGCGTGAAAGCCAAGACGTTAGACAAGATGCGGGAGAAGGTCAGTGTCTCAGGGGTTGAGAGAGAGGGACAGACGGGAGAGGGCTGTGCCGTCACGGAATCGGACGCCTGGACGCCGTTGCCGTTGGGGGGAGGGGAGCTTGGACGCGTTGGCTTGGCTTGGCTTGTTTAAGGCGTGGCTTGTCATCGTCATGGTCTTTTTTTCTTTCTCATCGCTTGGGTGACTTTGTCGATTAGAAAGAGTGTCTTTAGGATAGATCAGGTAGGTCAGGTAGAGAAGAGTTGTTTGGGTATTCTCGCTTCTCTTGTTTTCCCGTTTCATTTCTTCAAACGTTGTGTCCATTATGTTGTGCGTCTTTATTTCGTCTGATGATGGCCCGTCACCGTCACGGTGGCATTTCTGACGTGAGCCAAAGATAGCACCCGGCCTCAACTGATGGGAAAATAGGAGGTCGAGGAGGTGGTCTGCATTGAAACCGCGACGAGGAGTGACCCTGGGCAATTCGAAGATCTGAAACTGGTCGAAAATCGGGGCGTCGTCGCTCTCCTCCGATGACTGCCAACCAACATGCTGTCGTCTGCTCGGCTGCCGGCTTGGAGTGGTGTTGCAGTGATCAATTGATCGACGAGGCCCGGGGGGGTTGCGCAGGGGGTTTGCACTGCCGCGACGGGATTTTTTAGAGTCAGAGCCAATCAGAGGGCAGAGAGCCGAGTTGGACCCCTGCAGGTCGTGAATTAAGGCTTTTTATGCGGTGATGCATCCCCTTTTTTCCCCTTCGCGCCTGGCCCTGTCGATCAGCCGTCATCTTCATGGTAGATTCTGAAGTGTAAGGTGGAGGGGCATTAAGTGGTCTTTTTCTTTCTGGTACTTTTTTGGAGTGGCGCAGACGGCTAGGCGTTCAGATCTCATTTCTGAGGGGTGGGAATGTGGTGACGGATGTTTATGCGGACACGGACTGGGGGCGAGGAGGAGGAGTGTTTGAAGGAGGATGGGAGAAGGTATAAGGGAAACGGACGCCCCCTTGGAGGCGCGTGGCGGGCGGATTCTAGGACTTTCTCAAACTTCTGTCTACCTCTTCGCTCGTTTTTTTGTTTTCTCTCGCCGACGAAGGTGTGGGTTTTGTGGGAAAGTCGCACTGCCGAACCTTTAATTCCGTATTCCGAAGCATCGACGTCGACATTGACATTTCGTGTTAATCAGCTCTCAACCTCCACCGAACAACCGACCGACCGACTTTGCCTATTGAGCGGATTAGATCGAATCGAACTCCGACAGAAACAAAAAACGACAACAACAGCAAACATGACCAACATCCGAGGTCTCACGGGCAAGGGCGTCCCGCCCACGCCGTCCTTCTTCTCCATCCTCCGCGTCGCCGTCATGGTCCTCTCCCTCGCCGTCCTCGCCGCCTGCGCCTACAACCTGTCGCTCCTGGGCGGGAACGCCGCGTCCAGCTACAGCGGACCGCCGGGCTTCATGCTCTTCGTCGTACGTTTTCTTCCTCATTCTTTCTTCCTTCCCTCTTTCTTCTTTCTCGACGACAACATACATCCTGCGCGCAAAGATGAAGAACCCTGCTGACTCTCACGACAGACCCTCTTCACCCTCCTCGTCCTCGGCGGCGCCATGGCCCTCGAGCGCTTCGCGCCCCACCTCTACTTCCGCATCGCCCTCCTCGTCGCCTACGGCACCAACGTGCTCTTCTGGCTCGCCGGGTGGGCCTGGTCCGCGAGCATCGCGGCGCTGTTTCTCGGGAACACGTGTATCGGGAGCACGTGCTTCGGGCCGACGACTGGGGAGAAGAGGTACGGCGGGAGCATGGCTGCTGCGGCGGCCATTGGCGCTGTGAACTGGTATGTCGTTAACCTTGCTTCTTTTTCTGGTGATATTTTTCCGGAAAATTTGCGAATGTGGTTTTGCTGACATTGTTGTGCTCTCGCAGGGTCATGATGATTGCCGTCTTGTTCTACTTCATCAAGGGGTGCCTCGCGGACCCGGATTGCTATGGTGTGTCGACGGGACACGGTGCTGAGATGGGGAGTGTCAAGGCTGAGGGCAAGGCGCCTGCTCGGACGTCCGGGTCTGAGTGAGGGTTGCTTTTGCCGCTTTGAATGATGGGAATATGACTTACCGGGGCCCGATGAATGGGTCCTGATGAATGGGGTTTGAGGGAAATGGGAACTGGGAGTGGTAATGATTGGAGTTTGAGGTCTTCACGGAATCGGTCACGGCGGGGGAGGCTCCTCCTGAGGCATCTTGCGGGATGGCTGCTTCCGGACATAGAGATGTCCACGGTTTTTCACGGTTTGGGATTTGATAGAGATACCACTGGCTCTTATTATCTAATAAGATTTGCTCAACATCACAAATATGTCACATCGAGTCTTCACTCGTCAAGGTGTAGCAAGACCTAGAGCTACTCGTAAGCCTTGATTTCATGATGGTTATATAATCTGTACGAACCCTGCATACCCAGCAAAACAAAGAACTTTTGGTGACGAGCAAACGAAGTAATCCAACATGCTGCCCAACTCCGAATTCTCGCGGATTCCGAGAACCCATTTGCAGCCAGAGCTGGACGGCCGTCAAATGAAGCCGATCCCCCTATACCCATCACCCTCGATCCCTCTTGAGCTCATGTGAACAAAACCAGCAAAGGAGGAGAAAGAAAACAGATCCAAGTCATCTACTCCTCCATCTCCTCCGTCTCCTCCGCCTTCCTCTTCTTCTTCTGGGCCCTCTTCTTACCAGGCGCTTTGTGTGCCACCTTCTCTGCCAACTCGGCCACTCTCTCCTCCCCCTCCACATCGTAAGTGAAGTCAAACGCGTCGAAGCGCCGGTCCGCGACCATCTCACGCTTGACATTGCCGTCCAGATCCTTCCAGTCTCCAACCCCAGCACCGAGCCCCACAGCACAAGCCTTCCAGAACGCAAGCTCCGCGCGAAGCTCGCAGATGGCTTCGGCGCGGTGGACGATGGCCCTCTTCTTGCGGTCCCGGGAGCGCGCCGCGGCGGTGTTGTTGCGGAGCTTGTCGTTGGCGCTCTTGAGAGCCGAGAGTACATTGTTACGCGCGATCACGGCGTCCTTGTCGGGGCCCTCTGGCATGCCGGCGGGGTTCTGATAACCCTCGAAGTTGAACTTCGGGGGCAGGGCGGGGATTGTGACTCTGGCGGGCTTCTGGCGGATCCGGTGAGCCTCCTCGACGGCTGTGTCGGGCTGGACGAAGTTCTTGATGGTGGGCGAGGGAGGGGGGAGGGGGTGGTCGGTGTGAGGATCGAGAGTCTTGAACATGGTCTGCTCGCGGTCGAAGCGCTCGATGGGGGTGAGAGTGGAGGGGATCGTGAGGGCTGAGGCGAGTTTGGAGGCGAAGCCGCCGCGGACGAGGTATGCTCCATTCAAATTGGTGGAGGAGAGCTGTGCCGTGAAGGGAGGCTCCAGCTCGGGGGTGGTAGAGCGGATGACGGGGTCGAGGGACGTGTAGACGGGCTCGGTGCTCTGGTCAGCCGTGAAGGTCTGGTACTGGAAACGATCCTCAGGAATGGGGGCCTGGAAGGCGTGCTCGTATCGAGATGCGTCATCGGGGTTCAAGAACGGTGTGGCGTTCTCCTCGCTCATGGGCGGGCTCATCAAGAGGTCGGTGTCCGTGACCGGAATGTAGCCACCCATCTGACGGCTGCTGCTCATCTCGGCCTGAGTAGTGGTAGAGGGGTCGAAAGGCTGCTGGTAAAAGCCGTTGAGGTTGTTTTTGGCGATGTAGTAATCGAGATCGGAGTCTTGGAAGTACGGCGACATCTTGAAAACTAGGATTGCGATGTTTGTTGATAGGCGACGGGATTCCTGACGGGTTTGTGACTCATACGAAGCGAAGCGGTGAATCGGAAATGCGAGCTTTATGCTTCGATCAAAAGGCAAACTAGCAATGTTGCTTCAAGAGTGCCTGTGTTTGTCTAAGCGACGATGATGAAGATGAGAAAAGGCCTGACTCACGAGAAGGAAGAAGATGTTTTATCTTGCTGCTCAGCAAAAACAACCGAATCACTGTGTCGAGAAGAGATGAGAATTGCTGAGGGGAATAAACATGAGATCAAAACAGACCCTCCGAGTCCTGTCGGCCTGATGAGAGGGAGCGCGTCGCAAGGAGGGAAACACGTGAGTAAGGGTGGACTTGGGACGACTAAGCATCCAGTCGTCGAGTCGTCCACAAGGCACCAGACCTCATTGTGCCAGGTGATGCAGCTGGGTGAGCCCCACGATGACTTCAAAACGGGGCTAGGCTCTTTGTGAGTGCGGCTCATGTGACTTTGTTGACATGGGATGACTGACGGGGCACGGCGAGGAAACAAACGTGGGCGGGTGTTTGGAGGTGTTGCAAGACTTCGTGCTTGGCTGCCCTCGTCAAAGGTAGATGTGGCGAAAAGAGCCAATTTCAAAGTGCGAGATCACAAACCTCAAGCTAAATTTGGATATTAAATCGAAACGTTACTGAAGCGATTTGATTAACGAGAATGACTCAAAGCTCACGAGTTCAGCATATGGCCCCGTAAGCGGAGCCATATCGAGACTGATGGCATTGCCAGCCTCGATGGCACTACATACTTTGTCCTTGAGTGAGAACCTTCTGTCGGATATGATAGCATCGATTGTGGCTCTGCACCATACTCTGAGGAAGGCTATGCGAGTAAAACCAAATTGCCCACTCTTCCGTCATTGTACTGAACTGTTGAAGACGTCAGATCCTGACCAGAGCGACCAAGAAAGCCCAATAATCACATATAAAGACAGCGATGTCTGTGACATTAATCATGATCGAAAAACACAGCTAAAGGCAGTGTCGAGTTGCGGCATCAATGGTTGTCGAATCCGCATGATGCATCCTACCGTTCACGTATGGCATTGTATAGCATAGAGAAATCTTCTGCCCTACGAGAAAACGAGTACTGACGTTCTGGTTTCCTCGATTATCCCAAACGAAACCTCGCAGGACAAGGACGCCTCGGAACGGCTAGACAAACATCAACTTATCTAGCTCATGGAATCACCTCGGTGGAATCTCTCGATTAAAGGTACCGCGGACACCCGCTTGAAGCTCTTCGACGCACTCATCGGCCGCTTCGGTCGCTCTGCCAGCTTGCAGGTTTCGCCATAATGTTTCATGTTCATTCTCTTGAATTCAAGGAAGCGTTTATAGCCAAAAACACATCAACTTAACAGCTGACTACGTATCCTAAATGTACCCAGGTTCATAAATGGAAGAGGAATGCTACCCAAAACGGACCCGTGAGCGGTTGGAAAATAATAAAATGGCTTTGGGATCGGATTTAACGCATTCAACGACAGTGTGGCCTTTGCCGAAAAGTTTTCTGGGTGGAAGTGTCTTGAGAGGTATGGACAGATATTGCAGAAAGTCTTTCGAAAAGCCATGAGTTCGCCGTAGAGAAAGAGCAATCACATACCTCTTGCTTCTCGAGTATTCTTACAGCGTCTCACAAGAAAGACGACGCTGGAAAGTGAACCCCAATTGAAATGAGTGTTTAGCTGACGTGAATTACTGACTTGGGTTTGGATTCGTTCTCGAATGAAGATCCACAATTTGTTGTAGCTGAAGTACCAAGTTCCTCAACTTCAGGTGCGCTGCGGCATTGTGAGCCCGGCGGCTCGGTTAGTGACACTTAAGAAGGTGGACTCCGATGTGCTTCACAATTTTACGTCTCCCAGAAATCGTCATCAACCTTGACAGTAGATGGAGGGCTGGCTGCCCCGGCATGATCCTGACCAAGATGGCCAGAATCCCCAGGAGAAGACTCATATTCGAATACATCAACAGAATCACCAGTACGCTGGCACTTCCAAATATAATCAGCACTTGGAACTATTTTCATGTTGAACAGGATCGAAATCAGTTCTCTACATTGAAGGAGCAGATATCCGCACCACTAGACAACAACCCTCATCTTCCCGTATCATTCAACCATTGTCGGGGCCTGAAAACTCACAGACCCCGTGAGGCATCTTCTCCTTCGGTATTCCCGCAGTATTCTACAGGAAAGAGAAGGACGCTGGACGTCACTTGATGTGAATGCTGAGTTCATGCCAAGTCTCTGCAGCCAAACTATGTACGCGTGGAGGTCCCCGCGTCAACATCCAACATCGTAACAGGGGACAGACCTCCCGTTCATCACCGGTTTGGTGATACCGAGCTGATGCTGTCAAGAAGAAAACCCACAGAAACTGAGCAAACCAACGACTATAAATACGTTGACGCCGTCGATCTGTCTTCGCCAACCGTGTATAGGTTCAACCAGTGGTAGAAGCTCGTTACCGCGAACCCATGTTCTTGAGCTGTAGGTGAATGCTCATATGGTGATCATGCATGGGTTGTAGCACAGGGAAATGTACATATTGCGAATTTCGAGATGCGATGCAGCTCTGAGCTTTCCCCACAGGCGACCACCAATCCGAGTGCTGCTGCGGAGAGGCTTGGATGACTTATTCCAGAAGTCCCATCACAGTCTTCGAGATCAGCGAAACACTATTCAGCCTAGTCAGACACCGATCTCAGACATCGCCGTCTGTCATCGCCGTCGTCAATGTATTCCTCGGCCTCTCATTCGACGATATGATTGAACCAGAATTCACTTCTAGTATTGCGTCATTACCGATGATTCGCGAAGTCTTGTTGACTTTAGCCATGGACCGAGGTGCATAGGATGTGTCAAGCTGATCTAACGTGGCCTGGACTGTTCAAGAATGTGGCCGATTGAGATTCACTCTATTTATCCTTTTCTTCCTGATTACCTGGACACATGGCTGGAAATAATTCCTATTCACATAGTTCATCGGAGACTGTAGATTCACAACAGAATAATCAGTCATGTGATCGTTCTTCGGCGCGCGAAGGATGCAAAGGATCCCGTAGAACCCCTGTTGTCAAGCGCAATCACCATTCCGCCTCCTCTTGAGTATAAATTGGTTCGCGAAGACGGTAATGTCTTCGAGAACAACAAATTGATCCTGGCCGTCTCAAAGGGAACCAGGTTTGATAGAAGCAATCTCGGCGTATTTCTCTCTCGAGACGGATCTCCTCGCCTTGTACGTAGCGTAGAGCCGGCGGTGCGACGTATGAATTCCGTCGACAACGTTCCAGTCGCAAATAACCTGAGAATAAACACAAGACGCAGAGAAAAGACAAGCGAAACCACCACCGAGATGACGGGTAGCATATAATCATCACGATGGATGATCATGTGAGAAGATGGATGCAGTTTCAGGATGCTTCCGTAGCCCTGCGAAGAAACTCTCCTTCCGACGCGAGCGATGACATGGTTCAACAATCGCTAGAGAGCTCAAAGTAGCGGAATTAGCCTTTCCTGTATAAAGCTATCCACGCACTGCAAAGTCGATCGAGGAGATAAGATGAGTCTCGCCGATCGACGGCGTTGAATATCCCGCCACGACATCACGCGGGGCTCTGAACGACTACTCTTTTCAGGTTCTTCACATTATTCTTCCCAATGAGCACGAATCATGAAAGTCTCGGACGTTCTGCCCAAAAATCTGTAGCTTCATCTCCCGTGAAGCAGCATGTTGCCTAGCAATCTTGTATGTCGTCGGCGACTAACCAACACCGTGCCCCGAGATGCGGAGATGCGGTTGGAAGTGGGGCCTTCTACCCGGTCGCCGATCCGGGCGCTAGCAGGAAAGCCGGGCCATCAATCATTCTGGACACGTGGTGGCGAAAACGTTCAACAAAAAAGTTGCGAGACATAATATGTGTATGTGCTTGTGTACAAAAAAAGCTATTCAAATTCTATCTTCACATCTATGCCGAGCCGGTTGAACAGACTCTATAATGACAACAGAACCAAGCCAAACGCTCCTGGATATTCCCATTCGGCCATCTTGGGCTCGTAAACCGTAGTTATCGTGTAATGCAAATGCAAATGCTCCCCGTATTAGAAAAAACGCCCAATAGAAATGCCAGTCACCCGGCCGCGGCGCCGTTGAGCTCGCCGGCTCCTCTTCTCCCGTCTTTTTTCTTCTTCCAAAAACACAAAAGGCTGCAGTCGAAACAAAAGGGTCTATAATTTGCTCTTCTCCACGTCTTCCAGCTCTTTGCGAATGAACTCGTTGAACTCGTCGGCGTTGTCGAGGTAGAGATGGTGTCCAGCCTTGGATATGATCTTCACCTTGGCGGACCCGTTCTCCCTCCTCTTCTCCTCGTCCGTGCCGTGGAGCAGCGCCTGCAACTTGGCCTGCTTCAGCTTCTCCTCGGCGGCCAGGCCGCCCGCGACGTCCATCCAGTCGTTCTCGCCGTACATGAAGACGATGGGGATGCCCGTCTCCTTGATGCTCTCGCCGTTCTTCTCGATCGTCTGGCGGCCGACGCCGTCTATCCTGTTGATGATGGGGCTGCGGGCGTAGGCGCCGGGGGCGAGGATGTAGGGCAGGGCGTACTCGCCGCTGCCGCGCTGGCGGAAGATGGAGAAGGCGTAGTCGTGGAGGGAGCCGCGCTCGGCGGTGGGGAGGTGGTTGAAGCGGCGGGAGGTCCAGCCCGAGACGAAGCGCGGGCCGAGGGGCCCGGTGAAGCGGACGATGCTGAAGGGGGAGACGTTGGCGTCCCAGAGCCAGACGAGCCAGCCCGGTAGGGGGCGCTTGGGTGCGTTGGTGGAGTTTGTGGGTGCGTTGGGCTTCGCGCGGGAGGTCGCGGCGTTGTGGTCGTCGCTCGTTACGGTGTTTTGGTCTTGCGTGAACTCGTTCTGGAAGGTCGACTCTTCGGGCTCGGGCATGGCTGCGTTGACGGCGTAAGGGTCCTCCGGGATACCGACGGGGGAGGCGAGGATGAGCTTCTTAATGTGGCCGGGGTATTTCAGCGCGTAGGCGACGGAGAGGTAGCCGCCGAGGGAGTGACCGATGAGCGTAAATTTGTCGATGTTGCGCTTTTTACGCCACTCCTCGAGCGCGTCGATAAACCAGGCCTCAGCCTCAGCGGTCTTAGCCGCTTGATCCTTCGCCGTCACCTTGAAGGCTGGCCGGGTGGAGTTGCCCATACCGAGCATGTCGATGGCGTAGAGCTTCCAGCCCTTTGAGCGGGAGAGGGGCTCGAAGTTCTTGTAGAAGAAGCCGAGGCCGGCGCCGTAGCCGTGGAGAATGACGAGGGTGTTGTCGACCTGCTCGCCGACGCGCTCAACCGAGTACTCGTTCAAGGCGCGGTTCTTGCCGGAGAGCTCGACCATCTGAGACTTCCACACGCGCTGGCCGAAGGGATCGTGCCTGTCGACATCGAGAGAGGCGGCATTTTCGCGGGCTTCTTTGAGGTAGGGGATGTGGGAGAGGACGTTTCGCTCGGCCATTTGAGGTGTTACGCTGCACCACTGGGAAAACGAGTTAGTCCGACGTCAACGAGGCTCGCGCAAGGAGCGAAACTTACCCATTGGTAGGCGGCATCCTTGTACCCCAGGGGGAAGTAGGTGCCGGCAGGACGAGAGCGCGCATCGGGGCGCGCGGGAGCGGCGGAGGCGGCCATGGTCTGGCTGTATCGTCGTTGGACGGAATCTTCAGAGGAGGCTCGTATGCTGGGGGAAGTTGACTTGACGCTCGCGGAGGACGAAGTGATGACTGAAGAGGCAAGCTTGAGTCGCGACCCGTTCACCACAGCAGAGGCAGTTTGTTGCTGTAGCATGCCGGGTAGGAGGGGTGGCGAAAGGGAGGGGGCGAGCGACTATATACGTGATTGCGACAGCCAGCCCAAAGAGGTAGGCGTGGGATAGGCGAGGTATGGTCTTAGTGTGGCTGCGGCCGCCGGATGTACGTGTCCGGAGAACGGATTTTGCGTTGTCTTGAAACTTGCAGGTTGCGACGACTCATCAGTCAGCAGCAGGGGCCGAATACAGCTGCGGACCGGGGGCGTGGTATCGGAGCGGAGGATCAGATCGAGGGAATAGCAAAGAAAGATAATCTCGGGAATCCTTCCAATGGAGGGCAGGACCGTTGCGCGCTGTTTCGGCGTACTATGTAGGCGGGTGTCTTCGGAGGGGGGTGGGAAAAGATGGTGACGCAGATTTGGTTGGCAGGCAAAATACCTAGGTAAGGTAGGGAACAAGAACAAAGACGCGGGATGGAAAGACTCCGTAATTCGTCAAGCTTGTTGAGCAGTTGAGTTGAGTCGACAGGGGTACAAAGTACCAGGAAGACCTCCCCAGCACGCGCAACGGCTCGACCTGAGTTGGGCGGGTTGCGGAGCGGGTTCATGGACTTAGCACTCGGAGTTTGGCGGGATGATAGTGGGGCGGCCTGTCGCATTGAGCCGTGTCGGCGGTAAGGGACCACCAAAGCCCCGATGTCCCGGGCGAAGCTTCCACAATGAATGCTGACTGCTTACGCCCTTGCAAGTGCAGTACGTAATCTAGAATTATTTTTCTACAAGTAGGCAACAATCTCTTCGTTATCCGGTTGGAGTTATGAGCATGTGCCTATTCAAGAGACGCAACGTGGACTCAAATGCATGACATCAACACTTGATAGGGTCTGCATAAAGAGCAGATTGGCTTCGAAAGAAGGGACGAAGTTTATTGGTATCGAATTGTTTCAATATCCATGGATGTGCTCCTCTCTCTGCAACAGAGGAAGGTGAGTTGACAACACTTGTTTGGCATAAATGTTTAACTACGTTCACAGTGTTATCATGTATAATTCTCTTCTTATCTCCTCAAGTCAACAAGCACAAAGACCACGAGCGTTAAGTTGGCTTAAACACAAACTCATGGCAAATTTTAGTCCCTGAAAATGCAAACACATGGACTAAGACCCTTAGCTGCACGCCACATAATAACACTGATTCACCAGTAATCCAATCAGCCAATGATGCTGGGGACACGTTCAGGTCTAAATTGGCTCAATTCTTTGGCTCCAATTCAATTCTCAAGCTTCCCCTGACTCTCATTTTCTTCAGCATCCAGTCCAGTTCCCCAACAAGTCTTATCGCTATCGCTATCGGTTATCGACCAGAGGCACGGGCCACCCCGCCTCGCTATGACGTTCCACCACCTGCCACCACAGCGGAATTTCCAACCCCAGCAGCCAACGGCCAGCCAGCCCACTTCACCTGCAGGCCAGCTTCCGGCGGGCACCTTCTGACATCTGACCACCGTCCAATTCCGCCCTTGTCTCGCCGGCAGAAACATCGACACCGCACATTCTCTCTCCCTCCTCTCAACCCCAAGGGCAGTGCAGCAGCTTCTTTTCGTCGCTCACTCCTGCACCTGCACCCCATACTCCAATTACCAGCCACCGCATCGTCCGACCACCGCGCATGCCTGCATCCACCTGTTGACGCGCCTGCCGTCAAGGTCAAGGCCCCTCCAAAACCTCCAATCCCGCTCCGAACGAAACCTGACCGACAGAGACGGGAAAAACACAATCACTTATTCTCCCGGACCACCCCGACCCGAACCATGGCCGACGTCGACTCCATTGTCAAGGGCGCTCCGCCTCCGGGCAAGGAGAGCAAGGCCGCCGTCGGGACCACCGGCGTCGCCCCGGACGCCGGCAAGCAAGGCGATCCTTTGAGCCACACCCCGAGCTCCCCGTCCATGATCTACCTCAACCTCCTGATCCTCGAGGCCTCCCTTCGCGCCCAGTACCTCGAGCTCCGCGCCCGCCGTCGTCACCACACCTTCTTCTTCACCCTGCTCACCGCCTGGATTTGCGGCTTCGGCTACGCCCTCTTCTTCGCCCCGCGCGAGGATGGCCGCGGCGTTGGCGGCTCCGTTTATTGGGGTGTCGAGACTTTCGAGAAGATTTGCTTTATGGGAGGCGTCATGACCGCCATCCTTGTGTGGGCTACCGGCATCTGGGAGCGTGGGATACGGTGGCCGCGCCGCTGGTTTGCGATTTCAAACCGTGGCCTGCGCGGCTTCAATTGCAAGCTTGTCATCATTCGCAGGCCGTGGTGGGCGGAAATGGGCTCGACGATTGGATTCTTCCTGACATACGGCCTCTTTTCCCACACCGCGAGCTCTTCCTACCGTTACGTTGAACCGTCTATCCTGCGCGAAGTCGAGAAGGAGCTGAGCCTCACCGCCGACAACCATCCCACGCTGCCGATCCTAGTCGAAGATGAAGAGAAGGGCGGACACGAAGAGGACCTCGCCCCCGGAGGAGACTACGTCAAGCTGCTTTTACTCGCGAAACCGTTCACGCCGACATTCAGAGAGAACTGGGAAATCTACCGCACGGAATACTGGGAGAAGGAAAACGAGCGCCGCGCCCTCATCCAGAAGAAGCTCGCCGCCCGCGATCGCCAGGTCGCCAAGCAGCGCTGGGGTATCTTCTGGTGGCTGCCCTGGCACCGCGTCGACCGCATCAACCCGGCCGCGACCGCCCCCTCCCGCCAAGGCAGCGAAAAGACGACGATCCACCCCCGCGCCGCCGCCATCGAGCGCGAGCACAGGCGCCGGAGTAGTACCACCAGCGTCCCGCGCCGCAGCTCGACGAGCTCGGCACGCAGCCTGACGCCCTCCGTGGCATCAGGCGCGGAAGACGGAGACGGAACCGTCAGCAGGAAAGCCAGCACGGGCTCCAACGCTTCCGATAAGAGGAGGAAGAAGCTCGGGTCCATGTCCAAGTCGAAGCGTCCCCACATCGAGTCGAGATCCGTCACCCCTGACATACCCTCGCCCCTGGCCAGAGAGAGCAGCATGACGCGGTCGGACAGCGGTTCTGGGGCCGAGTCCGTGGCCGAGAGGTCGTTACGGCATTCGTCTTCCAAGGCTAGCATCAGCTCTTCCGCCAACTCCGTGCGGGAGAAGCAGCGGAAAGTGAGCGAGGCATGATACATAGGTTTTTCGTGTATTTGATGATTCGAAGAAGGAAGCGAAGAGATGAGAAATGAATATGGCTCCAGCGCATTGCTGCATTTCGTGTTCTTGTCCACCGTGATGAGGATGAGCTGACCGCTATGTTTGCTTTGATAGACAATGATTCTTGCGATGCACGATATCAATGCCGCCCCTCTTCTTAATGTCCGGTAAGGCCCTTGGTGCAGGGTTTGGACGAAGTTGCCAACGTCTTCGTCTACGAGTGCTCTTCGTCTCACGATTCCCACCCCACTCAAGATGACCATCTTTCATCATTCCTCTTCTCGAGCGACTACAGCCGCCTTCCCATTTCGCCTCATTTTGGACTTGTGTCACTCGAAGTCGACTGAAGGTGGCGCAGATCTTTACAAATCACTTGGCTGCTGTGCCACTGGGCGAGAACAGCAAATCACGAGTGTTCGCTTACACTGTCAGGTGTCTAGGCTAACCCTACATCAGGCTGCGGCTGAATGCTTGGGCGTGATTCTGCCAGTTAGGCATTCTCTCCTCTTCTCATCTTCATACGTGTTGAGTCGTCTGTTGCGCAAGTCATCTCCTCTACATCGAGGTTGAATAAAGCAACTGCCCCAGTCAAAGTACCGGGAATTTTTATCTGCGCAAAATACTTTCAAATTTGGTGCCAATCAGAATGCCCGCCCACGAACCGAAATTCGTCTTGGTCTGGACTTGCGTGAGTGACACTTAAAGCCGAGAAAGGTTTGATAACATACTAATCCTCACTAGTGCCAGTGCGGTGACTCTGGAATGAACTATCATTCAACTCCAGGTTGCCCTACATGTGGGAATTACAGATGCGACAAATGCCCTGTCCAAGAAATTAAAGCAAAGAAGCCTCGGCTCAAAGACTTTGGGGCTACGTTCGGGACCACGGCCGTACCCAAGGGACAAGCCACTCCCTCTAAGAATGTCGTTCATCTGAAAATGGGGGCCTCTGTGGGATCCGAACTGGGCATCGGCTCTTCAGCTTTGGGTCCGCTGGTTGGGGTTTCTGAAACCCTGTACTGGCTGGTGCCAGCTCACGTCTTCCATGGACTAACGACTGATGGGCTCCCGCCCGTTGGAGCTAAGCTCGTACATCCGGCTCCGGTCGACTGCTCTCACGGTGTCATACCAAAGGAAATAGGCGTCATGAAATTCTGGTCAGGGGTAGACCTCCAGATCTCTCGGGATTCGGGATCTTCAGAACCACCTGTGTTGCCCCAGGCTCGCATTACAGAAAGCGACTGGGCTCTGTGCGAGGTTCATGACGATATTGCTAGACATCAACGATACTCTCCTCGAGGCCAATCACTTCAAGGAGGGGGCAAAGACACGTCTGCTAATAGTCCCGAACGAGACCCAAGCGCGAATGTAGAACGGGAAAGTCTCGATGAGCAAGATACGATCACCATGATAACGGCAAAGTTGAGGGATGAGACACAAAGCGAAGAAGTCGAAAGCGTATTCATGCCTGAAAACATATTGGATATCTTTGACGCAATTCAAGCCAAGCACCCCGAACTCAGCTATCCAAATCTGTTGGGGGATATGCGGGATACAACGGAGTCGACGTCCGAATGGGGCTTGCTGGATATAAAGACTCGCATCAAGGACTCGAGCAAAACAATCATGCCAGGTCCTGAGCAAATTCCACATGTGTCAGCCAACGCGGAATCAAACCACATCTCGGCTTCTCCCGAAAACCAGCGAGTAACCGAATCTGCATGTGGTCAACCGACAATAGATTCAAAGCAGAGAACGCCTCCGGAACAGAACAATCCTACTTCGGAAGAAGCAGTCACAGGCGACGACAGGGGTCAGCGTCAATCTGTCCAAGGGCACCTCCAGTCAAGTTTGGAAGGACCGGACTTTCCTGACGATGATGAGGTCTTACACCGACGTTACCAGGGGCTATCAACAGGCGATGATGTCATGGTAGAGTTCCGCGCAGATGCCGATACCTTTGCCAAGGAGCCAAACTTGCAAGCCTCTCGGAACGACGGCGCCGAGCCGGAGTTCGACGTAGAGCCCAGTGAAATCGATTCGGTGATATCTGACACTGAGAGCATCTGGTCAGACGAAGGAAGCAATAGCTCGATGTCTTCTGTCCAAGGAATCGGAATGCAAGCCTTGAGGGAGGTTCTTGCAGACCTCTTCGCCAAAGAGGCTGTCGTAGCCTCCGCTTTTGGGGCCGGCTTGAACACAGAGGGTGCCGGGGCAGAGAGAATCGCGAAGGAGTTTCGTCATGGGTTGCGAGACTTGGGTAAGGCATTGAAGGGTGACTCTAGGACCCTGGAGCAGCGAACATGCGCGAGTCGCGTCAGGAGAGATGCAGCTTATATCACTGACATCGTCAGAAAACGCTGCGATCCTAAGTTCGAATCTCCCCATCTGCATCTTGACAACGATCGATTGTCGAGGGAAGCGCTGCGACGACACATCATGACCATGTGGAGCAAGAGCACGAAAAAGACGGAGAACTCACAGTCCGGACAACAAGAGTCCTGGGAGAGCAGTGACGACGACCAACTTGATCCTGAAACGGAGAAGGCTCTGGCAATGAGGATGAAAGAAGTTGAGGGCTTCATCTTGAACAGCAGACACATGACGGCTTTGAGAGAGAGGCTTCAAGGCCTGACTAATATGGTGCTTCTACCCACCTCAGACAATGTAGAGTCATCGAGCACATGCCGGTCGCCAAAGGACTTGTCTCTCTCCGAACTTATCGATAAGTGGCTCCCCCAATGGTTCGACTTTCTTTTGGAAATCCCGGCTCCTCCTAGTGTGGAACGTATGAGATGGACTTGCGTGAGTGCCCAATGCACTGAATACCCCATCGAACAGCTGCTAACGCTTACAGGGATGCGGCAAGCGTCTATATGACGACTATCACGGCCTCACATCTGCTGAATTGGAGAAGCTGAGGATCTTTTTAGACAGCTCAGCCTCATTCCACCAGGCTCAGTCGACAACTGAAACTCAAACATCGACGGGTTGGGTAGGCCGTTTAACAAATTGGACGCCCTCGGTCAAAGCTGCTGTCCGGCGTTCGCCTTTTAGTAGCCGTGACACAAACAACGTCATCCCTATGCATAACGTACAGACCGGATGCCCTCCAGCGAATCCCCAGAGTCCGAACGCAACTTTAGACCGCCTATTTCTATTGTTCTGTGTCCAAACTGGGAAGGAAGGATATGGAAAGGTCTTACAACATGCGAAAGTGGACACGTCCAAGCTAAGAAACGACAACGAGCTTTTCGACTTTCTTTCGCAGAACTACCGGGAGACACGAAATTTGCGATCTCGCTTATCGTTACGTACCGTCACAGAAATCGGTCACTGCAAGGTAAACTCGTGTATCATTGCGTAAAAGATCCAAGACTCATGCATGCGCAGGTATTTGTGGACTTTAGCAAGTTCATCTCCGATCTTCAGAGGCATTCAAAAGCTTGTCCCAATGGTTCCAACTCTTCCTGCCAATGTTGGCCGCCATCAGGAGATACCGGTTATCGCTACATGACCCAAAGGTCCGCCGAGCCTTACCTCATGGGAAAGAATTATCTTTTACACCACTTCCATAACCCGGGATGTCTTGACCCGAGGCAGAACTCTGTGCTCAGCTTCGTACCAATCAAGAAGGACACTCAGCTGGAAGGGGCTGTCAACTGCCCCATGCCCGGTTGGGGCATCTATTTCGAGGAAGGGTGGGATATTAAAACGATATGTGTTGTGGTAACGGTCCTCATGATCGTCACCAGCATCGTGTTGGGGGTCACTTGGTGGAAGGTTGAGTCGGACTTCTCGGGCGGTTGGGGCGTGGCCAGTTTCTGCGTCACGGCGGCGACGTTGGTCGTGACGGTTTTGGTGATTCTTGGAAAGCAGAGTTACTGAGAGATGGGATAATCATGCTATGCGCTGGAGGAAAAACGGTCGAGGGCCTTCTCATAAACGCTACATCCTTTCACGTAAACGCCAATCGGCAAACGGAAGTGCCTCCCAACCAACCTGGCATTAATCTCATAACTGCGTTCAAACTTTTCGAGGTCATCAGAGTCTATGCTGCTTAGCTATACAAGAGTTTCACATCCTTCCGCAAAAGCATTTCTGAAGACTCGTTCCTGGGGGCTTACACCGCGCATGCACTCCTATCAATGTCCACTCTGCGCTACATGATATCAACACCTTGGATATCAGATTCAAATGCCTTTTGCTCAGTTAATACCTGAAAAAAGCTTTACGCTTTTATGCTGAAGGTGTCGTAGTGCATAATGTGACAACGACTTTCAATGAAATCTGCCTTTGAAGGCATTCGAACATGCCGACTTGATTTTGTCGAGCCTGGCTCATCACATCTGTTAAAAGGGGCGATCCAAATAAAAGTACAGGCTAACCGCAAAACGGAATAATGGGCTGCCAGGTAGTGATGTTGTGTTGGTTGCTTCACCCCTGCCCAGCGTGGCTGGGTATGCTTGCAATGATAGAGGTTGCAGGTAACATCAATCAGGCTGGCCACTGAGTGAACAGCCCAGATTGGTTTCCGAGAATGACCGTCCAAAAGAGGATTCCTCAGCTGACACTCAGAGAATCTCACACGCTTTCAATTGGCGCGTAAATTGCTGCGCCGTTATGCTTGTCAACTCTGCGAGCTATCCATACTCTTATAAATAAGATATGCTACTTACCTACGTACGCTGGCACCTCGAACATGACGACTTTGCTATTAATGTCAGCCCGAATCTCTCAGAACTCGAAGACACTCTGAATGCCTCTTCACACGATGAACTCACTCGGGCACACGGGTTGCCGTGAGCGGACGAGATACCAACGCGCGAACGACAGGCAGGAAGATCTCAGCGAATTCTCAGAATATGTTCCCTCTCTCGGCAAGCCAGAGAAGAAAGGCAGGGTCTATCCCATGCATATCGCGACAGCTGCAACGTCGCTTGTTTGTCTCGCCCTGTCCATATTGGCAACTGCAAACGAGAGCATTTCGTGGCATCTCGGCGTCGAAAATCGGCAGCTCATCGTTGTCGGGTTTTTGTTAGGCGTCATGAACTTGTGTCTGAGCAACGTCGCGCCGCTTTTATTTTAACTACCTACTGGAGGCTCGATTCGGCGAATCCACCGTTCAAAACTACGACGCACTGCTTCGCAACAGCTTATTAGCGCCCAAGATAAGTTTCATCTGGCGTGTGGCTCTCAGCTTCATGCTGGTACTTCCCCTGGGGCTCAGTATTGCGTATAAAACCTTTACTGGCGGCGAAAGCAGCATGGAGATTCGCAGTACGGACTATACCGCGAGCGTGCCTTGTTATGGCATGTTCAAACAACCTTTAGGCATCATTTCATATACTGGGGTTCCCCAGTTTCTCAACGCAACAGCATCATTAAGAGTTGCTACGAAAGCAGCACCAGACGGCTCCGGTCCCTCTCTTCCCGCCGCATTCCCACAGCCGTACGGTCAGAATATTCTGACACTAAGCAGCAAAAGCGCCGCGGTGTTAGATACGCCGCATTCAGACTACGTGTTTGCCATACATAATATTCTCAATGCTGGCGAATCAAGGGCCGTAAATGTGCCCGTGGTGGGCACTGTCGCTGTCCTCGATGAATCAGGAACCCGAGAAACATACCAATCCGTCTGCGAGAAAGCAACCCGAGATTACGCATGGTACGATAACGGCAAGACGCTGTACAACAATTGGTTTTTCATCTGGGCCAACCAAAGGGACTTGTCAGATCAATCAACACAGTACGTTGGTTTTGCACCAGAACACCTTAAAGAGAACTGCGAGGAACTCTCGCATTACGTAGACCTCTACAACGTCGACCGAAGACGGTGTGTGGCCACGTGGTCGGTCAGTCGCGGCGGTATCCAACTCCGTGGGGGCTCTTGCGACACTACCGCCTTGCCGTGGGCGCAGCAGCAAAATATCAAGTTCAATAATTCGGGACTTGAATCTTTGTACTTGATTCCCTTGGTCGAGACACTCAGCGAATTCACCGCATCCAACGAGACACTAAATGATTCGGTTCCGAGGGGCAACGAGTCTGCCTGGAAGGTTCCCTACGTTGCAACGTCCGTCGCCGCAATGTTATGGTCAAGAATTGGAACTCTGCAGCCGGACGTCAATTCGGGAACGTTTGATCCGAATTCCCGCGCCATTTCAGTGAACGGCACCGATCTGTGGCACAAAGAACTTGAAGATGTTTATCTTATGAGTCAAGATGATCAAACAATAGTATACAACAGACAAACGTTGAGGAAATCACCTTGGCTGTATCTGGTTCTGGCTACGCAGCCAATCTTGACGATGATTTTTCTCGGGGTAATTTATTTGTTGTATTCGACTCCTGTTGGCGACGGCTTCAACTTGATATCTGTGTTATCGGGTGTCAGCCGTCGGAATCTGGGAAGCTTATCTGGAGCATCACTTTCAGGACAGCTTGTACGACCTATCAAGCTGATTATGAATCCTGCCAAGTCTGACGGTCTGGATAGAGTCACGTATCGGGTGGCGACGTCGCCCGAAGGGGTTAGAAGCGGAGAGTTGACCCCAAATGTCATTTATCATTAGGAAAGTTACCAAGAAGACTCCTTAATTAGTTTAGCAACTGCCACTTTGAGCGTACATCCTTACATCTCCAGTATAACCCAAGACCAATAGACCAAGGTACCGCAGTTGTGAAGGAAGCGATGAAGACTTCAATTATGCTCTAGTAACCCGTTTGCCGTCTGATTCATTATTTGCTATCCCGCCATGACATGATTCTCCACGCCGCTGGTAATCTTTCGTGCCTGTTCTCACAACCTGAGTCCCCGCAACCTAGACACAGATCCTCCTCCCACTTTCTAGCCTCAAAGATTTCCTTGATAATATCGTTGAGAGCCTGAGAAGGGCGGGATACTTGCCTCCTCTCCACTTCTTCCCAGCTGACCACGAAGAATTCTCGCTTCCCATACCAGAACTGCTCCGGAACAGTGCTGATTTGGTCTTCGACAGGAACTACGGGTCTCAGGAACGGCTTCTCCAAGAACTCGCGTTGCGACCTGGCCGTTTCCGAAGCCGTTGGCTCCAATGCTGATGAGTCCTCATCGAGGTCATCCGGGCTGATAAGAATGTATAACACCTCAGGCCGGAAGCGTAAGAACAAGAAAAGGTACAACGTCGTACCCTCTCCCTTCGGGCCGCCTGGCCATTCCAGGGCAACGTATCGGGCCCTTTGTATAGGCAAATGCGGGCTCCGGTGATGAATGCCATGACCGACGCGCATATGAAGAGCAACACCATTCCAACCGTTTCGGACGATGACCAGGTCCCGTGTGCTGTCTACCAGCAATGAAGGCACGTCGACGATCCTTGGCGCTGGGTACTCGCCATGTGAGTTCGGGTCGGTGGGGGGAGTTTCATCCAGGTAGTCCCTCCACATATCGCCGAAGATGTCCTCGTCCTCAACCAGCTCATTGAGGGCATCAATTCTCCTAGTTCGGTTTGCGCCGTAGAGCTGGAGAGTATTGTCCAGCCCCCAGATTTTCTGGAGCCGGAACACCGCTCTTCGAGCGGCCATGTTGACATGCTGGAGGGCGCAAGACATTTTTGCACTCCCTGTCGCTAGCTCTGGGGGCGGAGGAGCGCTTACGAGAACCTCCGCCATGGGAACAATACGATAGTAGTGTCTTGGGACGTCCGACCACTTCCGGATGAATTTCGTGAGAGGAATCTCTTCGAGGGTGGTATAGTGAGCTGAGCGTTGGCTGTCGAGCGCAAAGTCCCATATCACATCCTGTATCTCGGTAGGGAGGTGTGGGAAGCAATGAAACTTTCGCTCTGGTTGTATTTGGGTGATTTTCTTGTCGGAAGAAGCCATGATGATCGGCAAGATTAAAACTTGTGGGACGGTATTCGTGAGCGAAAAGTTTCAGCAAGAATAGGGGGTAGGTGAGTATGATTTGTTTGCTGTTGGCTGGGTAGGAACAGCAGCAAGTATTTATGTTGGCTGTGTGTCTAGAGTCTAGGTGCCTAACAAGTCATCCAGTACCAACGAAAGGCCGTTCTATATTTAGAAGCGTGCCAGCTCAGTTGGGGGTCAAGCGGGAAGCTGCAGCAGACCCCATTACCAGTCGTCCTCGTACAGAGTGCTATACTCCATCCACATCATCACCTTGTTCTTCCCATTGGTGTCCGGATCATGCTTCACAACCACTTTTCCACGCGCCCCACTATCAATCGGATCGTCTGTGACGAGGCCCTCTGCCTCGGTCGTGATTTCCAATATCTGATTTTGGTCCAATAACGCCCAATCAATTTGCCCGTCTTTGTCAAGCTCCTCGCGGGACTTCTTGGTCACTTCCACGGCAATGTCGAAAATCTTAGGATCGTACAGCTTTTCCTCGTTTTGGCGTGGGGTATACTTCACTTCCGACCACCGCAGATCCTGGTTGAGTTGCGGGAACTCCCTCTTCACAAAGGATTCCAACTTTGTCCATGCATCTCTGTATGGGTCGGTGACTGCGTTACCCTGACCGTCCGTAGCACCATCCGAGGGGATAACGAGCCACGCCCGTAGAGATGAATCATCGATCTTTTCCTTGACCGCAGCTAAGGAAGGATGTGCATTTTTGGCTCTCTTCCCGTTCTTGATCAAGTCGATGACGGTCTTGTCGAAAGCGTTCTCCTTACCACCGTACTTCCGGAGCCATCTGGCCTCTGGGTCGAATGATATGTCTTCAAAATAATGTCCCATGAACACACCCCTCCGGCTTACGAGTACCAGAGCAGTGCATCCTACAAGCCTGGCGACATTGACACTTCTCTCCTCTTTCTGATCCCAAGTGACAAGACTTGCAGTGTTCTCACTGAGGTGCACATTCTCTCGTGGACACCCGCGCACCGGAGTTTTTGCGCATTCTTTGGACATGAACTTGTCCATCGCTTCGCGGGAGTTCCCCTCCGGTAGCACTATGGTGCGTCTGGCGAGAGCATTGTGATCGTATCGTAGCGTGATGTTTTGATCCTCAACGGAGTGCAACTGGCGTTTGACCACCGAGCCGCATGCCGTAAAGATGCTGCCGCAGGTATGTCGGCCAGGGGGTCCTCTGACCCCATTCGCATATTGAACGATGCTCTTCGAAAGGCCAGAGACATTTTCGGCCTTGACTGCTTGTGAAACTCCATGATTAGATACCTCTGATCGCCCTTTTCACATGTATCTGGGCTAGACTTACGGACGGATGCTGATGCGCAAAGCAGCAAAGTCGCGGCCTTCATCAGGTTCGAACAGAGCTTCATGACTGGTGGAATGACAGTTTTAAGGTGTTTAGATGCATCGAAACGACCAATCTGATGCTTGAAGCAGAATATGCAAGGATAAAGGTGATGAGATAGGAACTCTTTTGATTTCTGATCTTCATAACGGAACTGAAGCAGGGCAATCTCTCTTCTTTATAGCAAACGCCTGATTTCACCTACGAAAGCAAGCGACCATTGGTATCTATCCTAGACTGCACCGCATGAAGCCATCCGTCCTCAAGAATGGAGCACAATCTGGCCACATGTGCTAAAGCAAAATGACCCCAGGGCCCCAACTGGTTCCGATGGAGACACAGAACGGCATGAAACGGGCATGAGGGATGTCAAAACATCCGCCCCCATACCCAGGAGGCCTGAGATTTGGACATACACACGAGCACACTTATCAGACATGAACCTGTCAGTGGAAGGTTTTGGGCTATGGCTTTTGGTCCCAGAATAGAAAGTAGATTGTGGCTACGCAGCATGGTGTCAGGGTCGGCTAGGGGTCGGAATGGCAGTTCGGATCGAAGAAAGGGAAGGGATCTGGTGACCTACTCTACAACGTTGCTACTTAGGGGCTGCCAAGCTGCGGTTGCATGTGCGTCAGGCGATGGATTGAATATAATATCTGAAAACCAACGACTTCTACTTCAGCATGCTCGGTGAAAGCGTTAACCGCCGACCCCAGTTTTCAGTCTGGCGAAACCAACGAGGTCGCGTCTAACACTTGAGCCCCAATGCTACATCATACATATAATCTGCTGAACGTCTCACCTCGCGGCACAATATTCATGGTGATTCATCTCCAAAGAAACCAGATCTCGTCACATTCAATAATTCGAGACTTTTGTGTTCACAGCCGCTTCTTGAAATATGGCAAGATTTGGCAGTAGCTTTGGAGCGAAACCTCCGTGATATACACAAATTACCAGGGATCCATGCGCAGTAGAAAGCGCTCTGAGTGCCTTAAAGCGAGCACCCAAGTTCTGGGTGCTTTGACCATTGAATCAGTCCCAGTAGTATTAACTATCATGTCATGATACATCGCCATTTCCAAGTATACTAAAAGAGGATATTTCTCTGCAGACGTCTCCCAACACGCCCCCAAAGCAAGGTAGCCTGTTCGCTCCCCCAAAAACGGGCGACGACATCGCCCCTCACCCCCAAATCAGAACAATCATCACAAAACACCATGATGCATACAGCCGCAGCTTGGGGAGGCCGTACCGTCACTCGCGTGACGGTGCGGACGAAAGACAAGTCATAGATACAACAGAATGCATTGAGGTTGTTTTCAAAATCACGATGCAATACGTCAAGCCAAGCCTTGGAGCAAGTTGGGGTTTGCGGCGGAAAACGACACGGCCAGGGTCAGGGTGACCGTCAGATCTCGCGGCTGGATGATATATAACTCATCATTCTGCTGCGTTTTGCTGGCTGCCAGCTGTGAGAAAGCAGATCGACATCCTTGTGGACAGATCTTTGATCCTTGTACATCTCAAGTTCTTCGAAAAACCCCACACCTCAGTGCAGTCATCACAACCTTACCGATTCCTTATTCACGGATTCGAAGTTCATTCCAGCATGCGTTACGCCAATTTCTTGAGCTCCAGCACCTTACTCGCTGCCATCAGTTGGTCGGCCATCGTCACGCTGACGACGGCGCAATCCTCCAACTTTGATCTTGGTAACCTTGACCTATATCAGGGTACTGATGTATGTCAAGTTCCAATTGACGCGCTATATCCATCGAGCCATGGCCATTGACTGTTCTGTCTACCTAGGGAAACGTTCCTTCTTTAGAGGGCGACAGCCTGTGGATGACGGGAGCTGAGGACAGCGGATTTCATTTAGTCCTCTCTGCTGACCTCCAGAAGAAGGTCCAAAAAGGCCTTGATGATTGCGGAGACGTCAAAGATGAATGCTTCCAAAAGCTTCACCGAATCATCAGCTCTTCTACCACGCACATAGACAATGCTTTGGAGAAGCGTCACTTCGGCCACCTGCTCTCTAAAACCTTCAAGAAGGTTGGAGTCATGTTCACGGTGATTTCGAGCATTCTACTGTGGTCGTGGGAGGAGAAGCATACGCCTCCCTCGCCCGTCTGGTTCATTCCCCAGGAAAAAGCCAGCTTGGCCTCTAATGTTGCCAGCCCGGGGACTATTGTCATGTCTGGAGGCGGGGCACCCATCATGACGATAACACCGCCTCCGGATACACCCAGCGCAACTGGGTAAGTACGCTCTTGACACACGCTTGAGCAACCTCACAACACATACGTGCTGGGAGTTGATCAAAGTCAGTGGATGCTTCTTCGGCTAACACCGTTACTTACTTAGCTCCATCACCCCAGAAGTGACCTTTGTGGCCACCGCATCTGCAGGTCTTAAGGAAGGCGATCGCATTGTCAACATGGACGTCGACTTCGCCAAGAGATTCCAGGATCTTCTCCACATCTTCTCGGGCGATGGGGCCTGCAAAGAGGGTCAAGGCTTTGTTGCGGACCAGACCTCCGGCCAGCAGGCGAGTCCCCGGTCCGGGGGGTGGGATGCTGCCATATGCGCAGGTCTGGGTGTCATGCCCCAGGTTCTTGACAATGGCCCGTTGGGCGACCTCCGGGCAATGGCACCACCTCAGCCCCCCATCCAGTTCGACCTTGCCCAGGCGGCGGGTCGTGCTGCTCAGATAGTCATCGAGGCGGCGAGAGACTACGCCCCTCTTTTGAACATCCCGGCCGAGCTCGCTGACGAATACGGCGTGATAATCTTCGCCATGGCTATCAACGCGCTCGTGGAGAACATCGATCTCGGGAGTTCGAACACGATCCGGGCCGCGTCGCTCGTGAGCAAGACCCAGGGACCATCCGCAACGCCCACTCCGACCTGCACGGGGGCTAGGTCATGCAAGGCCTTCTGCGGCGAGGTAGGTGCAATCGAGCAATGCGTCACCGAATGCTCTACAGTCACGTCCGTATGTGCGACTTCTACTACTGGAAATCGCGTAATCGTCACCGAGACAACTAGCACATTCGCCTGGCCAACGGTACCGGTGTCTCAACCTACAGCGACGTGTGAGAGCAGCGATTCGGGCCTGCAGTGGGATATCTTCTATGGAAAGAAGTACAACGTCGTTCAGAAGTTTTGCCAGGCGGTATCCGACGACCAACAGGCCGCCCACGCCTGGGTTGTTGACGAGTTCGGGAACGAGACTTCCTCGAAGTCCCGGAAGCGCTCCCCTCCAGTCACTCCTAAGACGTACAAAGACTACAGAATCGGGCTTGAGTGGAAGCCGGACAGCAGTCTGAGCGAGGATCCCTGCCCACGAAGCTGTACGGAGGCATATGAGGCCATTGCCAATGGACCATGTGAGTTCCAGAATCCGAGGTCGAATGTTTGGAGTGATCTTAGATCTCGCCGTCTTGTCGCTAACTTGTCTTGCGCAGGTGGCCAGAATGGACGTCAAGGCCTGACCTTGGCCATGTCCGGATCTTGGAATATAGGATGCGGCACTTACTCCTGGAATGTCAAGCCGCCATCGAAAAAGGAGCCGACAGCAAGACTGGAAGTCGGCGAGGTAACCTGTAACGATCAGACACAGTTTGGGGCTTACAAGGATGTCCACGAAGGCGATGTGCAATGGGCGGCCATCGGACTTTGCGCCAGAGAGCGGAACACCGAGCTGGGTCCAGGTGAACAATACCCTGCCGACAAGAAGGCTGCAAACATCAATGGTCACTGGAGGCAGTCGGAGTTGCATGCTTGGGTTAAATGGCGAGAGGGCTGCGTCACGACCGTGAACACGCAAAAGGTAGGTAACCCGCTGAATACCGTGACCGATGGTACCGTTACGGGACAAGACCCATGCATAACGACGTTGTTCAACAACTACAAGAAGTGTAAGTATAAACTGATGACTTGGAATGGAACATCGTCATGACTGACAATATTATAGGCACCGGTAATAAGGGGGCAGGAGGCCAAACCGACATAGGATGCTTGACTTACTTCTTGGGACCTGGGCATGTATGATAGGATCGCCTGCACGAACCGGAAGCTTTGATTTAATTCAATTTCTTTCAAATTTGATTCCAGTGGTAGATCAGGGTTTTCTCATTCAGTTGATGATGAACGGTTTTGGTCGAAGGCCACATGCCAGATAGGACATCCGTGATTGCCAACTTCATCACCAAAGCACTGCCATTTGTCTTGTTATTATGTTTCTTTCTCATATAAGTTCTCATCGCATGTATCGTTTGGAGACCAGCGTCTTCTAGCGTTTCCTAGCTTGATGCTTGGAACTTCTCTTACACTATGCATCTTCTACACCCCCACCCCGTGAGTTAGCAATACCGTCCCTAAAGTGCTGGAGAGCTATGTCACCCCAGCGAACAGAGATGGGACTTTTTCACGTTGAGAAAACCCAGTAATACGAGCAGTCCAGCACGTTAGAGTATGAACTGAGAACAGAACTACACATTCCGAGCAGGTATTGGATTCAACAAAAACGTCGTAATTGATGGAAGGTAGTAAACAGCCTCAGTACCCACAAAGCAACGGTTCACGCCTTTCTCGTCATTTTACAAGGTAAATTACGTCAAACCCGACGATGTCAATCTCATGAAGGCATTAATACAAGAAAGACTGTGAAGATTTCTACTTCCTCGATCCAAGATCGTCCTCACTCTCGTGAAACATACTCCTCCTCAACGTCCCCGTCCCGGCAGGACTAACCGGCAGCATCCTCGCCGAGATGTAATCCTCCCCGTCCGAAGCCCCCGTCGGCGGACTCAGCGGACTCGGGTGCCCCGGCGTCGGCATATCGGGGATCCCGGGCGTGGGCGTCTCGGGAACGGTGGCCGGGACGCCCCGGGCGCCCTGCTGCGCCCCGGACGACGAGACCTCCTGCTCCCCGCCGGACGAGGCCGAGCTGACGGTCGCCTGGCTGACGTGTCGGAGGTGTCGCGCCTCCTGGTCGCTCAGCCCCGAGACGTCGGAGTCGTGGCGTCCCGCGGGGACGGAGTTGGTGATGGGCGGGGACGGCGGGCCCGGGGACGGTGACTGGGCGCGCGTCTGGTAGCCGAGGACGCCCGAGGAGCGCGAGAGCGAGGAGGCGTTCTCGTTGCTGGAGACGGAGGCGTAGTAGGAGGACTGGTGCGTCGTGGCGGGGTTGGAGGCGTCGCCGCGGCCGAAGTGGGTGTGCTTGTTGATGATTTCGACGGGGGTGAGGCCTACGCCGTGGAGTTCTGCGCGAGGAGAGGTGTCTGTGGATGATTAGAATCGCGACGCGGTATGGAGATTAGATTTGGGGGTTCGACTTACCAGGCAACTCGGCGATGTGGTTGTCGGCCATTTCATGAGCCACAGCCGGGGCGGGAGATGCCGCCGGAGCAGGAGGCGGTGTTCGGACCTCTGCCATGTCCTGCGTGGAGGCCTCCTCCGTGGTGACAGTCGGGGCCTTTGCGGGTTCACTGGGCTGGCCCCTCATCCAGGAGATGATGCGCGATCCGTTGTCGTCGGTGGCAGTCGCGGTGCCATTGCCGCGACGAAGAACCTTGCGCCGACGCCAGAGGCAGAAACCGACGAGGATGGCCGTGATGAAGACGAGGCCCAGGACAACTCCGAGAACGGGGGCAACCCACTTCGGGGTACCACCACCGCCACCGCCGCCACCGCCAGGGTCTCCGGTGATGGTTGGTCGAGCGCTGGTCTTGTCTTCGGAATAGGGGTACCAGGTGTTGATCTTGTTGGTTGCGTAGGGAGTCGCGAAAATAGCCTCCACGCTGGGATCTGCCCAGCCTGACACAGCGGGTACCGTCGCCGTTGCTGAGCCTTGGCCGTTGCCCCCGATCTTGCTCTGGACGGCAGTAGGAACGGTGTAGTTGGACCACTTCGAAGGACTGTACTCGTCCGACCACTCGGCGCTGGAGACGTTAAACATGCGAAAGAGTCCTTTATCGAGGCAAGGCGGTTTGCCGCCACCGGACTCCGGTGCGAAGCCTCCAATGACCATCATCTGATCGGGGTATGGCATCACACACTGATGGCCAGCACGCGCGTGGAGTTCGGTGCCTTGGGAGACCTTGATCCATTGGAACGATGGCAGAGACAAGACCCAGACGTCGTCGTTGAATCCCGTCTTGCTGTCGACGCCAGCGTATCCACCGTAGTAGTAAACGTTGAAGCTGGAAGCGTCCTGGGCAGTAGCTACCACGGCACAGCCTTTTGTCAAAGCAGGTGGACCATCTTCCGTCTCCTGTTGGAACCATGACTTGCTGGCAACGTCGTAGATGTCGATCTTCTTCATGAACTCCGGGCTTTCTCGCTCCTGAGGAGGTGTCAGTTTTGGCCCATGAACGACAAGCATCAAGTCCGACTTACGTTGAGAACGGGGTCTTTCGACTTGCGAGCGGCGTAGTTAGCGACCTCCGGGTTTGTGACGCCTCCCACAACGACGAGTATGCCTTCCTTGCCGACCGGCACCCACACGACAGATGGATTCGCTCTGGGCTTGATCTCAGGGGGCAGCGAATCGTTCGAGAACTTTTCGAAGTTCTGGTTCGTCATGTCTAGGGTGATGAGGGTGTTTGAGGTATTGCTCGCCGTGAGATTGCTGCTGGTGCTCTGGCGATAGATCTCGCCCCATGCGGAGGAGCGCAAGCCTCCCACGTACCAGGCCTTGTTCTCTGATGGGGCGCTGGCAGCACCTCCATAGGCGACATATCTCGTGATACCGTTGCCGAAGGGTATCTCGCTGCCTCCAGCCTCGAATAGAGGGGCGTTGTTTTCGTTGTAGTAACGCCAAACAGGGGCTTTGTCTCCGTCTGGGGGAGCGGCGGCGTCCGTTCTGATGCGGAGTACGCCCCCATACATAAAAAGCTCCTCATCGTTGTATAGTAGTGCGCCATCGATCATGTTAGCAGAAATGCTGTTACCTTTTGATGTGGTGTTAATCAGCGTGGTGATGTTTGTTGTCGCCTCAAACGACTTGTTGAAGCTGAAGGAGTACATGAGTCCCTTCGGGTTGTCTGCGACCATCAGCCTCTGGCAGCATCGCCGGCGCCGCGAAACTCACTCAGTGAAGATAAGTCACCAGGGCTTCCATCCCTCATGGTCGGAATCCAGGTGAGAACGCCGCCATCTAGCCAAACTGTGTCGCGTATAACAGCAGCTATCCAACAGTCAGTCTACAGGAATGGGAGCATATATGGCACTACAAACCTCGCGGAGAATCCCAATAGCACATCGTGCTTGCAACTTGTTCAGGTTCCCAGCCTTCATATTGGCCGGTCGCAAGGCCGACTAGGGCCACGAGCAGAAAGGAGCGCACGGCAGTCATCGTTTCAACGGCGTTTTGCCCGAGTTTCTCGACCGTTGAGGCGTAATGCAAGAAATCACGTAGCCCTTCGCTGTCTCAGCGCATGGCAGCAGTCCGGGGTGCTTATTTGGGGCGGAAGAGCACTACGCTACCAAGACCAAGTGGCAAATGTTTCTGCGGAAAGGTGACCGCGGACGAGCCAGAGTAAGCAGAGAGAAAGAGAGAGAGAGAACAGAGGCTGATTTGTGGGCAGGTCCACCTTGCTGAGGATACTAGATAGGCAAGCTCTAGAGCCTCTTGAGACTGATAGACCTGGGTGGTGACCGTGAAAGAGTCAGCTGTTGAAAGAGGCACGGTTCTTCTCCCGACGTGTATTGGCAAGAGTATGGAAACGGAAGAGTCGAGAGCACGTTCGAGATCGACGAAACCCCGCGCGTCGCCTTCGCCGGACGCCCGAATGAACGGTTCGGTAGGGTGGCAATGAGGACCGGATGGAGGAGGGCCAACAAGTCGGCAGAGGCACTGATAGGATTGTCGCTGCGAGAACACCAGCCTGTCCAACAACAGTTCAACCCAGTGAATGGTGTGTGAGAAATAGTTTGTAGAGTAAGGCTGGGCCCACTGGGCGAAGCACGACCGGAGGAGGTAATGGAGAAGATGGAGGGTAGCAGAGGGTGCGATGGGCTTATGCAAGTCTTTGGCCCCCCGTCCAGGCATTTGTCGGGCTCGGCGGTCTCTTGGAGAGAACCACACACGAAGACAGGAAGCTCGTACCGGCTCACTTAAGGGTGCGAGGCGATTCCACGGTGATTGGTGGGTAAAGATGGTGAGGGTTGGCAACCCGGAGCAGAGCGACAGTCGCTGTGCTGATCTTGGGAGCTCGCGGAACGTCAGCCTCATCGCCAGCTCTATGAATCATGAACTCATACTCGCTATGGATGAACACGAGATTCAGATGGCAGAAAGCCCTCTATGGGTTTGTCGGCTCTAGGCTTGTCTCACTCGAGCGAAAGATGTCTCGTCCGTAAGTTGTTTCCGCAGCTGTGCTGTTGCCTCGTATAAAGGTCGACCACGAAAACAGACAGTGCAGCACCGTCATGGTCATGGCATAGAGCAGAGACAGATTATGTGCCACAATCAGGCTGTGCCCAGTATGAGGAGACACGGCGGCAGCACAACATTGACAAATGCGGTGGATGAGCAAGCGCAATTGTCTCCCTCAACACTCGTTGTCGGGACATACCAACGCACAAAGGGACCGTCTGCCTGGCAAGCAAACGTGCTGCCGTGTCGGCAGATCGGCGGTCGAACATGCTTTTCACATCCGGAAGAGGACGACTTGACTTTGCGGGCGAATGCGAATTCGAGAGTAAGGTAAGCACTGGTGGTTGTATTAGCTCTTCGCGGCAAGTAGTCCGAGATTATCATGGTGACTTGAACTCGAACGAGCTGCAAGACAGCGCACCTGCCGAGGTGATATGATTCGAGCGAACGATCTGGAGGAGGCAAAAGCTTGCTAGTTGGCAGAACGTAGATAGCTGCTGCCTGTGCCTCTCATCAGCAGCTTCTGGGTGCAGTGGTTCCGACATAAGCATGCATATTTGATGGTGTAGTGGCAGTGGCTGTTGCATGGGAAGGCTGGCTGCAAGTCAGTCAATAGACGGGTCGCCAAGTCAACTTGCAAGGCCTGGATGGTACCAACACAATTGCAGGTTGGGGCTCGGGCTAGGATCGGTGACAGGGGAGCTTGTGCTCGCGCCAGAATCGAGCTCCCAGTCTTCTAGGTCAGGAACAGGCAGAGTCGGTAGCTCACTAAATAGAGTGTGGTAGGATGACGGCGTCAGCCCTGTAGGATCGAAGTAAGACGTATCCTGGACAATAACAAGAGTCGGTGAACCGTCAGACAATTCAAGGTCTTCGGCGAGGTATTCGTGCCCCGACATCAGCCTGTTTGGTGATCATTTTTGAAAGTGCACAGACGGATAAAGATGCGCCAGGCCGATCGAAACGGCAAAAGCATCCGATGGCTTTCTCATCTAGATGGTCTCATCGGGGGCGGGGGCGATGGCGAAGGCCAGCCACAAGGCCAGCTGTCGTTTAGAAGTCGAAGCATCAATTTAAGGTGGAGGACGGGAAGAAGGACGGGAGAACAACCGGCGGCGATAAACGGTCGGAGGAGTCGAGGATTCCCTTTAGTTACCTAAGCCAGTTAAAGACTAGCGCAGATGAGGTAATCCGTTTCTGTCCAATGGGATGTCGCGTTTTGAGAGGCTGGTGGAGTGGCAAGCACGGACGGAGCAGGCCCACTTTCACCCATTACCCCTCTTTCCCTCTCCAGGATTAGATCAGCACGCTAGTCCGTAAGTAGACAGGTGGACCCGGGAAGATCCTCTCATAGGGCAGGAACAATGCTCCCCTGCCATGGCGCTAAGCTGAACTCGGTCTAGTTCATCTCTATTGTGAGCGCGTTTTTGGCCCCTGTTCCTGGTCATCTCATCTCTGCTGACTTCTTCTCCTTCACATCACATTTTCCACCCGGCCGCCGTTCCCTCAGCCTGCCCTGCCAACCACCCCGAGTCTCTTCGGATGTCGTTGCATACGGACTTCACAAAAGCAATACCCATGTACGACGATGTCATGGCTTCTGACATCGGTCAAGCAACCAGACTCGCACTCGCACGGTGGCCACAAACTGGGCAGCGAACCTGTCATGAATGACCTTACAAGCCCAATAACACCATTAGTCTACTACTGCCCCCGATACTTCGTGGTCGAGACTGAACTATGCTTACATTCCTTTCAGCCTCGCCTTCAACCGTCGCAAAAGACGAGTAGGAAAATGGAAGGCCCTCTGCCGAGAGAGACCCGCATTGAAGACGGCACAGCATTATCCAGCGCATGGCCATGGCCTGCTGCCCCGGAATTCCTTCGTTTGCTTGCACCGCATCGCCGATGATTGCATCAATACGACCGCATTACACGAAATCTCCCTGAGACAAGAATCCGTCACCAATTGTTCTCTCAAATCGTGTCGTAATGTGCACAAGTGGCGCATCTGGGCTCATGTTGTACGACTTGCATTGCTTCACAGCCCCATTTCCCGCTGCAATCGACCGAGCAATGGCATCTTGGACGACTCGATAACAGGCTGTTCTCTCTGTTGCCGTGGATCGATCTTCCGCAAGGGACTCTCGGACGGTGCCGTCAAGCCATGCCTGTCGCACAGCTTGCTCGGGTTTTCTGTCTCTTGTTTATTCGTTTTGCCACAGTTTGGCACCTCGACCAACACGTCTTTCGCCGTCCCTGGCAGTCCCGAAGCAATATGGCCTGCGTCCCTGGGACGATGATCGTCAATCTTATTCCCCACGCCGGAGCTCAACCGTCGCAGGCGCTTCGCATCCCGCATGCCTGCTACCCTACTGCTTTCCCGACACGGCCAGGCCCCAGAGTTTGTCTTGGCCCAGCACCAACACGTATTCTTTGAACCGTACAAAGTATTTGTTACGTTACTTATCATATCCACCTTCTTCTACCTCTTCACACCAGGCCGATCCAACGAAGCAGGCAATGCAGGCATATACGCACCTCTCAACCTTGGTATGCAGCGTGATGGTTGACTCTTGCGCAAGCGGAGCCATCGCTGACCAGTCACATCCGCCATCCATGCAAAAGTCCCCTGGATGTGCAGGAAGCTCTTCGGCCTTGGCCCTTGTCAATGCCACCCGCCCCCGACTTAAGCACGACGACAACGGCCGGCCGATGCCGCCCTGGCGCGCCCGACCTCATCCATGTGGCCAGGCTCGTAGAGGGCAACAAGTGCGGGTCGCGAGTTGTTTTTCTCACCCTCCACCATGTGAAGGACTCGGTTTTGTCTTACAGGACGCCCAAGTTCATTTTCTCGCTCGTCTCTTCTTCCTGTTTGCCGTTTTCTCTCTAGGCCAATCCACTTGGTTTGCAGCTGCCTTCACCTTCAGTCTGGATGATCAAGCCAATTCCCGCCGAGTCAATGTACACCGATTTGCCGCGAGTCATCTGTCTGTCAAGGGTTTCGGCCCAAGTACTGACAGCCTCGTCGATACAAACGCCGACCGATGCCGTCTTGAAGTCAAGGTGGTGGATGCATGCAGACTTTTCTCGGGACGCGTACCCAAGTAGTCCATGCTGTCGTTATCACTTTTATTGATCTTGGCAGCCATTGAATTGGAAGTGTTCCTGTGTGCTGTTGTCATAGATACCCGTCGTCTTCATAATGCGCTTTGCCTTCCTTTCAAGGCAGTAGCTTGCCATTTACAGACCATATCCCTGCCGTCATCTTCGCGGGTCGGAGCAAGGATCTCTGTGCCCATGTTCCCACACCCCTCCTCCGGCGTGCAAATCCACCGGCTTTCTCGCCTCTCGTGTACCATTTGCTCTTTTCCCGACTTGAACATTCGCCAATGACCATCGATTGAAGCATCATGGCAGAAGCCCACAGCTCCATTTGCCCCGACTGCCGTCCGAGGCACGCCCCACGAAGGTGGTGGCACGTCAGTACACGAGGGCCTAGAGCTTAGCTCCCATGTTGTTGGATTCCTTCGTCATCTCATTGTCCCGTGGCTCCCTCTCTGGCTGGCTTAATTAGCTAACCCCTCCCCATCTGCGTGGGAGAGGAGCGTGAAAGATTACCGGTTCACAGGTCGTCCACGTTTGTCAACACCATCTCGGACGGAGGTCCCGCCTGCCGGACACTACGCTGGAAGCTTACGAGGTACGGACTGCTTTCTCTGGCTAAAGCCTGCGGGGAATCTCATCCTGCTATTGAACGGAGTCCTCTTCCTTCCTTCTGGGCTCAGGTAAGGCTGCCTCGCCAATTCAGCTCTCAGCCTCTCTTCCCCTCGTTGCATCCCATCATACATACATATGAGCCCCCAGGTACCATTCTCACCCCGTCTGAGTTTGTTCTGCCCCCAATTCCCACCCAGCACATTCTGTGCGCGCCTTCAGCTTCAACAGTCGCCCTCCCACACTCGTTAGTCGATCGTCGCAACGCAGCAAGCTTGCATACTGCATTGACAGTGGGCGCCTTGGGGATCCGTCGTCGTTCGTTCACTTCAGCTTGTCACCATGCTGTTGAGATCACTGCTGGTCTTTGGGACCTTGGCCATCAGTGCCACCGCGCAGGAGGATTTGTACGCCAGACAGAATGATTCCTATACGGTAGCCTCGGTACTCTCTGCCGAGTACACTCCTTCGCCTTCGCCGGAGTCGATCGCCGAGCCAGCTTCCTCATCCACAGCAAAGGTAGAGTCAGCAGCTGAGCCAGCTTCTTCGGTCGCAGCTCAGCCAGAGCCAACACCTACCAACGCTGAGAAGAAGACCGGAGATTACGGTACCAACACCGACGACTGCGCGCATTGGGGTTCGAAGTGCCCTTGGGGAGAAAAGGTTACCGTCACTGTCACCGACAAGCAGAAGTACACAGAGACCATCACCAAAACGGAGAAGGAGACGGTGTACGTTACCGACAAGAAGACCGTGACTGAGGAGAAGACGATCACCAAGGATAAGACAATCACGGAGGAGAAGCCCGTGGTTTCAACGTAAGTCAACGGTACCGTCGCAAAGCGTCCTGACAGTCTTGGCTAATACGATCACAGTGTCATTGTTGTGTCTAAGGAGACCATCTACACAACCGAAGCTTACACCACCACGGACTACGAAACCACCACGGTTGTGAAGACTCAAGTATCATCTTACCCGGTCACAACAACAGTTGCTGTGTAAGTGAAGCTCACATAGTGCTCGACTCTCCTTCATATATCTGACTGATTCCAGCTGCAAATACCCCTCTGAGGCCGCGTCTACATCTGGGCCGGCCGGCTACCCGACGCAAGGAGGATACGGCAGAAAGAGAACCGACAATAAGATCTGCGAAACCAAGACAACAACGGTCTGGAAGACTACAACAGAAAAGTTCACTGAGTTTTCCACCGTCCCCGTACCAACCACGATTGAAGTCACCAAAAAGTACCCAATCACCGTCACCCACAAGGACGTCGAGACCCAGAAGTTCACGGAGACCAAGGATCGCACTCAGACTCAGAAGTTTACCGAGACTCAGCAAGTCACTGCCACCAGAATCCACACTTCAGTCTCGACTTACACGACGACTAAAGTGTACACTACTGTCATTCCCACGACCGTAGTCTCCAGCGTCACGAAATACCTCACGACAACGTATACGACAGTTGAGACCTCAACGGAGAAGTACTACTTCACGGACACAATCACTCAGAAGTTCACCGACACCGCAACTGTGACCAAGGATGTGACCAAGGATGTGACCAAGGACGTGACCCAGAAGATCACCGACACCGCTACAATCACCAAGCCGGTGACCCGGACCGCTACCGTAACTTCTGTGACAACTTTCACGACCCCGACCACCATCGTGTCTACTTACAAGTACACGACCAAGATCCCGTACACGATCACGGTTGACCACACGACAACCACAACCGCTTACAGCGTGTCTACCTGGACCAGCTACGTGACTTACACCACTCCTGTCACTATTACGGCCTCTTTCACGGACTTCCAGACCAAAACTGCGACTGCTACTCAAACAGCCACGGTTACCGACAAGCAAACTGAGAGATACACCGAATGGCTTACTTCGTCGACAACCATCTATGTCTCTACCACATTCTTTGACACGATTACCATCTCGACTAGCTACCCAGTCACGGTCCCAGTGACTGTCACGAACGATCGTACTATCCGGGAGACTTCGTACACCACTGTTGTCGAGACCTACATCTCCACGATCATTTCAGAAGTGCCCGTCATCTCGCTCATTACTCTGCCTGCCTCTACTGTGAGAGTCCCTACGTCAATCTTTGCCACGGTTACCGCACCTGGCGCAACCATTACTTCGCCTCCTCAGACTGTCACGCTTCCTGGAGAGACAAGAATTTCGACTATTGCAGGCGAGGTTACGACAATCACTCTTCCAGGAACCACTTTGACTCTTACCACGACTGACCTTGACACCGTCACTCTCCCGCCTGAGACAACCACTCTCCCCGGTAGCACCGTCATTACCACTGTGATTGAGACCGCACCTGCGTCCACAGTGACTATTACTGAGGACGGCACGACTATCACCAGCATTATTCCCGGCCCGACTTCCGTAGTCACCACGACCTTGACTGTGCCGCCCATCACTATTACGTTGCCTCCCACAACGGTCACCCAAACTCAGACAGCCTGCCCCGCTCCTACCAACACCGGTCTTGCCGTCAACTCTGTTTTCGACCCGAAGTCAGACCTCACCTGGGGCTGTAAGCCTGGATGGGTCTGCAATCCTCGCAAGCCTGCAGGTTGCAAGCTGTGGCAGGACTCCCCGGCAGACAACTTCGTCTGCGACCCCAACGACTGTGTTCGCGCGCCGCCCTTCACTCTAGCAAACTGGAGGGACAACGAGACAGGTTACGTCCCCCCGAACGAAGGCTATTTCAACCTTGACCCCAGGGCCTTCGGTCTGACGTACGATATTTTCGAGTACGAGGTTATCGTGAAGAAGATCAAGGGCAAACACGGCTGGAAGAAGACGACTATCACAACAGGCAACTGGGCCTCCGCCACTGACTTGACTCATTACCCACCGACCGCTTCAGCAACAACGATTGCACCTGCACCGACTTACAAGGCGGAAACGGGCGGTAAGCATTACCACAAGGAGGGCAAGACTTACGAACGCCGCGCCTTCCTCCGCAAGCGCGACGAGACTGTGTACCCTTCTCAGTGCTACGAGAGCTGCAACAACCCGTATATCGAGCTTCAGAGCATTGGTAAAGACAACAGCCAGCTTTGTGCCCCGGGCTCAGCATTCCTGGAGGGCGTTGACACGTGCAAAGTTTGCGTCGACTCTAACTCTGACGAGAAGAAGACTACGGCTGCTTATCTTGACCCCAAGTTTTCTCAGTTCATCAACTTCTGCTCAGGTCAATCAACAACGCCGACATCGACCTCTGCATCGCAAGCTGAGCCTATCGTGACCGGAACCTCAAGCGTCACTACGGCAAGCCAAGGAGCTGGTGCAACCGATACGTCCGCCGTGCCTATCCCTGACACCACAACGACGACGTCTGCCCCGGAGACAACCTCTACTCCAACGCCTACCCCCACGCCGTCTAGCAGCTCCTCCGTGGTTCCCACTACAGAGTCGACTACAAGCACCACAGAGTCGACGGCCTCCACTAGTTCGTCTGCTTTAGAGACCCCGTCATCGGAGTCTTCGCCTTCAAGCACGGTCGCCAGCCCGTCTACGACCACGACAGTGACTGCTTCCGCTTCTGAGACAGCTTCACTCTCTGCGAGCGAGTCTGCGTCTGCGACCGTGTCTCTTTCTGAGACCGCACAATCGACTGCCACTGCCACTGCCACTGCCTCGGCTTCGGCGTCGGCTTCAGTTTCAGCTTCGGCTTCAGCTTCGGCTTCAGCCTCCACCGCACCGCCCTCGACAGAATCCACCGGAAGCGGAACCGCAACCACCGGCACCAGCCCCAGCACCTCGGTATCAAACCCATCTGAATCAAGCACGGTCGTGCCGACGGCGACCGGCGGAACCCCTAGTTCCAGCTCAGGCGCCTCCACGACCGTCACCGAGCCCAGCTCATCTTCAACCGCGTCCGCCCCGTCCAGCGTACCCACCGCCGGAGCGGCGAAACCCGCCACCTCCACCCTCCTCGCCATCCTCGCGCCGCTTTTGGCTATTCTTCTCATCTAATCTTCTCATGCACTCCTTCTGACCACATATTTCCACCTTTCTTCTCTTCTTTATGGATCTATACCATACATTCAGGCGGGAAAAGTTATTTTGCTTTATAATTCACGACATTCCCTATGGCTCCAAGCCAATGACAATTTCGGCGTTTTGACGAAAGAGACCTTTGACGACACGATTCGGTAACGGCATTCACGACACTCCTTAAGAATAATGAATAATTCGGCATATTATGGGCGGGTAAACACATTTTGCATATTTATTGGACGGATTGACTGGTTATGATACCCCCCGACACTCCTTCACGGCGCGCGCAACCCGGGAGCCCGGTGAGGCTTTCGGCAGGGGTTACTGAAGATACATTGAGGCAAGAAGGCTTTTGTCTGCGATGAATCTAATGGATTTGAGATTGGAAATGTTAGAAATTCTTGACCTTTTGGAGGTTCGATAATGGGAACTCGGGTGCAGGTTGAGGCGAGGTGGCCTCTGTGCCTGGTGGTTGTATGTGAGAGCACGATATCCATTGCATTAATGTCTTTTGATTCTCCGAAGTATCCCGCGCGTGTATGTGATGTTTCCATATTCGGCTTTTGACTCATTTTAAAGAAGCAATCTGTCCTCTATTCTAGGCTCCGTGTGGGTTTTGAGCGATCAGACCCGCAATCGCGCGGCGGCACAGCAGAAGTCGGGCGACGACGTGACTCTCGGTGATCCTTTGGGACTCCGCTTCAAACTCATGGCCTGTTCGAACACGTCTTCTTTGAACATGATGAGCACGATAATGAAGACGTGTTTTGAGATGAAGCCACAGGCTTCAGCCTGCTTTCGAACGCTGTTTAAAAGAGACATGAGCCCGTCACGACGAACCACGGGATATGAGCAACTCATCACACCAGCTTTTCATCACTCAATCTCCATCCGGCCTTTACCATGAAGACGCGATCAACCCTATCCCTCTTCTTCTTCTCCGCCCTCCTATTTCAAGACCTCGCAGCAGCATGGCAATTCCCATCCCTCCAAGTCCCCCTCATCCCCTCATGGCATGGCAGCAGCAGCAGCGGCACCCCGGCAACAAACAACATCCCGCAATTCATCCTCGACACCAAACACCCCTGGCTAACAACCCATGCCGACGACCTCTCGCGACTCCGCCCCGACGACGCGTACTCGCTCTTCTGCGACCCCGTCCCGGCCGAGAACCACCAACCCGGCAAGCACGGCGGGCTAGACCTCCCCGCTGACCTCTTCCACCGCCTCCGCGTCAAAGACTCCCCCACCGACATCCCCAGCTGGACCAACGCGCGCGCGCTCCTCAGCGAAATGAAGCATTGCCCGCGCGCCCTCTCCGAAGTCCGCGAACTCGGCGTCCACCTGTACCCGCGCACGGCGGACTGGCTCCTTGAAGAGCTCAGGGAGCCCGTGCTCCCGCCGGCGGGCTTGCCTGAGTTATTCGCCGAGGTGTTGGGCTCGATGAAGGGCTTGGAGAAGCTGGATTGGGGGATTAGGGGGTGGGACCAGAACCAGGTCATCCGGGCCGCGTTTGAGGAGCACGGGGTGAGGTTGGATGATGTGCGGGAGTTGGGGGTCGATATGTACGCGTCCTGGATGCTGGATGTCGCGCCGAATGTGCAGAAGTTGCAGATTCGGAGGGCCGAGGGGGCAACGCGTCCGGAGGATCCGAGGGGGTATAAGATGCAGGTGTTTGGGGGTTTGAAGAGGTGGAGGTTGAGGGAGCTCGATCTCGAGCTGGAGAGTTGGACGCCGGAGATGACGCGGCGTAGGTTCCCGGATGGGCGTTTTGCGGAGTTGACGCTAACGAACGATCACAGTCCTGCCCGAAATGCTCCCCGAGATCGAAGACCTCCGCTTCCAGAGTTTCGAGAGAGGTCCTCGCGCTGCTCGGGGAGAAGCTTTACAAGTGCGTCGAACCCGACGAGCCTCCTACGGAAAGCAGCACACTAACACGAACAACAGAACCTGACGCGAGCCCTCGGCTCCCTTAACAACCTCCGACGACTTCACCTCCCGTGGTCGGCCGAGCTGGGGCTCGGCTTCGACGGCGGACCGCTGTGCGGAAACTTTTACGACGGCGCGGACGGCGCCAGGTTGAGGCGCCGGGTCGAGATGGAGAACATCAACGCGACGGAGCGCGCGGGGGAGATTGTGCGGGCGAACGTGCCACGTCTGAAGGGGGTAGATGTCGGCGGGTTCTATGGGAACTTCACGGTGGACGGTGAGGGGAGGGATGTGACCGTGTGGCCGTGGACTGGGAGGTTGGAGGATTGGCTTTTGGAGATTTATATCTGATTTTGTGGAAGCTGTTGTATGGTTATCTCGGGGTATTATTATCTGCCCGTATAATGTCATTGGACTTTTGTCGATAGACAACTTCAAGCTTTTTTCACGTCCAACTCACTTCGATGGGGATGGAGATGGTGATGGGAAAGTTGCAATTATCACCACCATGCATCTCAGCCCCGATTATGAACTAGGAAACCGCAGGATTGATTACTCGGGATGAACTAGATAATACTGCTGCATCTCTCATTTATCGTAGAATATAGTAAAGCCCTCCCTACTTAACCAGTCACGAAGCCATTGTTGTTTTTGCAGGTCATGGTCCGCTCCGTCTTTCATTGTTGGCGATGATTACAGAAACACCGTTTCACGGGTTGTGATAGGATACCGCTGTGTGTCGGCATGCAAGTTGACCAATGAAGTCGATCACGTAGAGCATGCACAGCCACGGTATCTAACGCGTAATTCTGAGCGTTTCAAACAGTGATTGGGTTGGTCGCCTTTGGAGATGACGCGGCGGGGTGGCGTGAGGCTACCTGCGAACATTTGTGCCAACATCGTTCAATTGCCTTTGAACCTTACCCTCTCAACTTTCTGCAACGTGTTACAAGAAGCTCACGCTGCCTGCTCGACCGTTCAACAGGAAGCATGGAAGCAGCCGCTGGTATCGTTGGCCTGCTCGGCTTCACTGGACAGCTGCTGAGTGGGCTGTCGAAGCTTAACGAGTACCTCGAAGACAATAAAGAAGTGGGCGGCAGAACCGAAATCGCCACAGGAGAGGCATTGAGACTGGTTGTGACGGTCAAAGAGGTGGAATCAATCCTCGAAAGTCTGAAGACCAGCCGCATAACCAAGAACCGAGATTCTTGGGATACAGTGATCGCCACTCTTCGAAAACAGCTACAGCGATGCAACCAGGAAATAGACGAATGGGTTCAGAATCACATTTTGAGGAAGGATTCTTACTCAAAGGTGCAAAACTTTGGCGACGTCTTGCGAAATCGCAAGGTGAGGGCAATCGAAAAGTTGGAATCCAGGCTTTCATCACACAGAAGCCAAATCACCATGAGCATCTCGGTTATCAACACGTGAGCATCTCTACCTGAACTTCTTGGTTTAATAACTAAATGATGTAGGTCTCTTTCTGGAATGGGGATGGAAAAGCTGGACCGGTTTGAAGCCGGTGTCCAGCATCTGACGGAAGCTAATCTGAAGTTCAGTACGGAGAACAAAGAGCTTACCTCAAATGCCATGGCAAAGTCAATCATGCTACACGAGACACTGGTGGGCCACGTATCAACTTCTTCGGCAGAGCAGATGAAGAGGAGTATGCTGATGCATGAAGAAACGCTCAGTCACATCTCCAGTCTCAGCAACAGTCTATCTAGCATTGCTAGCGCTACTGAGTCTCTCAGCCGAATGGTAATAACAGCATCATTGGGGGAGAGAAAAACATTTGAGGCGACTGAAAAGCCCCACGGGAAACATGAAAAAAAGGATGATGTTCCATTGATTGCTTCTCAATCCCCTGGGGGCTCTGGCCAGTTAGGTCAAAGCTGGTCCTGCGGAGCAATTCTGGGAATTGATGAGACATACGTTGAGTCAACATCGCATCACTTAACTCGGTGCCTGTTCTGTTTCGGAGACCTTCGCAGTCGCGGATTCCGTGCAAAGGCCAAACACATTGTCGAACGGCACAATTATTCAGGATGCGACCAAAGTACGATGTATGCAACGCTCGATGATTTCAAACTTCATCTACAGGCGGAGCACGCGGCCACAAATCTTGAAGTCTCTGAGAGGTTTCTATCACGTTTTGCAGTGTGTGCTGGAACGCGTTGGGACTTGCGGCATCCAGGAGTGTTAGGGAAGCCGCTCGTCGTAGAGAAGGCTGCGGAACAAACTCTCTTTGCTTGGGAGATGACATACTTGCTTGCTAGGACACCACACCTGAGTTCCATGAGATCAAATAGTGTCAAGAGCAACGGAAAGGTATATCAGGCGGTCCCTGTTGAGTTTGGAAGACTGAATACTGCCATGGAATGCCTGGCTAAAGACGTATTTTCACCAAACACGTCAGCATCTTCACCCGAGTTGGCAAGGATATTACACCAAGCTGCAAACCTGGAGCAAGAGTTCATCGTCAGATTTGACCGGCCGTTTCCCAAACGCTGGGCACCCGTTCCGGACTGCTTGCTGGGGGAATCATCTGGGATCCAGCGTCAGGAGTTGATGATGGACGACAGCCAAATTCACTTGCGGCCTTTTCTACACGGAATGCTCTGGCCGACAACCAGCGAACACGCAGCGGCAACAAATTATCAGTGCTGCCGTGAGTGTAGTGACCAGCGGAGGAAACGCTACTACACAGCCAACGCATCCGGGCTGTGTAACTCGCACCAGGCCGCAACTCTGCGCAAGATCTGCCCCGACAGTGCACACGAGTGGTGCTCACTTCGAAACGACTTAAAAGTATCGGCTCTTTTCTTCTCGCTGAAAGACTGGATCTCTCCCAGAGACAGGGTCGATTTGTGGATGCTGGATGTCCTGCACAAATCCGACCATCTCTTGGCCATGTTTCGGTGCGGTGCTGTGGTCGGCAAGCCGTCAGACTGCTCGGCAGCCAGCTCGCCCAGTCCAGTGGTGGACGAGGTGCTACTAGACACAGAGCCGCAGTTCTGGGGCTGCGAATGGACTCAGGACTTGCTTGGCGCTTTTGAAGACACGATTCTCCTTGACGACGACTGCGACGAGTCTGCTCACGCCTTCTTTGGCGCGGTTTCCGAAGGGGCAGTGGACAGTCGTGATGATTACATTGGTTTGGCGGCGTCTCTGCGATCGGTTTCGAGAAACAAACGAGATACTGGTGGCAATGTAAGCCATGACGAGAAGGTGAAAGCTCCATAATCACAACACAGAAAACCTCTCTGCATTGCTGCGCGGTGAAAGCAAGTGCTAACGTCTATTCTAGAATAGTGTTTGTTGAATGAATATCATTATAACCTAGAACCCTGCCCGTCGGTACCCTGAAATGCCCTTCACAGTTTCCTGGTGCCCAATACGGTAAGACCAGGGATATTCAAATAGACTTGAAGCAAATTGAATAAGATTCATCTAACTAATCTTGACTTATCGGGAGAGGTACGTGGAAAGTTCACATAGTTACCCTAAAGCATGGCTTTTGAAGCCATCTTCACATCGTAATAGATAGGCAAACGGTTGTTACTGTATGTATCCAATGACTCGATATTTGTTAGGGAAATGCTCTGGTACCCGTGAAAAATGCGGAATATTTGCTTTGGTCTGATTACCCCTCAAGGGCTACGACAACGAGGCTGTGGAATGGCCATCCCGTCTTGAGGCTTTCATATCTTGTGTTCGATGATCCCTTAAGCCTGACCCAATGATAGCCAATCCAGGTTGAAACCATCATCATCGTCTTCATCTTCCACCTCCCACTCAGCTCTCTTGATTGAGTCCCAGTTCTCCGGCCGGTATCCAGATCCTTTGCTCTCTGCGGTATATTCGTCCGCCGTTATATGTATACCACCCTCGTCCTCTTCGGCCGCCTTCACCCATCCCCAGAAGCTTGTAGACATGTCCGCCTTGTCTTCATTCTCAGTATCTCTCATGGTTTGATACTCACCGTAGTCTTCCTCGTCCTCCGAGACCTCTCCGACCTCCTCGACCACAAATCGTCCGCCTGTTGCTGGTCCATACCCGTAGGGGAAGTACTTTGCCGCCTTCGCAAACACCGCCTGCTTTGCTCTTTGCCTCTCGCCTGCATACGCAGAGTCCAGACCCTCATTAACGTTGATCCTGTTGTTGGACGCAAAGACCTTGGGCTTCCACTGGTATGGGTCCATCGGCAAACTTGCAAAGTGCGCTGCATTGTCGGCGCCCCAGTCCAGGTGCAGCACATAGATTGGAATGATCTGCGCTGGGTCGAAGACGATGTATTCAAGCTCGCGGTTCGCCACGTGTGAATCAGCGCCCTCGTATGGCCTCGACTGCGTGCGCCAGTTGTCTTCGCGGAACATCTGGCGCGCGCGACCCATGATGGTGGCGCACACAATCAACTTGAGGCCGAAGTACTCGGTCGGCGATGTCGGCCGCGCCCAGTAATCCGTGTAGCACAAGGAAAAGTCCGCGCTGGGCGAACTGTAGATGCCGCGACCGTAGGTCGACCCACAACGGACCTGGTGCACGTTTCCATCGTATCCTCCTTTGTCGCCCTTTGGCACGCGCGAGCCCGGCTTGAGGAAGCCGTGACGGACGATCGAGGGAACGAAGTGGCGCTGCGTGCCGTGAAACGTCATGCGTGGACGAATGAGATGCTCAAGCTTGTCCTCGAGACGGGTATGCTTCACGCAGCAATTCGGAAGGCTTTTGTGGTGGAGGAGGAGCCTTTCGCGCAACCGAGCTCGGCAAGCATCGAAGCGGGCAGCTAGATCACGCCGGATGACACACTCGACGTGAAGAACTCGGTAACACGAAGGAATCGTCTCGCAGATCTCCCTAGCCGACATGCCCAGGTACTCTAAGGCGATCTCGTTGGTTGTAATCGCCTGGACGGCCTTCCTTTGAAATTGGTCCGATGGTATGCGTCCCTTTTCGTCGGCTTTCTGGTTAGATCGACTTTGTACCGCCTTCACCAGAGCATCCACCTCTTGGGCCATCTTCAAGACAACCTTGGTCGCCTCAAAGATTCCATACGTGCTATTTTCCCTATCAAGCCATTTTTCGACGCAGTTCGTCTCGGCCGCCTCCTCGATCATGCCGCGAAGGGTAGCACGGAGGCCATCTATGTCCCTACGCGAGAGTGTGAGGTTGATGAGGTCAAAGGCGGGTGCCCTGACAGGATAGTGAATACCAGCTGTGACTTGGAGGATGAGCTCTTCGTGCGTAAAGCAGAGTACGTCGTCCATCGGTGAGGATAATCGGTGGTCGTCGCTGAGGAAGCCAGCGTCGATGAGAGCGTCTGTTTCTTCATCACGAAGTAGGGATAGCTGAACGATATCTTCTTCAGAGAATTCGAGATCAGCCATTCTGGAGTCACGGGCGTGGCCTGAATCCGCACGATGCGGATAGTCGGTCGGTGTGGGAGGGAGACTTTTGAAGCGTTTATGAATTCCCCATAGCTAGCGCGGCTAGCGAATTGTTCAAGGAAATAGCTCACCAAGAAAATCGAAGTGGTGAGCTCGATTGATAACAATGCCAATGTAGGTTGTCTCAGTGATTAGGGGTTAGGAGAGGTTTTTCGGCTGAATTTAGTTAGCAGAGGATTAACCTAGTGTAAGCCATTTTGGGCTCACCGAAGAGTCATCGGACTAAATACACTTCGGACAGCACTAGCACTATTTTTGGCAACCAGTGAAATGCAGCAAACGTCAATAAATCAAAGCGTAAATCGTGCTTTCCCCACGAAAATCAACGTTGTCTGTTGACCGACCTCAGCGTGAGCCAACAAGAAAGGTCAACAAGGCAAAGCGTGAAATGCAGCAAGTGAAAACCAGCCAGCCAGCCCCATGAGGCCTCAGATGAATCACATAAATCACTTGTTGACAGCGCAGCTACTCAAGTAGGCGTATCAAGTCTGCCATCCCGAAATTTAGAGAACGCAAAACCTTGTGGAACAACGTTCAGGGACTTGACACACTCTTGAGCTGCATTCTAGAATCCCTGAACAAGCCAGTTCCACTTGATTCGACCATCGACAGCGACCTGTCTGGCATTTTGGGTCAAAGAAACCATCAACAAATGCAATAACACTTGGAATACCTTGGGTATTCTGCGCTAATCATGCAGTGAACCAATGAGAATAGCCTGGTTGAACTGCCTCTTTTGTGATATATACCCCGCTTTCCGCACGTCATATTACTGAACGCTCACCCAGGCAGCAGTCCATCACATAGCCGCATATTCATCTTCTATTTCTAGTTGGCGTCCATCCTCAGTCAAGAAACACATACGCCCTCACTGGGCTCTTTACCATCCAATCAGTATGGCTCGCACGAAGCAAACAGCAAAACCCTATCAAAAAGGGCTGACAACATGGACACGATTTTATCTACCGCGGGAGCAAGAGTGGCCGACATGGTCTGTAGACCACGCTGATGTCCACGTTGGCCCGCTTGCAGACGTAACAGGTTGTCGGAAACCATCATTAGGAAGGATGGTCGAAGACCCAGAGCAGGCCGCCTATATCATCGGTGAGTATAATCTGCATCGAAACGGGTGGTGAATATCTCGACTAATCGTGTACAGAATGGACCACCTTGGATGACCTGAAGAACTTTCAGTCCTCCCCCGCCTGCGCAGAGTTTCTGCGAAATCTCCCTGAAAGCAAAGATCCACGAGTCTCTGTCGAATCCGGTCAAGCTCTGGGGCATCTGAGCTTCGAGGATGCGTCCGCTCAGCCGTCGCCTGCTTCGTCGCGCTTCTTAACCTTGAAACATATCAAAGAGGAAGTGACATCAAACGTCGAGGGCCGCGTGACGTTTACTGCCTTCTCAATACCGCAAAAGATCGACGACGTTCGGGGGATGTGGAACGACAAATTCAGCAGTGCGTTTGGCACCTTCGTCCCACGCGGCTCCGAGTTCATGAAAAGCCATCGCTATTTCCGACACCATCTCTCAGCCGTGTGGTTCTGGGTGCTTGAGGAAGACAATTGGGTGGCAAACAAGTTCGGAAATTCGGACCAAACACAAGGACATAGCCACGGCCGGACAGTCTTCTGCCAGTTTTACGTCTGGCGTCGTAGACTGGATGTCACTCCGGAGCACGAAGAAGCCTCGGCAGCGGACCCGCAGGCGAGGGAGTCGTGGGAGCAAGCGATAGCGCAGGTTATGCCTCCGGCCACCGCCTGGGAACAGGAGCGTTGGGACATCCGGGGTGTGCCACGGTTCTTTCCCCCCGAGCCCGATGTAGATCCCGAGTATCCTGAGTATGAACTGGAGCAGCGAAGAGCCTTGGATGAGTATCTCCAAATGCATGGTTTCAAAGTCGGTGAGACTTCACAAACTGACTAGCTTTACTACACTAAGTAGGCAACTAAACGAGAACCACAACTAGTATTTACAAGAATAGATCGTAACTGCTCCTTTGGGCGGGCATTTGCAAGTTCCCGATTTGTGACCTTCGGCAGCGCGCATTCTTTCCAGCCGCCTAAGATGGAGGCTATGCTGCCCCAAATACCCGGTTTTGGCCTACGCCTTGGTGTCTAAAGGTCCATTGGTGTGGAATAGACCACGCTTCATTGGCATCAGGAACTCCAAATAAGTGATACATGTGAGCAATGAAGAAGACGTAGTTCTCGGGGTTGATCTCAGCCTCGTTCGGGTTACTCCTCGCAAGGTTCTGGCAGGCGGCAATGTCGTCTGCCAATGAATGTGTTAGCATGTCTTCTCTACACAAATGGAAAGTCGGGTACTGCTGGAAAAAGCCATACATGTCTCATCATCTCCTGCTAGAAAGTACCCTCCGTAGAGAGTGTGGAACATCTCATGAAGAAAGGTGGCACTCTTGGGAATGGCATCCGCGAGATTCGTCGGCGGGCTGTCGGTGATCAAGTTGTTTGCGTCTCTGTAGGTATTTGGCATGTCGGTTCTGTCAAAACTGTGCGGGCACATGATCAGGCTTGTTTTACTGTCACCAGTCACAGCCTGGCCGTTGGCTCCTTGAATGTACGGTTGAATGTCGGCGGTGACGCCGAGGTCGTCATCGTAGCAGTAGTTGGCGCCGTATTCCGTGAAGAAGTACCCCTTCATGTTTTCCAGGAGATCGCCAGACCACCAAGCCTTGTTGTCGGGATCTTCGTTCAGCGCAGTCCGGTATTCCGGTACGCTGTCAATGGGAACTGGGTCCCCGTTCTGGTCTCGAATCTCGTTGCCTTGGAAATCGAGTGCTGGGTCGGTTCTTTCATGCAGGGTGAAGAAGGTGCTGTCACAAAAGAATAGGTAGTCGTCTCTGTTGTAATCAGGGTTGTCGTTGAGAAAGTCTCTAACGCGTATGATGTTTTCTATTCACACTGTCAGTCCAACCGGTGCTTTTGGTATGGGAAGACTGAGGGACGGGAGATGCGTGTGGTTTTCCAGCGGCATCTGGAAGAAGTACCGAAGAACTAGATGGCAATCGAAACTTACCTCTGACCCTCATTCTGGCTTGATACGAGGGTGTATTAACTCCAGTCCTTGCTCGGTTTGCAATTCCAAAGAAGACGCTCAGTGACCGTCTGACTTCTACTTCTCTGTCATAGTTGTCAATGGCGGTCACTGCCGCATCGGTACTGTAAATGGATTCTGTATGCCAATCATCCAAAACGGCCAGTCTGTCGTTGCAGCCGCCATCATTTGAACGGTCCTGAAGCGTAAAGATGTCGCCGAGCTCGAGAGCGAGGATTCCTGACAGGAAGAATAGGAGGCCTGAGAACAGCCGAAGAAATGCAGAGCCCTTCGCCATAGTGTGAAGACTCAGACAATGCGCGAGCAAAAGGGCTCTTAGCTTTGATGTGCCTAGGGCGAGTGAAGATGAATCTAGGACGAAGAGAAACGAGGGACGACAGCGGTGTTAGTGGCAGCGGGCTCGCGTTGACCGGGCAGAAACGATCACCACCATATTCATGAACTCCTGACCACGCGCGAGGCAGCAACCTTCCCTTCCCTAGAACCGGCTCATCCGATTGTCACCTCGTGAGCAGCAATTTACAAAAGGCCCGGCGAAATCTCCGCGATGTACCTAGCATGATGTTGCGTTATGGCTTCACGGTTGTAGACACTCTGCATACAGGTTGGGGGCGAACGAAGGATTCTCGATAGTCCCCAAAGCTGATCAGGCGAGTGTGACAACCAGGACGAAGGATGCAGTCTGTGAGGCATCCGTATGAAGTATGTGATACTGCTGAGCCGCGAAAGCACATGGCAGCTAGACGGCTGCGTGCAGGCCTTGATACCGAAGTCCTTACATGATACAACTCTACCTAAGGACCTTCCTTTTGAGGCGATAGCTAACAAGCTGAATTTTGATAGCGGTCAGCTTACGTGCATGATCAGGTATTCCACAACGTCAGGGGGAGAGTGTGCCTTGCATGATGGTTTGCTGGTGTAAGAATCAAAGAAAGCCGGACCTTAGCGGCGTGGGGTAATTCTCAGAAATACCACCATTGTAATAACAGGGTCCTTACGTTGGTCAGCCCAGCCAGGCAGCCAAGGCTCATCCACATTCGTTTCCTCGGGAAGATCACTTGGCTTCCCATGTGGACTAGCGTTTATATGCATCCCGGTATATCGACATGGTTTCTGTCATTTTAATTGGCTTGATCGGGCGGAGAAACAGATTGCGAAGGATTTAATCACACTCAAGGCATGGGAGGCACGGGAGGCACGGAAACGAAAAGCTTGGAGCGCCACACGGGAAATGCTTGATTTATCTCTCGCATCGGCAGTTGCCAGCTACAGCCTAGTCTCATGTCGAGCTATCGATATGCAGGCCCAGTTCCTACGCTCCCGAAGCCACAATCTTGACGATGATGCCACTGGTAACATAGCCGGCAGGGTAAGTTGAGCCCGAGTACGTCGGGTTGGCGGTGTTGACAATCACCCCTTCGGAGCCGCCGTCGGTGCCGCAACCGATGAGAGCAGCAGCCTGCTGGGTTGAGTTGGCGTTGACTCCGCCGTCGATGGTGGTGGCGATGTCGGCGAAGAGCACACTCGAGTTGACGGTGTTGTCGATGTGTTTCGCAAACGCCTGCGCCGTGCCGTGGGCATAGAGGAGCCATTCGCCGCAGTCAGGCGCGTCGGAGGCGGCCATGTTGAAGAGGCGGCCGGTCCTGACCTGCGCACCGTACGATCGAAGGTACGCGGCTATGAACAAGACATCGTCGAGCACCACATCTTGCGGCACGTTGTCCGGCGCCGTGTAGCAGAGCTGACTTGGCGTCTCGGTCTCGTAGCAGACGCGAACTGTTGGGCCTTCAATGGGGGCTGCGATAGCGCCGCCAAGGAGAGCGAGCGAGATGACGCTGACGAGATTGGAGAGCATTTTGAGGGCAAATTTGAATCAGCTGAGGTGTTCCGGTAACGATGGCGAGTAATTCGGGAATGCGGGAGCTGAATCGTATAGATTGTCGTGGCGACTTGGAAACGAAAGTTCCTTGGCCAACTTATAATCGCCCAAGTCTAAGTTGTGTATCACGACAGTGAGAAACCGTGGAAAAAGCCTCGGTGCGTGAAATCACGGTTCCTAGCATCCTCGCATCTTTCGGTTTGCTATCTAGTACGTATTCAACTGACGCCGGACAGCTGGGGAACTTCGGTAACCAACGCCAAGAGTGAAGTAGACAATCACTCGCCGCTGCGCCGCTTCAATACATTTTACGTCGTAATCTCAGGATGACTGCATCAGTCTTTTCACTAGAGATATTGCAGCCATGCCTGCACAGGAAGGTTGCAAAGACGTAAGATGAGGCCTGCACGATCGGCCCGCTGACTGCAGCCGAAAGCTTGATACCTGCAATATGAAGAATCCCTCGTGAAAATGCACCATGTTGCGGCCTGGGTCCGGATAAGACGGTGATAGGATCATGCATGCATGAGTTGCTAGGCTTTCAAACCACAAGATTCTTCAATCCTAGGCCACAAGGAATGATCATACGGGATCAGGATGGTTACTCCGATGGAAGGCTGGAGCCTAGAGCATCGTAGTCATCTGATCAGCTTTGCGACCAGATGGTGTCCTTCCCAGGAGGGCAAATAGAACCGAAGGCGCGGCAAGTACGGAATAGGGGCGAGCCCGGGACGTGGTGAGGCTATTCCTAGCTCGCGGTTGCTTATGGTGAAATGATGGGAGTGCCCTTCCCCCCGAGCCAAGTTTCTCTCCGTCAAAGTCACCGCGCTTCTCTGCGTTTCCTCGAGATACTGCTGTCCGTGTTGGACTCATAGAGCACAATGACGGTGCTGTTCACTCTTTTCTTTACTTTGCTGGCCGCGCAATGGAGCCTTGTGCGGTCAGCGAGCACGGCTCGTGGTCTCAACTCAACTCACCCATCTCTCAACACAACCCAGGGCGCTGGTGGTCCTCGAGTACGTGTGGTATCCTGCCATATTTGAAGATAGTTACTGACATCTCTCTTCGCAGCCGGCACCGGCCTACATGGTTGATAATCAGCACAACTATTACAAGACGGCGCCAGACAAAGGCAGGCAAAATGGTCCAGTTTGGACATACTCAGGTAGCCTGGATAACTACTTGACCAATCTTCAGAGTGGTTTCGTAGTCCGCGGCGGCTATGCCAGATCCAATGGCACTAGAAGGATGAAATTGAAGTCCAATTCGACTGCTCAGAAAAGGCAATCATCTGACTTTTGGCTGTCAAGTCTGGGACCTTTGGGAACTGTGAGTTCTACGTCCTACTTCTGTTATAGATGGTTCTAACTGAAAAAGCAACCGCACGCTGGTGGGGGCGACTACCAATTCTTCCGTAACGTCGTGGAGGACTTTGGCGCCGATAACTCGGGAGAAACAGACGCGACCGAGGCACTCAACGCGGCTTCGGCCAGTTGGAACAAAGACTCGGTCGGTGGCTCCCAGACGCGATGCGGCGAGAAGTGTGGCAATACGTTCTCGCAGGGAGCCATCGTCTATTTCCCCGGAGGCACCTACAAAGTCTGCACGCCAGTGATTCAATATTACTACACGCAATTCGTCGGTGACCCGAACGACATGCCCATCATCAAAGGTTGCGACGACTTCCAGGGCATCGCCTTGTTCGACGTGGATCCTTACATCCCTGGCGCCTCGGGTTCGCAATGGTACATCAACCAGAACCAATTCTTCCGTCAGATTCGGAACTTTCGCTTCGATCTCACCGAGATGCCTGAGTCGACCGCCGAGAATGACCAGGACCTCGTGCCCACGGGAATCCATTGGCAGGTGTCTCAAGCCACATCGTTGCAGAACTTGGTGTTTGACATGCCTACGACAAGCACCACGACCGCCGTCGGTATATTCACTGAAAACGGCAGCGGTGGCTTTGTATCTGATCTTGAGTTCAACGGTGGTAACATCGGTTGGCGTGCCGGTTCTCAGCAGTATACGGCGCGCAACCTGGTCTTCAACCAGTGCAATACGGCCGTTCAGATGGTCTGGGACTGGGGCTGGGCCTGGCAGCAGATCACCGTCAACGGTGGTTCCATCGCCTTCAATATCTCTGGCGTCGGCGGCGACAGCGGGCAAGGCACCGGCAGTGTGTCCATCATCGACTCCACCATCAGCGACGTGGAGACTGGTGTCTTGACAAACAGCCTCTCTACCTCCCCCAACATTGTTCTCGATAATACAAACTTCAAGAACGTGGCCAAACCAGTCGCAGTCGAGGGTGGAAGCACCATCCTGTCGGGAAACTCCGATCTATGGGCTACCGGGAAGCGATACAATGGCTCTGACGGCTCAGTGCAAACAGGCGCCGTCACAGCCCCTGGAAGGGGAAAGGGACTGGAAGATTCCAACGGCTTGCTATACGTTCGTTCAAGACCGCAGTACGAGAAGACCGGCGTCGGTTCTTTTCTGGTTGCCACCACAGATGGCGGATGCAAGAACGACGCGACGGGTGATCAGGCATCTTGCGTCAACGCGTTTCTTCGTAAGGCTAGAGACGGCGGCCAGATCGCCTACTTCCCGGCCGGAGTCTATGCGGTTGGATCTACGGTGAACATCCCCACCGGTTCAGTTGTGCAGGGCTCTTTGTGGTCACAGATTGTAGGGTCCGGCTTCTACTTCAGCGACATGAAGAACCCTAAGGTCATGGTGCAAGTCGGCAACAAGGGCGACATCGGCACCATGGAGATCACCGAAATGATGTTCTCGGTGCGTGGTGCAACAGCTGGCGCCATCCTTATGGAATGGAATGTTGCTGCTAAGTCACAAGGAGCGGCAGCCATGTGGGATTCGCACTTCCGCGTTGGCGGTGCTATAGGTACCGATCTCGACCTTAGCAAATGCCCCAAGTTCAGCAACAATGCCGAGTGTATTGCGGCCTCTCTCATGTTCCGCATTACTCCCCAATCCAATGGGTACTTCGAAAACGTATGGGCGTGGGTGGCTGACCATGACAACGACAAGTCCATCTACAATCAGCCCGACTCAAGCTCAACTCAGATCTCTATTTTCGGCGCCCGCGGCATGTTGATCGAGTCCGAGGGACCATCGTGGTTCTACGGCGGTGGCTCCGAGCACTCGGTGCTGTACAACTATCTCATCAGCGGCGCCAAGAGCGTGTATATGGGTCACATCCAGACTGAGTCACCTTACTACCAGCCCAACCCCGGTCCCCCTGCACCTTTCCGCGCGGTCAGCGGCGCCAGTTCCAGCTTTCCCAATGACCCAGACTTCAGCGAATGCGAAGTTGAAGCCAACGTGTGGGATGATCGGTGCAATTACGCCTGGGGACTCCAGATCATCGATTCTAAAGACGTCATGATCCACGCCGCCGGGTTGTACAGCTTCTTCAACGAATACTACCAGGACTGTATACCTACCCACAACTGCCAGGACCGCATCCTCGAGGTGAAGGGTTCGACCGGCGTCGTCATCTACAATCTATTCACGGTGGCAACCATCGACATAGCCAGTGGTATCGATGACACCAGTGTCCCGCAGGATGGTAATCAGCGTGGCTTCACCACCGAGGTCAGCGTATGGATACCGCTTCCCGGTTCTGACAGTGTTGATATTGTCTGGGTTGGTACCGACATCTGGGCCTCACCCACTGTGAGCTGTCCGTCCCAGTCGCGGTCCTGCATGCTGGTCATTCCGACGAGCTCCTTAGGAGCGACAACCACTATCCAGCCCAAGAGCTTTACAACCTCATTGGAGTATGGAGGATACTCAAGCACCACTATCGGCGGCGTCGCAACCACCGTGTTCGTCACCACAACCACGACTTTGACCATCTCGGTGCCTGCCATTACGACTGACGGCATACCCTTTTCCAACGTCAACGTGACAAAATCGGGAGCCACGCCCATCACCATCTATCCCAGCTTGAGCGTTCCGCCAGTCATCGTAACGTTGCCGAATGGGGAGGGCGGCTCGACCACACGAACAATTCCCCTTCCACCCTGGCCGCAGATCGAGGGTGGTCCTTTAGTCACTTACACGGATCCGGCGACCTTGCCGCCCAACAGTGGCTCAGGTCTTCCCACCAGCACGACCTATTATACTCCTATCAGCAGCACGATCACGGTTCCCGGTGCCACGGTGACGACGGTGACGTTCCCTGGCTCGACCGGGGTCATCACTATTGAGTGTCCCGCTACCACGTCAATTGTGTTCGCTACGCCCCCGGTTGCCGTCGGCACGACATGTACCGGCTCGTCTGATTTGACACTCAACTTCGCATGCCCGCCAACTCGCGTTCTCACCTTCCTCGGGCCGGCCACAGCTGTTGCTACGGTCGACTGCTCCCTGGTCACAGCTTGGACGACTGGATCTACCTCTACTACCACACCGCTGCCCGTATACACAACATGGCCCCCGTACGCTTCAATCATCCCCGAGGAAGAAGAAATCGAAGACCCCGAGCCCGACGATGATGGCGTCCATGTGCCATGCACAGCCTGGTTCTTCTTCTTCTGCATCTCATGGGACAACGTTCGCGTTCGTTCGTGGTATTGGATCTTGCCCCCGGGTATCTACGGTCCTGGACCCCCGCCCATCAACATCATCCACCCCCCGCCCGGCGTCACGATCCGCGGCAACCTGCCACCTTGGCCGCGAATCACCATCGGGCCGGACCACCGCCTCACTACCGAGTCGGAGCCCGAGTGCGAAACAGAGACGGCCGAGGCTTGCACAACAACCAACTACGTCTCAGCTGGCACGACAACCTCGTCGACGACGCTGTGCGAGACCATCACCGGCTGCTCTATCAGCGTCTCGGACTCGTCCACGGTCGTGATCGGCAGCCAGACGGCCGCGCCCATAGGCCATTTTGGCGACGAGCGGTGGGCAACCATGACCTTGGGCGACGCCTACACCAACTCGGTGTACGCGGCCATCGAGTCGGCCCTAGCACGCGACGACGCCAGCGCCGGCGGGACCACTCTTTCCTTCACCCCGGGACCCACTGCGGGGCCGACCTGTCGCGGCGCGAGCACGGCGTGCGGCGGAACCGTCTGCTCCGGGTACTGGTGCAACCCCACACCGACGGGCCCGCCACCCGGGTACCAAGACCCGAAGGACCCGAGCTCCGGCGGCTACTCGGCGCCCACGACATCCATCGGGCCCTCGACGACGACCACGCCGCCTACGAGCGCGCCGACCCCCGTGACGCCGCAGACGCGAGGCCCCATCAACTGCTTCAACGAAGCCGACTTCCCGGGCCACGCCGACATTCAATCGGGTGATCAAGACGACTACTCGACGGCCTTCAGCGACCTGCGAACCCAGATGGGCGACAACGACTTGATCGGACCCGGCGACCCAGCCGTCACCCTGCGGCGCACGGATTCCCACGGCGTGAACTACGATTACTCCTGCAGCTGGGTCCCGGGCTGCAAGACCGAGGTCGACAAGCAGAGCTTCGGATTCCCGCTCGGCTCGCCGAGTCTGATCACTGCTTACTTGCTTGTTCGTGAGGATTATACCAAGTGTAAGTTGCACGACCTCGTCACAATTCGAATCGATTCCCTGCAGATGAAAGATCCTAGGCTAACTCTCTCTCTCGCCTTGATGTAGGCAATAATGGTGGCGTAGGTGGCACATGCCAGGTCGGATGTCTGTTATACACGTTCGAGGGTGCGCGGGGCGACGAACCATCCGACCCGTCCGATCCATGTGCGAATTACGACTGCAGGACTTGCGGGACGCCGTTCGACCCTCCCGAGTGCCGGCAGTGTTGCAACGGCCGTCGTCTCGAAGGCCCCAACAACGCCGGCAATGCTAGTACAAATGTTGGCGGGACAATTGTCGATGATGGGTTGTTGAGCGCCAACCTGTTCCAAACCACGGCTTAGTGTAAACTAGTCATTATTTAGTTATTTGTATATATTTTTGGATAATGTGTTAGCACGGGTGGTAAGAGGAGCATAGGCCTTTGGCAATTTCGACAAGTTTCGTCTGCCAGGCTCTGTCGACGTCGATTCATCCAAGTCCTGAAGGCATTCTTGCAGATGCGCCTTGAGTAGGCCAAGTGTCAGCTTCTATGTGGCATCTCTATCGTCGTTGTAGTTGAAACCTGAAGACTCCAGAAACGACTTACACTGGCACACGGATAAGCTTCGAACCTCTTCCAATAAGAAGTCATTGCGGCTATCCGGATCTTCGATATCCTGCGATAAATCACCTGGTTTGCCCGAGCCGCTAAGAGCATGGCCAACAACCGACAGGCGTCCAGCGATACTAGCTGCCCCAGAAACGGGCTCCCTGATGCAAAGGCAAAAATGTGACTGACGTCTTCGCTGTCACGTTCGCTCCTGAGATAGTGCGAAGGTGCCGTCAAGACCGGACTCAACCGCTCGCGATGAATTCTGTATTTTGCTTTGGGAAGACGTCGAAGCTGCCCTACAATAATTTCAAAAGCCTATCCTTTCCGATCCCACCGAGTAACTCTCGCATGTCAGGCCGATGAATCGTTACCTCGGAATCAGCTAGCTCAGCTGATTCGAATTCTGGTGTTCATTTCGATTGATGTAAGCTAGGATTCTAGTCCATTGGGCACTTCCTCTACTAAGCGCCGGGTTGAAGAGAAGCCGAGAGATGTGCATTTGCAGTATACTCCGCACTCAAAGTCAACTGCTCCGCCATCTCCAGAACGACATCGCAGCACCTGACGAAATAAAGAGACGGAAATACCTCAGGAAAGAACCCTTTGATGAAGTCTCCAAGGGAGCTTCGAGTCGCCATTATGTCCGAATCCGTCTGCTTCAATCAACAACAATATGCACAATCAATAGTGGCCAACAAAGCAGGTATGAATCCCCGATTTAGTACAAAGCACAACCATTCACAACTTTTCAGTACCTCGGAGTCAACGGGACGCCGGCGACAAGGGAGACTGAGAATGGGGACGCATCTTTGTCGATGGCCAGACTTGCGACAAGAGAATGGGAATGCGACCGGAAACGAGAAGCATCAGAAACGACCATGACGGCGTCGTCCTACGAGATATAACTTACTTGTCATGGTAGCTAAAAGATCTCACAATGTCTTCCGTTATACCATAAATTCCTTTACCTCGAACCCAGACTCATTCAAGATCCGAAAAAGACCTCCAAGTTCAAACGTTAGCATCTGCCGTTGAGAGTGACATGTCCGGACGAGTCCCAGACAAGATCGCCCTTCCCACGGGAGGGCCATCACAACAGCAACAGTCGAACCGAGTGCCGGACCAGATCGCTCTCCCCTCCGGCGGTCGAGACCCCACGCAACCGGATCCTCCTCCGCAGCAGGAGCCGCAGCCGCAGCAGAATACCTGGGCTCCGCCATCCGCGAACCCGCCAGGCCTGCAACCTCACAACGACACATACAACGCAAAATATCAGTACTCAAACCAACCTCCGCAGAACGGATACCAACCAAACCCGCCGCAGGAAGTCGGGGCATTCACTCAAGTCGTCCAAAACTGGGGTCCGTATGGCTACCAGCCGGCCGTCCCAGGCCAACAACCATACGTCCAACCGCAGGAAACCGTCCTCCCACCAGCTCCAGGGGCAAAGTTCATCAACCACACCGTCCAAACCAACGCGAATAACGAGCCCTACTTCGCTCCCCTGCCAACCCAGCAGCAGCAGCAGCAACAGCAACAGCAGCCGCAGCAGCAGCAAAGCCAACCCGGCTCAGCTGGGCCCAAACGTTACTACAAAACATGCAACACCTGCCGCCGCATCAGGAGACGATGCTCCGGCACACGCCCCTGCAAAGCCTGCGTCGCGGCCGACGTCGACTGCGAGTACGACCTCATCGGAACCGACAAACCCTCGAACCCCAAATCCCGCAAACGCAACCTCGACGCCGTGGCCAGCGGCAGCGTCGGCGTCGACGACAACGGAGAAGGCAGCAGCAGCAGCAGCCCCCCCAACGCCAAACGCCAAAAGTCGGTCCGCTTCGCCGAGCAGCCCCTCACGCGCGTGCGCCCGCGCTACGCCGTCCCGGAGAACGGCAACTGCGAGCACTGCGACGCGGGCGGGCACGAGGGCCGGCCCTGCGACGCGAACCACGCCGAGCAGATCGAGTGCTCGCAGTGCACGAAATACCGCAACCTCGTCGACGCGAACCACGTCTGCCGCGCCGCGGGCGGCGAGTACTGGCAGAAGCGCTTCGCCAACTCCCGCCCCGCGTACCCCATGTCCGACACCGAGGCGAGCTGCTGCGTGGGCTGCAAGGCCAAGCGCGGGAACCACAGGTCGGCCGTGTGCGACGTCGACGTCCAGCTCAAGATCGGCTGCTCGACCTGCTCGCGCGAGGGGCGGCTGTGCGAGGCGTACGTCGAGCGCCGCGCCAACGGGCAGGTCACGGGGCCCCCGGAGCCGTGGGAGCGGATGTGGGACCGGCCGCGGCCCGGGGACGGGAGTCTCGTGCAGGGGAGGAGGCCGTGGTGGAGACGCATGTGTCAGGGGTGTATTGGGGATGTCGGTACGAGGAGGTTGAATCCCTGTTCGTGGATTAACGATGTCCGGCTGGACGGGTACAAGTGTCTCAATTGCGTCGAGCAGAACCGTCCCTGCGTGGAAGCCTTCACGGGCCAGGAGTTTGTGAACGGGTACGTCTGGGACGGGCAAGGCGATTGCCTCATCGTGAACGGCAGGCCGGTTGCTCGGAACGGGGCGGCCAAGTGCGAGAACTGCAAGGTGAACCGGACGTCCTGCCGGGGCTTCGACGGGCCGGATGAGTTTGCTTGTAGCAAGTGTACCGCCTGGGGGTTGACCTGCGTCGTTCAGCGCGACGGCCAACCCGTGCATCTGCCGCATCCTGACCGGAAGGCGATCGGCTGGACGCGGAATACCGGTGACACGGGGCATCTGTTCGTCGCCTGCGTGCCGTGTCGGATGAACAAGCGGAACTGTGACCGGAAGAGGCCGTGTGACAGCTGCGTCAAGTTCGGGTCGGACTGCGATGCTTTCCTGGACGGCGGCGCGAAGATGAAGAGGGACTACAGAGTGAGCGGCGCGGACTCGGCAGACTACTACATGGCCCTCGGGTACGGACCGAACGGCGTGGATTCGAATCGATGGAACACCCCCGTTCACGAACTCATCGGACCTAACCACCCCAGGTGGGTGAGGACGGAAGCTCAACCGACGCCGCGGCAGGTGGCGGCGTATGAGCAGGCCGAGGCACAGGTGGTTCAACATCCGGCTCAGGATCTCCCGGATAGGGAGTTCGGCGGTGTCGAGCCTGACGAGGAGGAGGAAGAAGAGGAGGAGGTCGTCCCCGAGGGTCTCAGACGGAACCCCAGGCGATCAACAAGAGAGAAGAAACCAAGTGAGAAGGGAAAGGCAATACCGCCTGCCAGGCCCGCACCCAAGCCCGCGCCCAAGCCGCCCTATACCGGACCCAAAAGGGGTCGAGGTCGACCGCGAAAGAATCCACCACCCGCGCCCGTCGAGGGCGTCGGGGAAGGATACGACAACTTCTGGCAGGCCAACGGGTACGGCGGAGTAGAAGACAACCGTGTCGGAGACGATAGCGGGATCGGATTGGAATCGACCTGGAGCGACAACGACATCTCCCTCCTCAACAACCCGCAGCATATCGGCCAGCCGCCGCAGCAACAATACTTCGGCGACAACCTCGCCGCCGCCAATGCCACCGAGAACGGCCAGGACTTTGAGAACTGGCTCACCAACTTCAACGACTACAACGCCTACGACCAGCCCCTCCAAGACCAGGTCCCGGCGCCCTTCGAAGGCCCGCCGGACCTCTCCGAGATCCAGCGGTTCCTGGGGCAAGATGCCGTCATGAGCGACTCGGATGCCGAGAAGCTCGCGAACGAGGTCCTGGACCCGCAGTTCTTCCAAATCGCCGACGACGTCGCGCAGGAGGCCGAGAAAGAGGAACAAAACGGAGTCCTCGCGCAGCTCCGCATGGCCGTCCTCTCCTTCAGTGCAGACCAGCGCTTCGTCCCCGTCGAGCTCCGCAACCTCCGGATCCCGGAAGTCTCCGACCCGCCCGCCTCCGCGCAGGTCCCCGCCCCGGAGCGCTTCCTCCTGCAGCTCAGCGACGCCGCCGGGGCCCTCCCGCCGCAGCTGCCCTTCTCGCCGGACCCGGCCGAGTCGGCCTACATCCAGAACATCCGCACCCTGCTGAAGAAGTGGAAGCGCCCCGGCTGGAACATCCTGAGCTCCATCCCCGACCTGCCCCTGGCCGAGGGCAACCCGCAGTACACCGCCGACAACGACGGCCGCACCTGCGAGGAGTACCAGGCGGAGCCCATCACCGGCGACCTCTGCCGCAACGACGTGGGCCCCGGCGACGCCTGCGAGAGCCTCGAGCACGCGACCGCCCGCCCCGCGCCCTTCATGGTCTGCGACCCGTGCGACGGCCGGAGCAAGATGGGCCTCTTCCAGGGCACCCAGCCGCTCACGCGGGGCGAGTTCCTCCGCATGCGCGCGTACGCGTGCGCCGAGTGCGCCCGGCGCGAGATCGAAAGCGGCGCCCCCGCGTTCGGCATGCCGGGCCGCCCCACGCACCCGGTCACGGGCTGCGCCTGCGCGACCAAGGTGGTCGGGCGCCGGCTGTGCGTGCACCACCGGTACCGGCTGGCCAAGGAGCTGATGGTGCAGACCATGTTCGTGTCGGAGTGGGCCATCACCAACTTCGGGCACCGGACGTGCCTGTTCTGCAAGGTGATGCCGGCGCGGACGGATACGCGCGGGGACGTCTTCGGGAGCCTGGTGTACCTGTGCCTCAACTGCCAGGGGGTCGTGGCCGAGAGCAACGAGCCTCACGTGGCGGCGGGCGTGGAGGTGTGGTTGGGCGGGACGGTGCCGGAGTCGTTGAAGGAGCAGGTCTGGATGGGCATGGCGACGCCGCCGGGCGGTGATATTTTTGGCGACATGTCGGATTTGACGTAGGACGGGCCCAGGCCTGTCAAGTGAGTGTGTGTGTGTGTGTGTGTCGGACTGGGCGTCTCGGCGGTATCCGCGTATTTTTTTGATAGAATCAACCGAACGAAGTCGGAAAAGAAAGGAGGACGTACCTATGCAAGGGGGCACTGGGGCAGTCCAACCTGACGTTGACAACGGTGTACCGTCTTTTTTTTGTTGTCTGGAGATGATACCACCATGGCGGTGAGTGGACGAGGGCTTGCAGGTGTATGTTTCGGAAGGAGGACAGGCGTTTTTTTTTCTTGGTTGTTTCTCGGTTGAGAGGGGGAAAAGAAAGCATGTTCCTATCTTTCTCTCACTTTCTCCGTTGGTGGTGACGCGGGCGGGACGGTTAACGCAAGGGGGAATAGAGAAAAAGACACGGCAGACAAGACAAGGCAGGACAGACACGGGCGGCCGTTGAGATTTCTCGGCATGAGGGTCTCAGTTGACCGCCACCGTGTAAACTTGTAAACTCATTAGCTACGGAGGCTGGGTATGATTCCAGAGCGTGTTTGACTTGCCTTGCCTTGCCTGAGCTGAGTTGTTGAGACGGCGTTGGGGTGAGAAACGTGTACGTCTCTTGGCGATGATGCCGTTCTTTCATCACCTCGAAACCATGCTTAACAAATGGATATACACTGAAGTCTTCACTTGCATCTGGTACAGCGCAGCTTCACAAATCATTTCCAACACCTCATATTGCTATTAAAAAAAGACGGTAGGTATTCTAAAGCCACAGGATTTGTTGCTCACATGATCAGAGGAACGGGGGGCGTGATGACAATGCCGGCCGTCAACATCACATGAAACTGTCATCAAAAGCAGGCAGAGAAACGCGCGCGTGTCTGTGTTCGACCAACGAGAAAACAAGGGAATTTGTATGACTTGACCACTGGACTCTGACCTCGAAAGAACCTCGCGGTGTCTCGGAAGAAAGAAGAAAATTACAGGTATGAAAGAGAAGAAAAAAAAAGAGTACCGATATAAAAGAAGAGACAGAGACAAGCCGATGTTTGGTCTCAAATAGCCCTCCCAGTGCGTAAAGAATCTCGAGTCTGCCCCTCGCGAGGTCTTGCGGCCAACACAATCTCCGTCCGGGCCGACGCAGACCAACATGTCCGCAGCCCTCCATTGTTGTTCTCCGTGGCAGTCTGGTGAGGCACACATCCATCGTCAGACGGTCCTCACCCCCACCCACGCCATCGTACAACCCGGGTGACAAAGGTCGTGTCATGAAGTTGCCCTTGAAAGAAAAACACGTTCCAAAACAGCGCAGCAAGTCAGAACCCGACTCCCCGTCCGATGCAGCACAAACAAGTTTTTGATCATTGATCCCCGCGCGTCAACATGTCGTCTCCAGACTCTCCTGGGCCAGCTTGGGCCGCCTGAGAGCCCAGACAGAGAAACCGTGCGTTCAGCATCTGCCAGCATCCAACCGGCCAGTCAAGGTCCAGGTATTTTCCACGTCCGTGGCCGCTCGGTTCGCCACTACCCCTCCTGCTCTCGCCCTCTCCAAGTCGCGAGAAAGGCCGCTCACATTATTACGCACTTGGAGCAGCATCCTGCTTCTTGCTCGCCGCCCTCGACGTCCATGGGCTTCGGTGGGCCGTTGATGCCGGAGGCGCCGCCGCTGCCGGTTGAGTAGCCCTGCATCTCGCGGTTGTATCTGCGGATCTCGCGAACAATGTCGTAGAAGGCCTTGTCGACGTTGATGCGGGACTTGGCGGATGTCTCGATGAATTTGCAGCCGAACGACTTGGCGAGAGCCTCTCCCTCTGTAAAAGTTGTCAGTTGCTAGTTCGCAATAGGAAGAAAACGATAGAAAAAAATGCAGCGACGCGGCGCAGCAGGGAGAATGATGTACCTTGTCGTGTGACTTCTCTCTCGCCCTCCAGATCGCACTTGTTGCCGACGACGACCATGGGGAAGTAGTCCTTGTCCTTCACTCTCAGAATCTGTTGCTGGAATGTGGTGATTTCCTCGAAGCTCTGTCGCGACGTGATGGAGTAAACCAGCAGGAAACCCTCGCCCGTTCTCATGTACTGCTCTCGCATGGCAGAGTACTCCTCCTGTCCGGCGGTGTCGAGAACATCGAGCAGGGCGACCTCCTCGTCGATGACGCACTGCTTGCGGTAGGAATCTGCGATCGGGGTGGCCAGGTTAGCACGCGATTCATTCGCGGTCGCATGGGGCGACGAAGAGGGTGAGCGACGAACCTTCGATTGTCGGGTCATATTCGTCGACGAAATGGCTCTGGATCAATTGAATGGTCAAGCAGGATTTACCGACACCACCGCCGCCGACGACGACCAGCTTGTACTCCCTCAAGAACTGCGAGACGGGGGACGGGTTAGCAACGGCAGGCGACGACGCGAAGAAGAGAGGCGAGGGCGACGAAGGGACGACTCACCTTGGAGGCCATTGTGAAGTTTGAATGAGTAGAGGATGCCGGTGATGACGACTGTTATCCTCTGGATGGTTTGTTGATGGCTTGAAGCGGGCGAGGAGTTGGCGACGCTGGAATCCGGATGGCAAGTCAGGAGGTAACCAGGCTCAGGCGGATGAGAAATGGACCGGACGGCGTTCGGTTCAGGGCGTTCAGGATTGTCTAGTCAATTTCGATTCGACGTTGGATGGTCCTCAGACGGGTTTGCAGCGAGCGAAACGGCAGGTGGAAATCTGGGACGGCACAGGCCGGATTGCGAAGTTTAAAGGTGAAACGACGAGGTCGATGGCAGAAATCCGGGACTGACAGCAGAGACGGTCTTTCGAGAAGGAGAACGAGAGAATGGGGTGGTGTTTCGTTGCTAAGGGGGGCTTTTTGGCGAAATGTGGAGATGGGGGTGACGGGTCGGTCCAGTCGTAAGGAAGCAGGTCCTTACATAAGGCACCGCGAGGCAGGGTACCTAGGTACTTACCATCATGTACATCCACCATCTTACCACTCTAAGCAAGGCGTATCGCACTAAGCGTGCTTCCAGCTGCAGTTATGAGGTACCGGGTTCCACGTCCATACCTGGGCTAGGTAGGTTGCCTGCTCCTGCAGCTGCTTCCACCCAATTTGCATCGTCCTTAGCCTGCGGATACCTTACCTGGAGCCTTGAGGTGCCCAGCTTCCTTGCTTTTCTCCTCTGCCAGCAGCATGTAATACGGATACGTATCTCTCTTCTTACTTATCATCGCGTACAAGTACTCGGTGAGTGAGAGCGTCCAGTCTTCCAGTGCTTCCAGCGCTCACCTTACCTGTCCAGAAACGGCACCTTTTACAGTACGGTTATTGCTTCGGAGACACTGGGGGCGCACACTCTCGCTGGCTGTAATTAGCAGGCCTGGCCATGTCCTCTGTCTGGCCCCCTCTCAGTCTCACAGGTCTCTGGTCCCCCTTCTTATGAGACGAGACGAGAGACCCAATGCGTGCTGCTTCTGCCACACCAACAAAGCACCAAATCGCTTGCTCTACTGTACCTTACCCAGGCACATTGACGTGCCATTAGTCCATCTTGTCAGGGCAGATTGGGCAGATGCGGTTGGTCGGCGCATCGTCGATGTTAGCGCTGGGGTTATGATTCGACGACGGCTACAGTCGCAGGCGGCCCAGGCACGGTCGAGGGCGCACACACACCACTAATGTCGAGGCAGGATACACTGAGATGTCCTAAGGTACGCGTGCGTGCTGGTAGCCGTACAGCACACGCGGTGATAGTGGAGGTAAGGAAGTAAGGTAAGGTACGAACACCCATCCCATCCTTCGATCGATGGATCATGGCCGTCTGGTGGAAGCGCTATCGCAACGACGGCGCCAACAGTGCCCAGTTGGATCGAGGTATGCCTGAGCCGAGCTCCGAGAGAAGGGGCGGCGGCGGCGACATGGCAGGAAATGGTCGTTGGAGTTGAACTGGCAGTCAATACCGAATGCAACCGCATGGTCGCCATCGAATTGATGACCTCCCGTACGAATCGTGATCAAAAATTGGACGATACCGAGATGGCTCGAGTGAAAGTCGCGTACGACCGGGGGTGCTGAGAAAAAAAAAAAGAATAAAAAAAAAGGGACTCTGGATGAGTTTGTCGCGGCGGCGGCGTTCTTGTGCAGTAGCGTCGGCTGCAGCAGGGGGTGCCTAGAACCATAAAAAGAGGCCCGGTGCAGACGCCTGCACCTCAAGCAGCGAAAGAGCGAGGGGGCCCAAGACTTCAAGGGGGGGAACCACACGGCGTGCAAGGTGCAAGGTGAGTGATCAACAACGTGAGCGAAATCGAAGACAAGACAGGGGGGAGAAGTTCGCCATTTTGCGTGTGGACTCAGCGGCAATTCCAAAATCAAAAAAATTGTTGACAAGGGGCATGTTCACAGCGTTGCTAGTGGGTGGGGTCCATGCAGTTATCGAGCTGCGAGACTCGTACTATGCAACTAGCCGCAAATCTCATCGACATGCAGCTTTCCGCATTGCAATTCAGATCGCGACACTGACGGATGTACTATGGAATACAAGGTCTGCATATCCGTAGAAACAGCACCATTAATATCGACGCGACCGACGCATGCTATCGAAACACGACATTGCCTTTGAAATCATTGTCTGTTTTTCCTTTCCTTCATCTATGATATTGATCTACCCCGACACCACAGCAAGAAAAGGGACGTATCGCATTCTGTCGTCCTACGGCCCCACCGCGCTGATTGCTTTAATAACACGCGAGGCGAAGGGGACCTGAATGCTCCTTTGGTCTCTGTGCGCGCTCATCTCACTTTACTGGCAACAGAAGACACCTCATTACCGCCTTTTCTTGCCTCGGCCAGGGTTCTTCTTCGCTTCGACTAGACCCGGCCATTATAAGAGACAAGATAGCAGCTGCCATCATTGAAGGAAGACAAAAAGTCCACGGCTCTGTCTCGGTCGATTGTTGGTGATGCGTGTGACCAGCACGCGTCGCTCCGAATGCGTTCCCGGTACGTTGTGGTCAATGATTATCCGTCATTGTCGCCGTCTACGAATACGGAGCAGAGACAACTTGCCATTCGAAAAGCAGCCAAATCCATCTTTCTTATGCTTCATTTGACGACCAAGATTGAGGAAACATTCTTCCAGGGACCCAGGGCTCCCGGCCCAACCACTTTAACGTGCCTTGTCGATTGGCGATGGGCCGGAGCGGGGAGCCGGGAGCATGGCCGTATGTAGTTAAAGGGGCCCCATACACTAGCGGATACTGACTGGTACGGTGCCCCCTTGTGCCTTCCTGCCTTTCCCTGCTCCTTCCTCCTGCAAAGGGCAGGAGGTAGAAAGCTCTGACCACAAGTGCCTGCTCATTCGGTCGACACTGTACGTACAGTGTCTCACAGTGTGTCGCGACTTCCTGGTTGGAGGTGCGAGATGTGAGGTGCGATGCCTGGTGCCGCGTGCCTCTCCCGGTAATACAACAGAAAACTCCAATCCCGCGGATCAACACCCACAAACAATCATCCAAAACCCGATATTGGTCACCCCTTCAGGGGCAGCCCGGGCCAGAGGGCCAGACCTGCATCTGTTGTCGACAACCTCGATCCTTCCCGAGGCAAATTCTTGGGTAGGAGAGATAAGGTATTCTACCCTCAACCTTAGAAGATGAGCCAAGTTCTCGAAGCACCGCTTGGCTCGACCTTTTCCAGGTTCGCCCCAACATCGTCCAAATTCGCCTCGTCGGCCCCTTCGACATCCTGGACATTCGTCAAAGTCAACCTCGCCGTCGGCAAACATTCGAACGGTCACCCTTGTCCTCAATGCAAAAACCGGCCTGCACCACCAAAAACAGACTTCGACGCCTCCCTGCTCCTCGTCCCCGGTTCCTGCTTGCCTGCACAACTTGTGCTTCAAATCGCCACCAGCTGGACCACGGATCCATCTGCTTGTGTCGCATGCTCTTCTGGCTCTCTACGGATACTCGAGTAGATTCTTCACCTTGGGATTTGAGCCGCTTTGCATTCCCCACGCCCACGTGGACTTCGTCGTGCGGCTGATCATCACGACAAGGTTTGTCACCATCGTATTGCTGACGCTAACACCCATATCGTGCCCAGATGCCGCTCAAGCCATGTTTGCATGCCAGCATACGTTGCTCGTGTATGTTTGCCCGGCGCGGCTTGCCACGATTCTCATTCCAGTCGTTGCCCGCCTGTTTCTTCCAGCCAGGTTCTACTGTACCCAACGACCGGCAAAGACGGACTCCTGCAATTCCTCGCGCCGCACCCGGTAGTCTGACAAAGGGACTTCTACGACGTGTCACGACTGCAAAAATGCAAGGGGCGACGCGTTGGAACGCTCGACCTCGCCTCCCGACCCCGTACACGGCGTACGGCATCCCGTCTACACTTGCTGCAAATGCAGTTGACGATATGGACTGAGATGCAGTGTCACTGTTGAATCTATCGACCACTGTTACGCTGCTGAAGGGCCACACCAAGGCCACGATCAGTCCGTTGCCTCAAGCGATCTGAAGCCGAATGCAGCTAATCGAACATCTTTACTCCTTGGCTTTACTCAGCCGCCGTCCGACACTAAATGCAGCATCATCGCGGCCGCATGCGGAAAACCAAGACAATGGAGATCACAGTTAGAACGGCCATACAACACGCCTAGATGGGCCTGAGACCTTAAGCTGTTATTAAGGGAGCCTCGGTTTACAGAGCCGTCAATGAAAAACTACGCGCGGCAATGTCCATCTCGAACAATGCCCGCTCTTGCAACGTCGTGATGCCAGGTCCGACGTTGAAATTGGATTGAGCCGGAATAGCACGCAACATCGGGCCCGCTACCTACCCAGGTACCGTACGCTTGGCTCCACATCACACGGTACCACGGCCGTGAGAAGCGCTCCGCATACGGCCCCGATGCACGATGCCAGTCAAGACCGGGGATGATAAACTGCAGCCATTCATCTTCTTTCACCTGCATCTCTGCTGCCCTCGTTCGGCTCAGGGCCCCTCAAGTTTCCCGTTTCAACGTCTAGGAGCATGGGCTGCTGCACCCCATACCGCAAAGTGTTGCCGGGGAGCTTCTGTCATATTGACAAAGAAATATGCTTCTAGTACAACAACCTCGTTGGAGCAGTTAATCATCAGAATCAGCACGGATTATCAGCTTCCATTTGGCTAGACTTTCGCCACAACAAAACTCAAAACTTCAGACCAGAACTCTGGCTCATTTTCGCCCTTCCCTGCGACCAACCGGATATCGGCCAAGCTGGTCTCGCCCTGACATCTCAACTCTGCTCTGCTTGCTTCTGCCAGAACGCCTTGACTACGCTGCGACTCTCGTCAGACAGCCGCCAGCCAACTCCCGATGAGCCGTCAGATGTCAAGGCCGGGTGTCCATGCGCCATCGACAAACGTTCAGTCTGGCCCAGCAAGCCAGGACGTCTATTTTCTTCATGAATGCGCCGTTGATTCGTACAGACTCGAAGAAGACCATAGCGCAAGTTCACGTATTCCATCGCATCTTTCCACGCGTACGGCATCTTGTCCCGGTGAGACAGCGCCGATCAGACTCCCAAACTCATCAACTAGCTTCCACGTCGATCTCTTGCGATGATTGCGCTCAGGTCTCTTCCGTTCGTCCTCTCGAGTCCAACAGGTTTCTTCGCCTTGAAGTGGATGCGACAGGGGCTTCTCGGCACCCGCCAAGGGGAAAATGCACAACACAAAAACGACGGAAGTCACCTTGGCGGGGACCGTTCGTCATGTCGACCATCTGCTAACCTATCCCTTGAAGCGCGTTCTGCGAAGTGTTATGGAACAAAACAGTTGTTTTTGAACAGCCGGTGACCCGCAGTCTGCGGCCTCCTCTGATTCTTTGGCGATCCTGGACTCGGGCAACACCGTCCTTCGTGTGCCCCAGATTTGGGCACCTGCCTAGCATGCATGGCGTGCTGTAGTTTTCGAGGCAACATGCGCGAAGAGGTTGCGTTAGCTTCTAGAAGACTTGGCTCCGAGGAGCCCCTGATACGGCGATGGATCGTCAGGAGCGTTACCGTCGTTCAATGAGCCTGATGAACATGAGGCGGCGACTGCTGCCTACCGTCCTTTCGTCCGCTTCATGACCGTCGCAAACGCACCGGTCTCTCGTTTAACCGTGCTTCATCTTTGCACCCTTATTGACAAACAACTGACGAGGCTTTGGGAAGCGACCCCAAGGTTGTCCCAGCGCACAGTGCGGCGATTCTCATGGGGAGGAGGTCCTTGTAAGAGAGACAATATGGGCGACCAATCCATGTCTTCTGGAGGTGACAATGCAACGACTGGGTTGTATTCGCAGAAATGCTTTTGTGGAGCATGAACTGACCTTCAACCACGTCCTCACCTTCGGCTGACTCGATGCAACAGGCATAGCGTTGTTGAAGCGGTCGCTGGAAGTCTCAAGATGTTTCTTCTGGCGCCAGCGGTCAGTGAGAGTCGAGACGGATCACAGCAGGCCGTTCGATAAGGATCCGCAAGCAGCGGCCCCCATTGTGCCGTCACGCGACGGAGATGCGTAGCCAGACGATATCGAGCTCGGTCCTAGATTTGAAGATAGCACCGGGTTCTAATCCACACTCATCTCCCGCCGAAACGGAGCCAGTCTCCAACTGGTAGGTAGCCGGGCGACATATCTCGCTCTCCCACGGCCTGTCATCTTATTGGCGACGCAAGAACGGACTGCTTCCCGTTGCGTGCGGTCGACAACAAAACCGTCTTTTTTCTAGAAGCCCTAGAAGAATCATTACCAGCCTTCACTCCCCTGACTCTGCAGCTGCGTGGTATTAGTGGCACAAGTGACAACGGTCACGGCGGAGACGCGTCCGGCCGGGGGGTATGGCGCGCCAGCATGCCCGTCATTCCATTGAGACAATTCCGTCCATGTCCATCTTAATCCACGACGCCGCGAATGCGTCGAAGTCGGGCAAACTACAGCCCACGCCTGGCATTACGGGATCAATCGCCTGCGACGCCGAGGCAGTCTGTGCGAGAGTTGCCCTCTCCCGCTGCCGTCGACGGATCTGCGATAGAGTCCACCACGCTCCCCACGTGGGCCGAAATTGGCTGCCAGGTTCGGAGGGACGGCCGTCCCCACGTGCGGCCTTTGCGCATGTTGCGCCGTGTGCTTCTTCCTAATTAGCCTCCCGGAGGACTCGAGCATCTTGAACGCAATGCCGCAGCAACCAATCCAAGTTAGGAGACCGAACGGTTTGACTGAAGACTCGGTATCAACATATCACTACGGTGCCCGGCAGCGAACCACAAAGCCTCTGAAAATAGCCGCATCCATGGTTCAGCAATATGGCAACCACACATTCAAGATGACAACGTTACAGTCGGGATATCCGACAAGGACATGTAATTGCCGCAACGGCGCCACGGTCTTCGGATCGTGGGGGTTCGCTATCTACCTCATTTGAGTCTGTTGGAATCATTCCAGGCCCTTGCCTGCTTTGGCGTTGGAATCGTCCTCTCCCTCTACGAACACGCGTTTGCCGTTGACGCCCTTTACAACCTCATCTACGATGCTCTCGATGTAAGCCTGATCCCTGCAACGTCGTCAGCATCTGTTCACACAACAACCGGCGAGGGCAACAATAAACCCCCGATGCGGCCCGGGCAATCGCCATCTTACCTTCCGACCAAGGTCACGGTTCCGTTCTGCTCCCAACGGGGATAACTGCCGACCTTGACGCCCTTGGGTTCCACCTTGGCGGCGAGCGTAGTCAGATAACCGGCCACGGCGCTCTCCGGAAGCGGGGTGGAGATGAGCACGCGGCAGAGACCCTTTCCGTCCGGGTCGGTGAGCCGGGGCACAACGACCGGCTTCAGTCCGTCGAGGAGCTTTTCAACTGTATCCCTGTTAGCCGACTCGGCTCATGAGAATGAGCCAAATTATCTTACAGAGACGCGGGACACCTGGCAGGATATGGATGTTTCCGTTGACGACATTAACGGGCACCCAGAGGTCCTCGTGGGGGAACAGGAACTGCTTGCTGGGGTCGCGCTTCTCGTCGGTGGGGAGGATGACCATTCGCAGCTTTGCTTGCAAGGCGGGAGAGTCGACGTTCCAGTCAAAGTCTGGCTGGCCCGGGTGCGGCTTGGAAAGCCTCTTCATGCGCTCAAAGGCGTCCTGGTTGAGAACCAGCGGGAGGTCAAAGGCCTTGGCTATTGACTGGTAGGTGATGTCGTCGTGCCTGGTCCTTGTGAGCTGCAGCCCTGAAGTGATCCGTTCCTACTTACGTCGGCCCGATGCCACCACTATGGTCACAGATTAGTTTTCGTTCCGATGTGTCTGGGAAGCAGCACAAACCTAGTGACTACGAAGTCGTAGCGGTCACTCATCCGCCTCACAGCCTCGACGATTTCGCTCTCATCGTCCTCGATGACTTCAACCCTCTTCAAATTCTGGTCTCTGTCAGTACACAAGCCGGACCTGGGAGCTGTAGATGCCGACATACAATGCCGAGGTTGAAACACCACTTGGCCATGAAGGCCGAGTTGGTCTGACCAATAGGTTAATACGCTTCCAAGCCATGTCGCCAATCTCACGGCGCCGAAGCAACCGCACTCACATCAACGGTCTGTGGGCAAAGGACATACGTGTTAGTCATGAAAGCGGGCAATGCGGGCCGGCGTGCTTCTTTCTCACCTTGCCTCCGAGGACCTCGTCTCCGATGATCAGACACGCCGCGGTGTGGATGGTGCGGGTGTTGCGCTCGTCGGCCGAAACCATGATGCCGCGGGCGAGACTGGAGGCCGGGACGACGGGCTTGAACGTTTTGGAAATTGTTTGGGCCGAGGGGAGATGCCGAGATAGCTGGGAGAGGCGGGAGAACATGGAAGAGTTCTCGGCTTGGTGTTGAGTGTTTGGATGAGAGGAGGGAGATCACGACGAGCAACTGGCGTAAGTTGACCTTATTGCGTCTTTCGGGGAATACTGCGAACAAGGGGCTGGAGAATCGCACGAATCAAGTTAACAGACGGAGCGGGTATGCAGAATAGAGCGGGATTGCATCGAATCGCGAGCTTCGGTCGTTGTCGTTCGTACCTTTAGTAGTAGTACCTGACGGATACTGAGAGTGCCGCTCTTCGGAGTTGCTGGGAGAATGTCGGCGTCACTGACCTGCTGGCGAGCTCCACGGGTTGGGGTTGGTGGGTGAGGTCACTGGTGGGGCCCCGTCCAGTCCTCTCACAGCTGGACAGCGGGGCAATGGTCTCAACTGACGGGAGCCCGACGGACCTGAGGGCGGGGGAGGGGAGGACCTTGGCTTGGGGAGGGGTGGCTTGACTTTTTGGTCTCGGTCTGACGTTCTTAGTGTTGCGGCTCCGACCAAGATCTCGACCTTGGACCCTGAGGATCCAATTGACGACTGCTTCAGATCACAACCTGATTTTTCAATCCTGTGCATTTCGACATTCTCCGAGCTGTAGTGACTACAGGTCCTTCGTCGCATACCTCCAGCGATCCCGAATACCTTCGCCTACCCCGCCTCGAATCACATAACCATGGTGCGCAAAGCTCCAGCTCACGCCGCGTGTCGTCCGAAAAAAAAAAGAAACCCGCGCTGACCTTTTCCCTTGTTGCCGTGCTCTCGTCTAGGCGTCCGAGTCGAGGCTGTATACCTTCTCCCAGGAGACCAAAGACCACCTGCGCAAGTTCCGCCTCGGGACCTCGCGGTCGAACGATCCCCAAGCCGTTATCTGTATGTGCGTCTCCTTGGATCTCGAGATGGGAAGGAAGAAGAAGAAGAAATCAGTCGCCAGGCACAGGGAGGGAGGCAGATCGCTGACGATCGGCTTTCTGGGGGACAGACTACATCGATAAGAACACCCACGAGATCAAGCAGGACGACGACAAGGTCGTGTACAATACGCTCGAGGAGATCGGCGACGACCTCCCGGACCACAGCCCTAGATTCGTGCTCCTGAGTTACCCTTTGACACTGGTACGTCTTGTCGATCCTAGTCTTCGTGAGGAGGAGGATTGCAAGAAGCTGACAAGCTGACGACCGACAGCCCTCCGGCCGACTGTCGGTGCCGTACGTGCTCATCTACTACCTCCCCATCACCTGCAACAACGAGATCCGCATGCTCTACGCCGGCGCCAAGGAGCTGATGCGGAATACGAGCGAGGTCGGCCGCGTGATCGATATCCAGGACGTCGAGGACCTCGAGGAGATACCGTCCAAGTTGGGATCTGCCGCGTAGGTGTTGAGGTACGGGCAGGCAGGCGGGCAAGAGGGAAGTCGGTTTATATAGAGAGAGAGAGAACACAGGCTGGCTGGCCTGCGATGGGTTGGCGGTATGCGGCACGCACATAATACAAAAAGTTCCAAGCCGTCTAGTACGGAAAATGGGGATATCTTTGATTCAACATAATTTCGTAAACCGGTTATAAAACAAACAAAAGCCCAACCACGTAACAAAACAAGTCTACTCCGGCAAAACCTCCTTCTCGTCCAGCCCCATCTGCCGACTCACGTTCCTCACCACGTCCTTGAACGCCAGACAGGCGGGGCTATCCGGGAAACTGTCAAAGAAGCTCTCGCCGTAGTCGCACGCCATCCCGATCCTCGGGTCCAGCGGCACGCTGCCGAGGAACGGGACCCCCATCTCCTCCGCCAGCGCCCGCCCGCCGCCCGTCGTCGCGCGGAAGATCTCGCTCTGGCCCGTGCACTTGGGACACACGAAGCCGGCCATGTTCTCGGCGAGGCCGAGGACGCGGATGCCGGCCTTGCGGCAGAAGTCGATCTCCTTGCGGACGTCGAGGAGGGAGACCTCCTGCGGGGTGGTGACGACGACGGCGCCGTCGATGCCCGAGTCCCGCAGGAAGGTGTTGACGGAGAGGTGCTCGTCCGAGGTGCCGGGGGGCGTGTCGACGAGGAGGAAGTCGAGGGGCCCCCACTCGACGTCCTTGAGGAACTGTTTTATCAGGCCGTTCTTCTTGGCGCCGCGCCAGATGACGGCGGCGTCGCGGTCCGGGAGCATGAACTGGATGGACATGACGCCGAGGTTGTCGAGGACCCAGACGGGGGACCAGCCGGCGCCGGAGACGTGGACGGTCTCGGACTCGACGCCGAGCATCTTGGGGATGGAGGGCCCGCAGATGTCGGTGTCCATGACGCCCACCGACGAATCCGGGTTGGTGGCGAAGGCGTGGGCGAGGAGGGTGGTGAAGGTGGACTTGCCGACGCCGCCCTTGCCGGAGAGGACGAGGATCTTGTGGGCGACGCCGGACAGGCGGGCGGCGATGAGGGGGATGTCCGGGTCCGGGCCCTGGGTCGCGGTGGCGGCGCAGACTTTCTGGTTCGGGCAGCCGGCGCAGGAGTCGGCGGTGCCGGCGGCGGCGGAGTCCGGGCCGGGGCAGTGTTCGGGTTCGGGGGCGACGAGTTGCGGGGTGGCTTTTTGGGGGTTGGTCAGGACTTGTTGGATTTCCGTGTCGGTGTCTGCTTCTAGGGAGGGGGCCATTTTGGCGCTGTGCTGTGGCGGTTGGAAGGTTGGATGGAGAGTGTAAAGTTGGCTGAGACTTGAGGGCGATGAAGAGAAGTGTGGGAGGCTCCGGCTTGAGGCGAGGTTGTAGGTCCGGGACCGGATGTGAGGTCGAGTGAGGCCTTGTTGATTGATAAGCCGGGACTCGAGGGGCGGGACTCTACCGACGTGTTAGAAACGGGGTCTTAGTAATACTGAGTTATGAGATAGACTGACCTGTGATACACGCTTCTTGTAAAGTTGTCCGAGTTGGAGATATAGAGGTAGGCGTGGTGTTGTTGTGAGATGGTGTAAGTTGAAGTGAGTTTTGAGGGTGACAAACGAAGTTGCTATGAGTGGTGGCGAGTCGCCGTCGAAATCGTCCCGCGGAGATGGGAAGGCCCCACTTAATAGAGTCACCAACCAACGCTTGCAGATGTTCACAACCTTTGAGGAACAGAGTTCGCTGTCAGTCTTCTTCGTCCCAAGACGGTCAATATTAAAGGCAAAAAGATTACACAACAAATACCGACGATTCCAGGTCAGATGTAGCTGGATCGGCAAAACAATAGGTCCATCCAGGATTCGAACCTGGGCTTACGGAAGGTCTGGGTGCTAATCAGAATCCGACGTCCTAACCAACTAGACTAATAGACCGTGGAGTCTTGCTTGTTGTTGAGAGCACCTTCCAATTTGCGGCTTATGATCGTCTGTCGTCTCGCGCAGGAGAAGCTGTAGGAGAAGCCCCTCGCTGCAAAAAAATACCTGTGGTCTGCTCTGTGGAACCGTTGCAGGGCCTGTTCAAGTGATGGTGAGGGGCACATCTTATCGGGCGTCACCACCCCGCCGCTGCCCCTCGCAAAATTTCTACAATCTCTTTATCAGATCCGAAAGTGAAGGCGCAGTGACTGATTGTCGTCCGCGCCGCCCACACCACCACGAGCTCGGAGGTAACTCTTTTTTCTCTACCCCTCGTACGTAACGGTACCCCCCTCTACATAGAAAATCGGCCCACGCCAATCCTGTTTTCCTTCTTACATTTCTGTCAACTTGCTTAGATTTCTCACTTTTTTGGTCCTTCTTGCACATAGATACCCCTCCCTTCTCTTCAACCGGAAACATGTCACCCTCCGCCGAGATGCCCGAGTCGCGCGAGGCCCTCGAGGCCATCGCCGCCGGCGAGTCGCAGTCCAAGACCATCGCCGAGCTGCGCAGGACGCTCACCTCCGAGGCGAGCCCCCTCCCGCTCCGCTTCCGCGCCCTCTTCTCCCTCAAGCACGTCGCCTGCAAGGACAAGAGCGCCGACGCCGAGGCCGCCATCGACGCCATCGCCGCCGGCTTCGCGTCGCCCTCGGCCCTGCTCAAGCACGAGCTCGCCTACTGCCTCGGCCAGACGGGGAACCTGTACGCCGTCGAGCCGCTGCGCGCCGTCCTCAGGGACCTCAAGGAGGACCCCATGTGCCGCCACGAGGCCGCCGAGGCGCTCGGCGCCCTGGGCGACGCGGGCCAGCTCGAGATCCTGAGGGAGTTCAGGGACCGCGAGGGCGAGGACGTGTGCATTGTCGAGACGTGCGAGATTGCGATCGATCTCATCGAGTGGCAGAACTCGGAGCAGAGGAAGCAGGAAAAGCTTCGCAAGAGGTACGCTGTAGAGACTAGTTGGAAAGAAAGGGTATCATTGCTTTTTGTTTTTCTATCGTTGCTAACGCCTGACGCACCCGCGCACACAGCGACTTCACATCCGTCGACCCCGCACCGCCCATGGAGGAGTCGCAAAGCACCGTCCCGGAGCTCGAGAAGACGCTCATGGACACCTCGCTGCCGCTCTTCCTGCGCTACCGCGCCATGTTCGCCCTGCGCGACCTCGCGTCGCCGCCCGACCTTCCGACCGCCGTCCCCGCCGTGCACGCCCTGGCCAAGGGCTTCGCCGACTCCTCCGCGCTGTTCCGCCACGAGATCGCCTTCGTCTTCGGCCAGCTTTCGCACCCGGCCTCCATCCCCGCGCTGACCGAGGCGCTGAGCAACACCGAGGAGGCGAGCATGGTGCGCCACGAGGCGGCCGAGGCCCTGGGCAGTCTGGGTGACGAGGAGGGCGTCGAGGCGACGCTGTTGAAGTTCCTGCACGACAAGGAGAAGGTCGTGCGGGAGAGCGTCATTGTCGCGCTCGACATGGCCGAGTTCGAGGCTAGTGGACAGGCGGAGTATGCGCTGATTCCCGAGGGAGCCAAGGCGGCTGCGTGAGAGCATGCACAGGAGATTTCGTGTTGGGAAAGTTCGTTTGGGCCGGGGCGGGAATTAGATCATTAGTCGGGATAAGGTACTTAAAAGCGACGGGCAAAAAGTTTAGTGTATTTCAGTTGTTATGAGACCATCTGGAAATCGTCAGCATTTCGTCTCTCACTCGATCCCGAACGTCTTCGGTGGTAAAAGGGGTCATACTTGAAGCCACAGTCGCAGGTGAAGAAGATGGTGCTGCCTTCGTCTGCACTGCGCAGCTGGACGGCCGTGAAGCGGACCTCTTCCCTTCCGCACTTGGGGCATGTCTCCTTGATGGTGGCCTCGGTGTTAATGTTCTTGTCGACGGCTTGGACGTTCGACTGGAGCTTCTGTCGCAGCTGGGAGGGAAAGTCGGAGGGCTTGGTCTGGGTAATGATAGTCTTGGAACCGGTGTCTATGAGACAGGAATGTCAGCTAAAAGTCGTCGAGTCTGGCCATCAATCGGCCGACTGTGCTGGAGATCGACGTACCCTTGTTCTCGGCGCCGCAGCAGTCGCAGACCAGAATGTTCTTCTCGGTGCCCATGGACGCGGGCAGCAAGTTGCCGCAGTCGTGGCAGAAGACGAGGGTTCCAATGGCAGACATGGTGACTGTGGTGTCCGAAGTTCGTCGAATAGGTAATGCTGTAATTCGATTGGAAAGTCGGGGGTGTCGCGCATCAAAGTCCGACGAAATATTTTGCTGGAAGATTTTCGGCAAGTTCTTATCGTTATCGGCCTTCTTTTCTCTTGTCTCTTATTGCAATCGCTTATCGCCTCGAACCGGGAAAGAGCCACCCCTGTAGTGGATTATGTAACCGATCCAAGACAAGGCAGCAACCGCCTCTGGGGAAACAGGCAGGAGCGGATTAACTGGCCACTGGCTGGGCAAAGCTTGTGCACGGACCATTCGATGGACAAGGGTCTTTCCACGCGAGGCTGTCGCAACCTTCCCACCGTCCCAAGCAACCCAAGACGACGCCGACAGATCGCGAATCAATCCTCTCCCGTGGCAGCTGCATCTGGCGACCGGACGATGCAGCTACTCCCTTTTAGACGGTGACACCTCAGTAGAATTCCCCCACGACCGACTCGTAAACGACCGACGTTCTCTCCGTAGATGCGACAATAACCGAGCGCGCGACTCGCCAACACGAGCTTGGCCGCCATCGACTCGATCCCCTTCGCCTATCTCGAGAGAACATGTCTGTAGGAAAGACGTTGGTCTGAGGACAGCTTCAAGATGGTGAACCAAGGGATGATGCCGAATGGCCCTCCCAACGGCATCTTCGTGCAGCCGGACCAGCCTCCACGGCCATTCACACTCCCCGAGGCATTGCCATACTCTCCGCAGACCTCCGTGATCCCATTTACCTCCGGTATGTTGGGCTCAGGGCTCCATGGCTTGAGACTGTCTAGCTGACATCCAAAAGACCTCATTCCAGATCCGACCATTGGCTCCGGTTCATTGGCCGCGAGTGTCTCGCACCTCTTCAGCAGCCAAGAGTACGACAACCTCAACAAAGAGGCGACCGGTCCGAACCAGAATCATGGGTTGAAACACCTGAAATATGCAGTGGATCATGTGCTTCACGATCTGAAGCCGAATCAGCGGACTTATTAGTGAGTACCGGGATGCCAGATACCAGCAGCACGGATACCGTTACTGACCCTCATGGTCCTCGCAGCAAGTTCAAGTCCGTACCCAAGCCGAACCTCAACTCCAATGCGAACCCGACTGGCGGCCATCAAGGCCTAAGTGCTGGACTCTCCCCGGTGGCCAAGATGATGTTCGATAGGGCACCAACATTCATCAAGCCTCCGCCGGGAGCTGCACCGCAGAACGGACAAGTTGTGTTGAATCCTCCGCCGTCGCAACCTCCTCCGACACCAAAGAGCGTTGCACCTCAGCCGAAACATACGTCGGCTCATACAGACACGCATCAAAGGAGCAATTTCAGATTCGAAGTCGCTATTCCTTCCAAGAAATTCGATCCTAGCGCCTATGTCGAAGTTCCTGACCACGCAGCCCCGCAACCTGTTCGCAAATCAAATGAGAGGGAAGTCGCGACCCCGACCAAACCTCTTTCCGCCCAACAAACACCAACGCAGGCTCCCAAGCCATTACCACCAGCACCTGCGCAGTCAACTCCAAAACTCGAGCCCGCCCAAATTGCTCCTGCCGAACCTGCACCTACCGCACAACCACCTCAACCTCAACCCACCCAACCCTCCTTTGCACCCAAACAACTCACTCCGCCAGGAGCGCCCGACGCTCCGAAGCGCCCTGCTATTACGATAGACCTTCCTCATGCACCCGGTTTCAGCAAAGACGAGTACCTTGAGATGGTCGTCCCGGATTCACCAGACGAACCAACGGGTCTATCAATGCGTCGACTAGACGGCGGTTACCAAGACAGAGACGACAAGATCAACAGCAATCTCAACACACGACAGCGAGCTGAGGAAGCATTGCAGGAGTTCGAAAGACTGACTAAGGGAATCTTCGACGCCATTAGAAATGTGCTGGGAAGTGAACCTGGCTATCAGCATATCGCAACGCTGAGCAGCGACAACGAGCCCATCCTCACCGCTTCGATACAGCAGAAGCTGCAAACGTCGGTCCAGAAGATGATTGACCTTGGGAGCTATGGCGACGCCTCCATCGACGAACTTCAACAGATCCAGAAGTTGAGCGAATACGGTCTGTCGCACATGCTCAACCTGGATTTCAAAATCGACGAGTCCTGGGGAGGATCGGAGGTGTCAGACTGGCTGAACCAGCTACCCGATATCGAGATGGGTCTCAAGACTGCGCGTACCTGCCTGCGCATAATGTGCGGCGGCAGAGAAGAAAAGCAGATTTACTCGGAAGAGATCATTCAGAAATGTGTCGACGTATTCAAAGGTGTGGTCGATGGCATCGTCATCCCGATTGTCGAGATGCGTGGTTCCGGCTCCACATCTGCCCTGTTCAAGCTGCTGCAGCCGCACAAAAAGGCGATTGGCACTGTTTTGACGAACTGCCAGAAGCTCTTCGCTTTACTCGCCAAACTCGTCACTTGCATCGATCTGTCAGATACCGCTCTCGGCAGCTTAGAGTTTGCGGCTTCCGGCCTGTTGTTTGTCGACAATGCTTACCTGGACAAGGACTCCGTCGTCGGCACCCAGAAGTTCGACGGTATTCGCCTGGTTGCCATGGACATGCTTTGCCAGATTTTCCTCGCAAAGCCCGATCAGCGCCGCGGTATTTTTGACGATATTCTCACCTCTTTGGAAAAGCTGCCCGTCGGAAAGCAGAGTGCCCGCCAGTTCCGTTTATCGAATGGCTCAAACATTCAACCAGTCTCCGCTTTGATCATGCGTTTGGTGCAAGCAAGTTCTAGCAAGGTGGAAGAGAAGGGCGCACGCAGCCGGATGGCAATGATGGACGATGACGATGATGAGGAGATGCCTCTCGCCGGCAAGCACGACATAAAGGCCACCATCAAGTCCGAAGAAGCTGGAGCCTCCCAACACGAACTCGCACTCGAGGAACTCAAGGCAGTGGCACTGCCCCTGGCCGAAGGCGCGACTCACCATGCTAACTACATTGTCAACTTCATGGTCAACCGTGCCTTGAAGTCTACCAAGTCTGGAGATACGCCCTACCGCAACTTGCTGGACCTTTTCGTCGAGGACTTTACGGAATGTCTCGATTCACCGGACTGGCCTTCTGCGGAACTCATTTTACGACAGCTAACTTTCTACATGATGAAGCTATGGGATGGAGAGAGAACGGCAGCCCCTGCCAAGAACATGGCCCTCGAACTACTTGGGGTCATGAGTGCTGCTATCTCCAAGTTGCGGTCTCATGTTCGAAGAACAGCCAATTCCACCGACAGCAACGGCAGCGAACTGTCCCGCTATCTAGCTGATTTGGCAACATCGGCCTTGGAACAGAAGTCTCGCATCGAACACGACGTCTCCTGGTCAGGCCCTTATCGGGCGACCCTTGAGCATCTTCAGGAGCGCAGCAGCGATGATCCTCATGTGCAGGGCGCCATCTCCTTCATGATCGCCAACTGGGCTTACAGGATCTTTGCGGGATACGACGCAATGCAAGATACAAACGATTCCCTCGACCAAGAATTCGGGCGTCTCGCATTCCGGTTGCGCATGATGATTGAGGACCGCCGATGGCTATCGAACGAGTACACCTTCAAGAATGTCAGCAAGGAACTGGGAAAGCTTTCGTACGAAATCATCTTGCTTCGGACACCGTTCTGTGAGCACTTCCAGGCAATGCTCAACGTGCTACTAAAGGCCATGGCTAGTGACCAGGCCACTGTTCGTAGCAAGAGTCTGAAGAGCATCAACCACCTCCTGGAGACCGATCCTGCCATCCTCGATGGCGATTCCGTCGTTGTCCACCTCATCATCACCTGCGCGGGCGATTCATCCCCTCAGGTACGCGATTCTGCAATTGGTCTCATGGGCAAGTGTATTGGCCTTCGCCCCAGATTGGAAGACAAAATGGCGGAGAGGATCATTGAGAGGTTCATTGATTCCGGCATTGGTGTGCGCAAGAGAGCGATGAAGTTGGCCAAGGACATTTATCTGCGCAACCAGAGCAGAGAGATCCGCAGTGCCATCGCCAACGGCTTGCTCCATCGCGTTCAAGATCCAGACGAGGGCGTGAGAGACCTTGCTCGCCAGATGATAGAAGAAGTCTGGTTCGCTCCGTTCTATCAAGTCGACGACACCGCAACTTACAAGACGTCTCTCACCGACCACGTTGCCTTGATGATTCAAACTGTCAAGTCGGGGAATGTGGGTGCCGTCCTAGACAAGGTGCTCCAGTCTATCCTCGGCGGCCAAAACAAGGCTCATAACGGGCCCTTTGGTGTCAGCATGAAGTTGGTCGAAAAGATGTTCGAGCTCATCGACACTCTTGACTCAGACGATCCCACCATTCCATCCGGACGAGATGCGCTTCAGGTCCTCCAGATCTTCGCAAAAGCAGACGCGAAGCTGTTCACCTTCGAAGAGATTCGACTCTTGAAGCCTCATCTTGCCAGCTTCAGTGGTACAGACGACCTGACTGTCTTCAAGGCCGTAACTGTCATCTATCGCCAAGTTTTACCGCAGCTTTCTGCCAAATATGCGGACTTCCTCCGTGAATTGCGAGAACAGCTACAAAATTCTGTTGGTAGGTTGAACAAAGTCCTCCTGGACGACGTCATTGCCTGCTTGTGGATCATCGCGGAACTTCTGGACAACCGCGATAAGTTGGCCCACTTGGGTGCCTCCAGTCTCCGTGGAGTGGCTAGCATGCGCAACACGGCGATGGACGCCACCAAGCTGCAGAAATTTGGCAGATATTCTATTATCGTGGGAATGGTCGGCAAGCACTGCGACTTGGACTCTGAGATTGCGGTCTTCAAAAAGATCTTCCCCAAGTACTCTGGCACATCCGTCGCGAAGCTCATGGTCGACAATCTAGCGCCTTGGGCCGACGCCTCACAACCCATGGAGGCAAGAAGACATGCTTTGGACGCTATCGGTCTTATCTGTCAGGCGCACCCCAGAAACTACGTCTCGCCGAACGTGTACACCAAGTTCCAGCAGGTGTTCGAGACTAAGATTCCGGCTCTTGAGAGCACCATTCTCCGGTCTTTCAAGGAATTCCTTCTCACTGAAGAGAGACGGTCCGAGGCTGCTAGCGCTGCTGCGGCCGGCGGCCCCGAGGGTGACAAGAAGCGCGAGCTGACTGTCATGGGCGGAACCAGCTTCGACGACGTCGCGAGTGCAACAACTCAGCGTTTCTTGAAGGAGATCACCCGCATCGCCCTAGCAACACAGGACGAGCATGCTTTCCTCGCAGTGGAGGTACTCGGCAGCATCAACCGACAAGGTCTCGTGCACCCAAAGGAGACGGGCGTCACCCTCATCACGCTAGAGACTTCCTCGGTCCAGCGAATTTCAGAAGTTGCCTTCATGGAGCACCGAGCTCTTCACGAAAAACACGAGACAGTCATCGAACGAGAGTATGTGAAGGCGATCCAGGCTGCGTACGAGTATCAACGGGATATTGTCCACGACACGCGCGGCGCTTCCGAGAACCCCTTTCAATCCAAGCTTCATCTCTTGATGGAAGTGCTCAAAGTGAGCAAGACGAAGAACCGGCAAAAGTTCCTAGAGAAACTTGTAGGCCAGGTGGATTTCGACTATTCCAGTCTGGACGTCTCTGGCCAGATGCCGCCTCATGTGGATTTCTCGCGATTTATCATTGAAAACCTTGCCTTCTTCGACTACATCACTGTTGGTGAAGCATTGGTTACTGTCAACACCATGGAGAAGATCTTCTCGTCGACAGGCTCGAGCATGGCTCACGTGATCGAGTCCGAGGTCTTCAACATGCGCATGGACTTGGATCAGCCGGCCAACCTGCAAGCTGATGGTCAGCCGCTGCACCCGCAGCCAACTATTCCAGAGAAAAGGCTACGACAACTCGCGTCGGGCTCCATCATCTTGCTGTGTCTTTGGGAAGCTCGGACGTATCTTCGACGTCTCTACGGTCTCAAGCGTGAGATGAAAGCCAAGCCGGCAGCCAAGGATCTGAGCAAAGCGCCTACCAAAGTGCAGGGTGTCACAGGCGACAAGTTCTGGGAGGAAGTAGCATCACACATCAACGGTCTCTCTTCCCAGGAAGCCATCTTGGCAAAGTGCAAGACGTTTGTCGAGCTGATGAACGTTGATAAGGAGTTCAAGGTTGCTGAAGAGGACGATCTTGACGGCGAAGGCGAAGGAAGCCATAGCGAGGACGAGGAAGAAGGAGCGGCGGCCGATGGAAGAGGTCGAAAGCGCAAGGCCGGCAGCAACCCCGTCGGACGGCCCAAAAAGCGACAGCGCTCTACATCTCGCCCGCGACCCCGAGGACGCCCACGCAAGAACCCAGTCGAGGTGGAAGAAGACGCCGAAGCAGACTTGGACGATATGGACTTCATCTGAGCGTCAGACAGCAGTATTGGTTCGGAGGTGTGTCATTTGCGGCAAGAAACAACTGCGCTATAGAAGAACAGTGGGGGGTTCTACCCTCCGTGTACATGTACATCATCATCTCTGCACACACATCACATAAACGGCATACTGGGGCAAGGAGTCTCTGCATTGAGAAGGGGAAAGACTTGACAGGTTCGAGGCATGTCTTTTTAGTACTTTGGTTTTGCGTATTTTCCCCTCAAAACCAGTGTACTTGAGAGATGGAGAAAGAAAGTATTTGCCTGCAGCAAACGGGGAGCCTACGATGGCTGGAAAAAAAAAGGGGGCGTTTTTGTTTTCTTACTTTATAATGTTACGAGCGGTAAATGAGAAAGCGCGGGAGGCTCTCAAGATTATGGATGGGGATAAAGCTTTTTTCCGTCTCTCCACGTCACCCACCCCGCGCGCAGAGACGGGACGGGCATCTTTTGCTTTTGGAATGATACCTCCTCCTCACTTGCACGAAGTAGCTAGTTTGCGAGGAAAACACGAGCTAGTTGATACATGATGTGCTTGTCGCGGTGAATCATTGTTTGTGTGACTCTAGTGTTCTGGATTCGAAGTTCAGAATTACGTTAACCCCGGTAGGCTGAACCCAGACAGAATCGATCCTCGCACATCCTTGACTTGGCCAGATGAGATGAGAATACAGAAGCACCCAAGACATCGCCAGCATCAGAGACCAGACGTTGCCAGGAAAGTTTCCTATTACTCTGTTTGCAGTCCTAGCTACTATCTACCCTTGAATTGATCACCCATGACGCCTTCCCGTTTGCCCCCCGCTGTGCGTGTAAATGGTTCAGAAACGACAAGAGCATGCGTGCGTGCGTCTAATCCGTTACAACCGGTTCCCCCGCGTACCCGCAAAAGAACGCCAACCTAGGGGCTCGTGGGCCCTCATGTAAACCTTCCCATGCCCATCCACTCGGCCGATGCTGCTGCTGCTGCTGCGCGCAAGCATGTCACGAACACACACTCTCTCAAAGAGCAAAGAAGCTCGCGTCTTCTTGTGCTCCGGGGTATCAATTCAGTACTTTATCGGTTTCTCACTTTCTCTTTCTTACGTAGGAAAAAAATTGGTTTGGTGGTGGTACAGGTTGTGGCAGGCTACTGCTCTGCTATATGTCATTACGTCGTAAACTCACGGGCTGCTGTCTGGCATACCCGTGAGTGTGTTTTAGGCTTGATCGGTGGAGTCGACGGCGTCGAGCCAAATTCGGACGGCCTCGCGGAGCGCACTCTCTCGGTCTCGGTCTGTATGGCTGTTGGAATCCGCGTTCTCGTGATCTCGTTCTTCGATGACGTCGCGGATGATCTCGTCCAAGGCTGACAGGACCACTGTCTTACATTGGTCGCGGGGCACTTCTTGAGATGGTACCGGGATGCGGGTGGTGTGATGCGAGTCGACGGAGGCTGAAGCCTCGCTATTGCTTCGGTCTCGGCGCTTGCTTGTTGATCGAGAAGAGTTCGACGAGCTTTGCTTGCTCACTTCGCTACTCTGAGCAATCACCCTCTCGACTGCTTCGATGAGGACCTCGTCAAGGCTTGCAATAGGTTCCTCGATGAATTCGTCGTCCAGTTGCGTCTCGTAAGGGAGTATGGACGGAGTCATAGGAGCTGCACTGTATGAGCTTGAACCAGCGGAACCCAAGGGGGCTACCCTATCAAGGAATGGTTTCGGTCGGATCAGACGGCGATACCGGATCCGCGTGATTGTGTGCGTGGTCGTGTCAGCAATGAGTGCGCTGCTTACATCGACCCAGCGGTCGGCTGGCTGTTCCATCGAGTAGAACGGCTGTGTGACGAAAGGGGTAGGCTCGGCTCTCATTGACTTCTTGATGTCGTCCATGAGGGTATCTTGGGGAGGAACGGCTTGCAGTATCATGTCCTCGTGGTACCTCTGGAGAAATCCAGCCACGTTCATGGGCGAGTCGCCGTCTATTGTGATCCTCGAAAACTGCTCAAAGCCCTCCAGCCCGCTACCAACTCCGGGGGTGGACAGATAGCCGCTGCTGGACGGTGAGCTGACGGCCGTCTCGAACGAGGTGATGTAGTCCGGGAAGGGAATGTCCACGTCGATGACTCCATCTTCGGCGTTGATCGATGTCTTGACGGGTGACTGGAAATCGCCACTCGGGTCGGGAACTCGCTCGGGAAAGGTGAATCTTGCAGGAATGTCGTCGACGGCTTGTTCGTCGAGTCCACGAGGGGTAATTGGGCCGTTGCCGTTGCCCTCGTTGAGTCGGCCGCGATCTTCCATTCGCCGATAGCCCTCCGTCCTGACTTCTCGAACCATCTCCGAAAGCTTGTCTCGGCGGCCAGGCATAGATTTGGTCGGGGAAGTCGGGTTGCTGCCGTAGGGCATGCTGGGGGTCGTGAGGCCGGTCGAATCCCTCCTCTTCCCATTCCACAACGTGCTGATCACACTGCCCCATCTAGAACCCGACATCCGAGAATCGGTACTCGCAGTGCTGACGTGACCCGAACTTTCTCCACGTTTCAACGTTCGCTTCAGGTCATCTGCGGCCATGCTCCCGCTACTCCCCGGCCGCAGACTCCTCCGCGTTTCGAACCTCTGGGCCGTCGTAAAATGGGGAATGGTGGTCTCTGGAGTAATGGTAGTTGTCGTTGCTGCGCTGCTCTTCCTGCTGACCTGCTCGTTGCCGGGAATAGGAAGGTTGGACCGGATCGACCCTGCGTCCGAGACACGTCTTTCATGTCGACTTTCCATGCTGAGATGTGCCAGTTGGGGCGGAACACCAGAAGCCCGGGTACTTTGGCTGACTGTACGGGAGTGGGAGGCTCGCCTAGGCCCGGTTCGTCGATTGATCTTGCGACGCAACGACTCCTCTCGCAGGATCGGTATGATGAGAGAAGGTGGAGACTGAGAGAACGCCCCGAATGAGGTGGAGGTGCTTGGCCGATGAGGTCGTGTTGACGAGATGTGCTGATGTGACGGCAGGAATGCGGACAGAAGGAAAATCAGCCTCCGCGCGAGCATCTTATCGTTGGCGATTATAATGGTTCGTGCTGGTAGTGACAGATCCTCCTCACCCTTGGCTTTTTGTTGCTGGTGGTGCTTCCGTCGATACCACGCGGGACTCATGGCGTTCAGCCAGTCGGTGTGCGTAGCGAGAAATCCGGTTAGAAGATTGAAGAAGAAAAACCCATGCTCTTTCTCCCCGACCTTTCTCGCCATCCATCTGGCTTCGTCCCTCCAGATGCCCCACCTTCCCTGCGCTGTGATCACTCGCTGAGCGCGGAGGCCTGTAACCACCCGGAGTCTCGCCATATTTGCTTCCTGCGCAATGCTGTCGTCTTGCTGTAAGCAATTGGGCTGCAGAGCAATGTTCTTAGCATTACTTTTGAGAGGCTTGACGAAATGCGGGTCGTCGCGTCTCCCACTCAAGGATGGAGCTCTGCCCACATACGACGAAAACGACGAAGGGTACGGATCAGGAGAGGATAGGTCTGCTTGCTTAAGCAGCGTACCAAGCGTAGATGCGATGAAGCCCTGCAGATGCGTCAAGGTCCGCATGATAATGTCCCAATGTTGGGTGATCGTGTCCATCCTGTCATCGACATCGGTCGAACATGAAGACTCCAGGGAATCGATGGGAAACCCGGACCCAGACAGCGTCCATCCCGAACGCCGAGCCGAGCTCATGGAAGACGGGAAGGAGTCCTGTTCGGTATAAGAGCTGGCGCGAAAAGTGGACCGCATGGTAGAAGGAGGGATTGGTTGAGCGGATGTAGGAGGTAGCTGAATCACCAGTACAACCGCGTACATTGGCGTACGTTTCTGTTTGGGATGTGGCTTCTTCTTCTTGGGTGGGTTTGTGTCGTCTGCAGACTGCGGGAAAGGGAAACCCGTGTTTTGGTCGGAGAAACGACTCAAAGGGGTATCACTCTGTGCATCAGCGTCGTCGCTGGGCATCAGGACAGGAAAAAGCCGGGTGATGAGTATTTTCCTCCTCTCTGGAGGGGTTCTTGAATTTGGTGCAGAGGTAAATGATTGTGGGGGGTGCATGGGCGAGACGTTGTCTGATGTGTATGACTGAGCCAGTCGACTAGACCGCATGCTCGAGCGGCCAATGGAACCGCGGCCATCTCCAAGATACGAGCCCCCATACTCGGGGCGACTATCGGTAGGAACGATATGAACCTTTGTTGAAGTTCCTTTGTAAGACATGAGTTCCGAATTTCCAAAGACGGATGCTGTAAAGGCGTGAATCTCGTCGTTGTACTCGCGTCGAGCCCGCTGGAGGTCTGTCTCAGCTTGAGATTGAGTTCGGCCTTGCATGGAGGACCTGCGATCAAAGGCGCCTTGGCGGGGTTGGGGGCTGTCCGGTTGAATGACCAGAGGCCGCGATGTCTGGTTCAGACTGCTTTTTCGAGGCGAGGTCGGGTTTCTCTGGTAGTCCTGGACGGTGCCGATACCCGATACCGGACGTTCTCCCGTTGACGGCGGCTTTGGGGGGGCGGGATGGCTGTCGTAGAGCAGCTGGGCCGGGAGTGATGCCACAGCATCTTGCATAATGAGGACTCGTACATGGCGGGTGTCGAGGTCGATGTCTCCGTCGTAGTCGAAGGCGCTTGCGATGGATGCTAAGGGAAGAGCGGAGACCATAGAAAGCGGAAAGACCTGTTCGTTTCGATGTTGATACAGGGCCTCGGTGTCGGGAAACAGGAGGTTTCGGGTGTGAATGTCCTCCTGCATGGACTCGAGTGATTGTGGAGAGTCCTTGTAAGCATTGTTGTTGGTTTGTGAAGGGGCAGGAGCGTTTGCCGGGCTCCCAGTGCCCAGGTTGAAGAGCTTCCCCAGCATCTTGGATGAGATGACCGGGAAGTGTGACGATAAGAGAGCTCCAGTCGTTCAGAGGTTGGGGAACGGTGCCATTTTCTCAGCACGGCACGCAGTGGTAATTCTGGCGGAACAGCATTGCTTCTGGCACAAATTCCATGTGATTGAGGGTGAGCAGGGTGAGGAACCGTGATGGTGCAGGGTGAGGCTCAGTGTCGAGGCGGCATATGGTGGCTAGAAGCGGGCTGAGAGCAACAGAGTTGAGGGGTGCACGGAGTTTTGGAGAGCTAGCCGGGCCCAAAGCTTAATCGTCGTCGGAAGGTCGTGGAAGGTTTGCAAAAAGAGCGTTGTTGGCTTGCCGGATCGTATAATACGAGAGTCTCCAAGTTATGTCGTCGACTTTATATGAGGCGCAAACAAGTCAAATTGAGGTGATGTGAAGTGCAGGCTCCGGATCGGACTGCGGGGGATGCGTGCGGTAAAAGGTCGCGAAGGAGTAGATGGCTGGGGTCGTCGCGGGCGAAGGGGCGAGCGCGTCAAATCGGCGGCGAAGGGCGCAAAGGAATGTTGGTGCGAGGGAGCAACGGCGACGCAACAGGACCATGAAAACCGGGAGGTTGTAAAGGTTGACGATAGGCGAAGAAGGGAGGAGTGTAAGAGACACTGGATGTGACGCAGGTGCGAAGGGTGCCAGATGGTCGGGACAAACGCGGCGAATGGCAGTGGCGGATCGAGAGAGACCGGGGTGTGTTGGAGTTGGTCGTCGGTGTTTTTTTTCGCCTTCGTGCCGACTTGCAGACGGTCGAGATGGTTGGAGATCAGTATTGGACAGGTCGCATCTGTCTTGGGCGGAGGAAGTTGGAGTGCAGAGGGGGGCGAATGTTGGTCAAAGTCGAGGAAGACGAAGAGGCGCCTGTGATATTTGGACCGGAGTAGTCTCGGTGGTAGTGGAAAGTCAGAGGTCGGGTCGGGGATCGGTATGAAGTAATGCGATGTGTTGTTTGGAAGGGTCGTCGGAACAGTGCGGTGCGGTAGGGTGCGGTAGGGTGCGGTGGGCGAGTCGAGGTATGTGTACTAAGTAAATGGATGTGCGTGTGCGCGCGATGGGTGTGTAGTAGGGTGGTGTGTCGAAATGGAGGGCGAATTATCCCGTGAGGTATCCGTTACTCTTGTGGACGAATATCCGTAGCTTGGCGGGGACAATCAAGACGGGAGAACCTGGTCAACAGGCAGAAGAAACGAAGGCGTCGGGTTGGGATTTGGTGTTGCGGTGGTCGGGACGTGGACGTGGACGGTGGACCAGGACGAGCGTCGGATGGTTGCTCAAGGCGAGGATGATGGCGGAAGGATTGACATGGACATGGCCCAGAAAGGGTTGGGGGAGCTATGTTGTCAGGGTCAATGGCAATGTTGCGTGTGCGGCGGCCATGGTGGTGGTGTTTTGGAGAGTTGGTGTCTTGGATGGTGGTGGTTGTTTGGAGGGGAAGAACGGGAAAGCAGAAGCAGAGAAGAGAGACAAGAAGCTGCCCGTGGACCGCTGAGAGAAGCTGACCAGTGGCAGTGAAGGTAATTAGTGGGCAGCCCGTAAGTGAGTGCGGAAGTGCCGCAATCGTCGGTAGCCCGCTTGGTGGGAAGAGGTACGTACCTGATGGGTGACGACGGTCGCTGAGGATCCTGTTTCTTTCCTTCTTGGCTGCCGTATCGTGGCTCAGTCAGGCTTGGTCAGCGGGTTTTCATCGCCTTACCTCACCCATCACCAGCCAGGCACTGTCAACTTCCTAGGTCCCCAGGCACTGGACGGTACCTAATAAACGAGCTAACGGGCTAACGGGAATGGCAGCGGCAGGGGCAACGGTAACGGCAGCCACCTCCAAGCTAAGCACCTACCCTCACGGCCTCACCTGCTTCCTTCCTTCAACTCCAAGCTGTAATCGGTCGTGATCAGTCATGGACCCCCGTCCTTTTCTCCGGAATCAAGTCATCAACCGAGCATCAAACATCATTATACATGGAGAGCAGCTCAGCAAAAATGCGGTGAAGACGGCCCTGGTCCATCCTGCCTGTCTTGCCTCGCCCGCTACTGCGCACGCACATTAGCGGCTGCGCGTGCCTGCCGTCTGCCCCCCCAAAAATGGGAATGGGAATGGGAATGGGAATTCGCGGCAGGCGCATTTGACATTCTTTATTTTGTTTTTTATTTTTATTCTTCTTTCCTTCGACAAGACGAAACAGCCTGCCTTGGACTGGGGTATTCCTAGCACCAAAAAGAGTCCCTTAGGTAACACGGAAACTGACTGCCTCCCGCTTAAGTTTTACTCCTCCAGGCGCTTCAAGACCCTGAATTTGGAGCCCGTCTCCAACAATTCGACTCCCCTCGACTTCAAAGCCCGCCTCCAATTCAACTTCAAACCCCGCCATCAACAGCGACAACTGGCGGTGGACAGCTTTATCGACCTTGTCCCTGCCTTTACTTGTTTTCTGGAGGCCAACTGCTCTTTTGCCCCGTGGTAAATTGCATCGAGCATCCCCGGACCCCATCACCAATCATCCAATTCGAATTCGTCTAATTCCATCTTCAGGACCGGACCCTGCGTCTCTTCCCTCCTCACTCCGACCTCACCTCCGATCTGTCTCTCAGCGTTTCTCGCCCTTCCTTCTTCAGGGTTCCATCCACCTCCCATTGCCTCGTCAGCCCTGCCTGACTCCTGGTCCGGGGCTTGCTGGACTCGACTGCGACAGTGCAACCCCCGTCGTCGACCCCGGCGCCAACGTCGTCGTCCGTCCTCCAAGGTTTTCGTAGGGCATCAACGGCAATAACTTCATCGGGCCCCTTTCACGATATCAGACTGAGCCTGGAGCGGCCCTCTTGTCACGTCTCCAGCCCAAGGGCAGCACGAGTCTGTCCCCTCGCAATATCAGGCAAACACCAATCTCGTTTGCGGCAGCGTAGAGACGATCTATTCCTGGATCGCGGCCGGAAACATTGGTCTTTCACGTCTCACAACATATTGCGCACAGCAATCGCCAGCGTCTCATCATCGGAGCCGACCCGACGGACCTGCCCCTGTCTGCCCACACGCCCACGCCCACGTCCACGCCTCCACATCCACAACGCGCCAATCTGAGGCCTCTGTTGGCTCTTGTCCAGCATATCCCTGCGACACGCGCAGACGTTCGACTTTCAGCGCTCCGCAAACCCCCAATTATTACATCAGGAGCTGACAAAGGGTCCTGCCGCCGACTAATGGCTGTCCGTCTGTTGAGAGAGAAAAGCCGCGCTTAGCAACATCTTGAAGGGGCAGCAGTGCGAATCGACATTGAGCATCCACACGATACTGCAAGTGACCTGCTGCTGGTCATCGATATGCTTGCCACAGCGAATGGGCAAATAGGGCCACGCATCTGCATATCGACTCCATGCCGACGACTGTGGCTGGATTCCCGCCCGTGGGGTGTCTCCCCATCACCCCGGTCAGAGACATTCTCCCGCCGCACAATGTCCACCATCTCGATAAAACACCTCGGTGTGAGACCGAAGTCCCCCGGGTCAACTCTCCAACCGACTCAAGCTCTGCCATGTCACCGTCCTTGATCGCCAGGGAGCTCGGGTCCTCCGGCGCAGTGGCACGAACCTCTTGACCGAGGCGACACACATTGTAAGCCTGATCGGCTGGCCTTTGCTTCTTCTGTTGGCCGTTGCTGCCCAGACGTCAAGCTTGCCGTTATCCAGCTTTATCAGGCTATCATGTCTGCGTTCATGCTTCCGGCTTGTTGGGCCGGAAACCAGAATTGGGTTCATCCATGACTAATCCCGGCAGCGTTGAGATTGGCCCAAGTGGTATTCTGCGGTATACAACAACAATTATATCAAATGGAGTCTTTCGTACATACCTTGACTCACACGCCAGATGACGGCCAAACGGTGTACGCAGACTTGCACACGCGCACCACACACACTATGCTGCGTTGCACCGCCACGAAAGTCGTTCATCTAGAGCCTACGAATGGACAACATGGCGCCGTTCACGCGCAAGAGCCAAGTCAAGATGCAGTGCGAGCTGCAGATAAGACACATCCACGTAGGGCAGCTGCAAGCTAGTTATTGCGCCTACCGTGTCTGAAGGCCGCCTCTTTGCCAATGGCGTTGTAGCAGACAGGGTGCAGCACAAGTCGGTTCACCTCAAAATTCTATGCGAAGACGCATCTGAACCACATGCATCATACCCACGTTTTGCCCACACCAGCATCTGAACATGCGAGGCGGACATTGCATCGACAAGCGACCAGGACGAGACTTGCGCCGCCGACCAACAGACACTTCGCCACGTCTCTCCCTCGGGTCTTGATACCCGGCGGCCGGCTACACAGCATTGCTGGAAGCCAAGACAAATGCCCATGTCAATCATGTCGACCCGCCGATCAGGTCGTGGCTTTGGATGCACCTTCCGTGATAGGCACTTGATCAAGCACCCCTGCGCGATCCCTTGCAATCCTCTTTTGCCGGAGGATGGCAATCAACTGCAAGTCGCAACCACCAACTGATTTATCCCCAACACAATTGTCGGCCGGGATAATCCACCCCGGAGTACCTTCGAGCCCGACTCCCAGGCTCCTGGGCGCCTTCGCTGCCCAGTCATGATGCCGTTGCGAGAACGTCCCACCGTTCACCGAGACTCATTCATATCCCACAGGCCGTTTCGTTCTTACCGTGTTTCCTGACAACCAAGCCTCGTTGAAGCTTTCGCCTAAATAGTGCCAGCTTGGTCCGTCTCTGCTTTCTCCAATGTTCGGCGGATTGGGCCTATCTCGCGGAAGCCGGAAGCAGCCACGCGACAAGAACGGGCGCAACTGCGCACGCCCGTTGCAAACCATTCAAGACTTGGAATACGTTGACCGGGCGAGCTGCAAACTTTCTCGGCTCATCACCTCGTATGATTTCACTTCTCATCATCCCGGGGGATATTTTGCCAGCTATTGGCCCCTTGAGCCATCAAAAGGTAGCGGTGAGCCTTGCGCCGGACTCAACGCAAACCCATCTCCGTCCATTCACCATCCCAATTCTCAGACAGGGCCAGCGACTGTGCACACCCGGCGGAACGGCTCCCCGTCGTTGATATCCCAGTGACATCAGCCATGGAAGATCTTCCCTAGTCGAAACTCTCGCATATTGCGCCGCGCGCCTGTTGCTCTATACCAAATACCTCGTTATGCTGCAGCCTCACTGCCAGCTGGCCCGGTAAGTTCGGTTGACATGTCTAGGAACGACACCAGGTTCGTTACTCGTGCAACCGTTGTTGCCACGCCCTCGGCGGACGCCGCCCGTCTTTGCTGCCTCTGATGGTTGAAGCCGTCCCTGGTATTCCCGACGGCTTCTCCGACCATTCCTAATTGGAGACCGCCGTTCATCTTACATGTCGATGCAACCTCTTCTCACCCCGAGCTTTTCCCCCGTCAAGTTCGCGGGCCGGCCCTGCCCGGCTTATGGCAGCAATGCGACGATCTTGCTGAAAGTGGCATGTCGGAAACGAAAGGCTAAGCAAGTCACGGAGTAGTCGATGGAGATGACTGATACGCACGGCAGCTTTTGGTCTGCAGCCAGCTTGGCGCCAGCTGTAACGAAACCCTCGACCTCGGCGGCAACGACGCCTCCCATCACGCAGTAACCGATGGTAACAATTTTGCGAGAGAGCAAGTGGCCAAGGCACACGCACGCACTTTGAGTCACAGCAATACGACGTGTCTTGACGTCACATGCCGGACTTGTGATATCGAGCACATGCGCCTATTCGTTGCCAAATTTTGAGGCCGGGACGTTTGATATGCCAGGTACTGCCGACTGAACTGGAACGGAAGTTCCATTTCTCTCAAACGACTTTGTCTCGTAGCCAACGCCCGATCCCCCCAGCTACAAGTTCAAAACCACTAGTAACTAGCGAGGCCAAGAAGATATCAGTCCGCCTTTCGGAAATGCAGACTTCAGTATGCCCTACATGCATCCACCTCTCGGCAGGTTAACCCCCACGCAGATGGGGGGCGCCCACTACTCCCCGCAGAGAGGGGGACGCTTACCACGGTGTCGGGTCCCTCATTCTTCAATGAAGATAGCATATCATGAGGCGATATCGCGGGGAATGGCGATGACCAATGGTCATGCTGATTTGATCCTCAATAGCCATCCCACGTCGCTGGACAGCGGAGTTGCGCGATGAAGAATAATGGTGTGGCTGCCTTGCCTCTCGTCGATTATGTTGCCGCTTGGCTCAATCATCAGAGCGAGCAAGCATGGGGAGCCAACGGTGATAAATCTTACAACCTCCCGGTAAACGTACAGTAATATCGCCGCGCCTCCTTTGTCATTTCTTCCAATCAACGGTTCAGACAGGCGAGTGGTTCACACCGACACCATCTTCACCCATGAGACGGGCTGTTCTCGTCCCTTTTCGAGGCAGAAGCGACACAAAACTTATGCAGCTTGCCGGTAGTTTGTCTACGCTGGATTTCTTCGGTGAATGACTTGGCCGGCAGTGAGACGGGCGATTGGCAGACGTTGTCTTCGGATTCTCACATCATCCACACAGAAGTCACGGTAACATTCTGGTCACACGTCAGAACAAGCAACGCCAGGCAACCGTCTATTTCCAGCTCCGCTGAGTGGTTAACTCGCGGCAAATGAATATGCGCGTGATATTTCTAGACCTCGCATTGGTTGCGAGAAAGATCACAGTTGATCATCACCAGGGGAAATTCGGAGAATCTCCCCTGTCTTCGTAATCTGCACCTCTCGCAGATCGATCAGAGGTCGCTTCGGAAGTCACGAGTGCCTATCATTCTCGCAGCGGTATCTCACAAAGCTGAGCCCGTACTTCCATCAGCCACGCGCCGCAATCTTGCTTTTCTGCCGAGTCTCCTTCAGCTGATCTCGGGGATCTCTTTTTGGAGTGTTTGGAGGGGCTCCAATGCAACGGCTTGGATCCCGTGTAGCTGCAGATACGCGCGGATGGCTTTCGCTTTCGTCTCGAAACCGCGGAGACTGTCGTTGGCCACTACTACCTGGGCAGTGGCGAGCGTCGTTCTCTGGTCGATGCGCCAAACGCGAAGTTCTGGGATAGCCTGAACCCCCGAAGTCTGTGATCGCTCAGCATCACGGTCATCTCGATCAAAAGGACATAGTATCCATACCTGAGCAGCCTCGGATTTGACATTGTCCAGGTTGATGCCAGGAGGCGCACTCTCCAGCAAGATGTGTCCAGCTCGCTTACATAGAGGCCATGCCGAAAGCATGATGGTCAGCGCGATGAAGAGACTGACTCCAGGGTCGGCGTAGAAGCGGCCTTCGCCGTTGCCCTTCCATATGACAACGGCTGCGACGATCACGCCGGCGTTGTTAATGGCGTCGCCGATGACGTGGATCATGACTCCGAGCATTCCGAGGTCGCGGCCGGTGGGCGCCTTGATGACTGTTTGTTCGGGATCTGGGCATGATTGCCTTGGCTTTTCGACGTCGGCCTCATGTCGCAAGATGATCGCTTGTTGAGGTACGCTACGCACCGAATATGGGGGTTTTGTGAGTTCCTTGCTATCGAAGTTGCCAGTATCGTGGCTGTGGTCATGGTCGTGATGCCCCTCTAAAAGCAACTTAGTTTTGCTTGGGTGAAAAGTAGGGAGGCCGACGCTCTTACCGTGCAGGAAGCTCATTACAAGAACATTCAGCCCAAGACCAACGCAGCCCATGATCAACATGAGAACGGGGTCATTAACCTCTGCAATAGGGTCAGTCTTCCGCATAGTTTCTCTCAAGCCGTAAGCCTACCGCTCAAGTTGATAAATCGTTCAACTGCCTGGAGGAGTATGCTGACTCCCAAGGCAAGCAGGAACACGCCGTTGAAGAAGGCACCCAGGACTTGGGCGCGCTTCCAACCGAACGTCAACGACCGAGGCGCTTCCTTGCGTTCCGAAAGCTGTCATCATTATCGTCAGTTTGGGTACGACGTTTGGGTTTCAGAAACGTACTTACGACGACGGCTAGTAAGGCGACGAGGAATCCGATCAGATCGTTCATCTACGTCCGAGTCAATAATGTTGGCTCTGGCCTCTTGTGGACTTTTTTGAAGGAGTAACGCACGTAATGGAACGCGTCTGCGATGAGGGCCAACGACTTGGTCCGGAACCCGACTACGAGCTCGGCGATGAAGAAGGCGCCGGATATGGCGATCGTGGCGACTAAGCGTTGTTTCTTGGAGATCGCGGGACGTGCCATCTCGGAAGTCGGTTCTTCGTTGATGCCGTTGGCTGTGAGATGAAGCAACGTTCACGGTTCGAGGGTGTCAAGAAGGTTGGCTTTTTGGCATCATGTCTCGGGGTTTTTCTTGAGAAACAGTTTGGTCACGGAGGAGAATCACCTTGATGAGGTTGCGCGATGTACTTCCGTGTTCGGTGATTCTCGTACACGCCGCGGACAGGACGCACGCTGACACGGGTACATGAGACTGGTGATTCGGCTGGGCGCCGACGGGAAGTTGGGAGTTCCGGGGGTGATTCGCGCGACGTGGCATGTTTGCTTGACGGGTGGGACTTAGGATGGCAGGTGGTACGGGAGTCGCGGCTCGGATGGTTGCTTCGAGTCACGGGTCGGCATGTCTAGCATTGTGAATAGCGGGAAAGGCATGAGTGTCACGATACTACTGTTTGGATGATCAGTATTGCTTCTAAGCGGCGTATGTGGTGACGTGAATGGCCTCACCCTCAAGGTCGAAGGGCCAGGCAGGAAGGACCTTGAGAGCCTACGCACTAGAGATGAGTCAAGCTGGACTTCGCATCGTTTCAATTTTCTTTCCAAACCCTCTACAACACACCTCTTTCCTTCCGCTTCAACCACCACCACCACCGATCCTCCCAACTCCACCTCCGCCATGACAACACCACAGAATTCCAACCACGCAGTCATCAGCAATGCCACAAATCCCACCCCGCCCTCACCCCCTTCCACCCCGGGCAAAATCGTCGTCCTAAACGGCTTCCCGGGCACAGGCAAACTCACCATCCTCCAACGCGCCAAAACCCTCCTGCCCCCCGCCACGACCCTCCTCGTGGACAACCACCTACTCATCGACCCCGTCGCGGCCGTCATACCGGAGCGGAGCGCCGAACACCACGCGCTGCGCCGCGCCGTGCGGGCGCCCATCTTCAAAAAACTCGCGGAGCGCGCGCGCGCGGGGTGCGTGGTTCTCATGACGGCGTGTCTGGCCGAGGGGGACGAGACGGACGCGGCGTTTTTGGGGGAGTATGTCGATATGGTGAGGGGGAGCGGGGTGGAGTTGTTCTGGGTGAGTGTGGAATGCGAGCAGACGGTTTTGGAGGAGAGGGTTAAGAGTGCTGGGAGGGGGGAGGGGAGGATGAAGTTGACGGATGTGGGTGTTCTGAGGGAGATGTTGGGGAGGTATAGGCTTATTGAGGCGGGGAGGAGGGGGGATGGAGGGATGAGGGTGGTTGTGAGGACGTTGGATGTGAGCGGGTCTGTGGAGGGTTCTGTCCGCGATCTGATGAGCGTGATCGGTTTTCCGCAGGGTGTTGTCGGTTCGGGATGAAGGCTGGGTTGACTGAGGTGGTTTATATGAGGACGGTTTGCTGAGCTGAAGCGGCGGTATGGTTGCGTCACGGGGGGAGGGTATGACTTGTAACGAACGACTTAGAGGTCTTCAACAGTCGCAGTTATGCAAATAAAAAGCGTATTTTCTTACCTTGACAAGAGTTCTGTCCTGGACACATGAGATGTCTGCCAACTGCCCAGAATGATCGACGATTTTGTGGCTGTGGCTTCAAAATATCTAGGTCATGGCTTTTATCGACAACATACCGGCTTCCTAAACAACATGGTCAAAACCACTAGACGACGATGTGGCTGTATTACCGGGGGTATAAAATATCTATCAGCAGTCCGTGCCGCTAGCTAATACTGAAAACCAACATACGAACACCCAGACCGAGACCCTGGTAAGTCTCACCGAGGTGAAGATGGGATCTAAGACACGGTGAGACTAAGGTACGGGCCTGCAAACATCGAAATTCTGGGGAAGCCGAGAGTAGAAGGCGGTGTGCGCATCCATCAAGCTCGACACCCACAATTCTGCCGTCGCAATCGAGCTATCAACTGCAGTGATGCATCACCGCGACCACAGCTTCCAGCTCAACTGATACCGATAAACCAACAACGCGCATTGTTTTTCTTACGACACAAACAAAGCCATTTCAATCGCGACACCAGACAACCCGAAATGTCACAGCGAACCCACACCACAGGGCCCCCGTGACCGAACCGAATCCACCCTTTCCCGACCCCCCCAAAAGCGATGCCTCCCCCACCGCTACGAAGCGGCGCCTCCACGCGCAAAGGTCCGAACTGGCCCTCCCACCTTCGCCAATTCAGCAGAACCAGTCTCGAACCGCCCTCCGCCGCGTCCTCCGTCGAGTCGCCCCGCTCCCCGGATACCGTCTCCAGCGCCTCCACGATCCGCGGCGACAACTCGAGCACCTCCGTCAAGCAGCGCAGGCTCGAGAGGCGCTGCGTCGTGGGCGTCAACGAGGGGTACTCCCGCGACGAGGTCCTCCTCAGCCCCGAGCTCGTCAAGGGCGATGTGCGACCCGGTAGCCTGGTCGCCATCACCGTCCTGAAGACGGAGGATAATAAGACGGCGACGAAGGATCATGCGAGGACGGGGACCGTCGCCGCCGCCGCGCAGGGTGACGGCGCGCAGGCGCCCGACGGCGCGGCGCTGGGCAAGAGGTACTTCTTCGTCGCCAAGGAGATGTCCAAGGAGCTCAAGAACCGGCTGCCGAACGTGGACATCTACGTCGTCAAGCACATCGCCGACGCCTTCGGCATGAAAAAGGGCACGCAGGTCCTCCTGACGCCCGTCGACGCGGACAGCCCCGCGACGGCGGCCTCGCACGTGGAGCTGAGCTTCAAGGACCAGTACCTCTCGCGGTCCGACATGTGGCGGCTCGCCATCGGGGAGCTGACGGAGCGCACCGTCTACAAGGGCCAGTCGATCCTCTTCATGGGCACCATCAAGGCGCAGGTCACGGCCGTCTTCGTCGACGGGCGCAAGACCCACTCGGCCTTCTTCACGAGGGACACGCGGCCCATCTTTAGGAGCGAGTCGGCCCGCTACGTCCTCTTCATCCAGATGGCGCGCGAGATGTGGGACTTCGACTCCGAGGGCAGCGGCGAGATCCTCTTCAACAAGGTCGTCAACGGCTTCCTCCCCGCCCTGTTCAAGAAGTGGGCCAAGCTCAAGGCGAAGCACCTCGTCAGCATCGTGCTCTTCGCGCGCGTCGAGTACGACACGGGGCTGAGCACCGAGCTGGCGGGGACGGTGCACGGGGACTACTACACCGGCACGCAGATCTCGGGGGAGAAGAGGCCGTACAAGGACTTTTACCGGGTCGTCGTCAGCGAGATGGCGAGCGGGGAGTGGACGACGATCTTGTATCAGTTGAAGAGGGAGTTCAACTTCTTCAGGCGAGACATCAGTTTACATCACCAGAAGGCGGGGAGCGCGTTCGTGCCGCTGGCGGAGGAGGGAAGGGGGGTCGCGAGTAATAGGGTCAAGGCGGAGTCGAGCTTGGCCATGTACGGGAACTTTCTCGAGGCGATCAACCTCGCGAGCAGCCAGTTCTCGCACGACTACGTCGACCGGGATCTGATGCGGACGGGCATTTCGATCGTGGTGATCAGTCCAGGGCCGGGCGTCTTCGAAGTCGAGTACGAGAGTCTGCGGAGGACGACGGAGGCGCTCGTGGGGAACGGTATCGGCATCGATCTGATCTGCGTGCCGAAGATGCCGCTGCACTCCGTGCCGCTCTTTCGCTACCGCAACCCGCAGACCTCGGGTGATTCGCACGGCCTGTCGAGGACGAGGAGCGTGAGGAGCAGGGAGAGCACGCCGAAGCAGCAGGCCACGCCCATTATTGGAAGCTACCAGTCCCTTTCGGAGAGCCTGTCGCCTACCAAGGGCCTCGAGCTTGCGCACCGGATGGAGAGGATCGCGAACCCGCAGGACGAGTGGTCGTATGCGCTCCCTCAGTGGCTCCACGTCTCGTACTGGACCGGGACGAGCGAGGAGGCCTTGTCGTACCAGGGGATCGCGTTGAGTGTGTCCAAGGAGGAGGAGGAGGAGAGGAATGCGAGCGAGGAGTTTGCGATCCGTGCGAGGATGTACGATTTACAGATGAGGAGCGTGCTCGAGACGAACGAGATCGAGACCACGCCGCTGCAGGCTGACCCGCTGTTCCCGGTGACGGCCACCGAGACCAAGAGCTCGCACAAGTTGAGGGCCGGGGGAACGGACGAGGTCGCCGTCATTCCGCCCAAACGGCACCCGGACGGCCTGTATGACCACGTCTACGGGTTTCAGAAGTTCGTGCCGGATCGGCTGGTGAGGCCTGGCGAGAAGAGCCTGTGGAAGCAGCTGCAGGAGTTTGACGAGACGAGGGCGAAGCTGCCCAAGTCGAGACGGCCCATACCGAGTAGGGCTTCCCGAGATCTGGAGGAGACGACGAGGAGGCAGTTGATGGAGGACGCGGGGCTTTTCGGGACGAGTCTTCCTGAGAAGAAGATCGTGCTGAACCAGAGCCTGGCCACCGTTGCTGCGGGGCGGAAGCTGTCGGTCAACATCGGTGACAGCGAGAAGGCGGAGATCGTGGCTGCGGCGAGGAAAGCTGCGCAGCCGGCCTCGACGGCCGCTTCCACGTCGAATTCTGCGACGCCGGACTCGAGCAGTGCCGCGGGCAAGGTGTCGTCCATGAGCTCCCCTTCGAAGCCGCCCAAGTTCATGCGGCAAATTAGTCTTGGGATCCGCGGGTTCGGCGTCGCGGCGCCCAAGGTCGTAGCGGCTGAGGCCAGCTTCGAGACGGTGGGCGCCCTGACGGAGCAGAGTGTCACGAGCCCCACGACGCCGCTGGTCATGTCGACGATGCCGCGGCCGTCGTCGCCGCAGGTCATCAAGCCGGCGATGTCGTCGCTCTCGCCGGGGTTGTTTCGGTCGGACTCGAGGGATACGCTCAAGGATCTGCCCAGCACGCCCAGCATACCCATCAACCCGAGGTCGTCGCGGCGGGGCGAGAGCTCGGGGGCGCGAGAGCATCGCCACGGGTCTGTGCTGCCGTCTTCGTTGGCGAGGAAGGATCTCTTCCGGGAAGATCGCGACCAGAGACACTCGAACGTCTTCAGGGCGGAGGACGACAACCAGAAGATGTTCAACAGCAAGCTGAGGGCCGGCGCTATGCCGGAGCTCCCGTCCACGCTGTCCCCGACGACGGCCATCTCGCCGTGGTTGACGGTGCTGAACCCGTCGAACCCGGACCGGCACAAGGTGGACGACACGGTGCTGTACAGCCGCTGGCAGCACGTGTTCCCGCGGACGTCGGAGATGAAGGTGATGAAGTGGAAGGCGCTGTGCTGCCCGGCCGCGGTGCCGCTCACGACGGAGTACTTCCCGAGCAAGACGCAGTTCGACACCGAGTACCAGCGGCAGCCGTACGTGATCGCGCAGAACGCCGACGACGAGCTGAGCGAGGAGTCCAAGTCGCGCGAGGAGTTCCTGCGGGAGCTGATCAGCCTGCGCTTCTCGCAGGGGTTCCAGGTCGTCATCGGGCCGTCGGTGGCCAGGGCCTTCGGGCAGAGGCTGATCCGCATCGCGGACATCTTCTCGCGGGGCCACGCGATGGAGGACGGCACGAGCATCTTCATGAGCGTCGGCAACGTCATACACCAGCTCTCCTGCGTCAACGGGACCGAGGTCGAGGTCAACATCTACATCCGGAAACCGGCCGAGTCGACGGTCGGCGTCGGCAGCAACGCCAGCTCGGGCCCGCTGTACCGGCCCGCGATCCGCACGCTGATGGACGCGGGGTACCAGACGCAGGAGGTGGACATCTCGACGCCGAAGCCCGAGAGGAACTGGAACTACATTGACTCGTACCTCGCGGGACACCACGACGAGATGACGGAGAACCTGCGGTTCTGGCGCGCCCGGTTCGTGCTCATCCCGATGGTGTCGCGGTCGTCGGCCGTGCCGAGAAACCAGGCCGGCGACAACGCGGAGGAGGTGCGGCTGGAGGGGATCAGGAGGCTGTCGCTGTCGTGGCAGAAGCACCGGTACCTCCCACCCCTGGAGAGGAGGTACCAGACCGTCAACGCGCGGCGCGATCCCAACCCGCTGGACATCGTGTACAAGACGGAGGACCCCTCGGTGGTGATCGCGGCGGAGCTCGACAACCTGCCGCTGGTGGAGGGCATGGAGGGGAACCGCAAGGGACAGCTGATTTCCTCGCGCGAGCGGTTCCGCAAGTCGAACCTGAACATTGGCGCGCTGGCGGAGGCGATCCAGCAGCCCGTCGAGAACGGCGGCGTCAAGCTGCAGAACCGACGGTGGCATCTGCGGTTGCATTATAACTGTTTTATCGGGTCCGACATGACGACGTGGCTCATGGATAACTTTGAGGACCTCGACAGCCGCGAGGAGGCGGAGCAGCTGGGCAAGATGCTCATGGTGGAATCGTACGAACGGTCTGACGACAGGAAGGACCGCGGCGGGCTCTTTGAGCACGTCGAGCGGCGACACCCGTTCAGGGATGGACAGTACTTCTATTCGATCGCGAACGAATACGCAAAGCCCCAACCGGGATGGTTCAACTCGAGAAGAAAAGACCTGTCGGTCCCGTCGACGCCCATGTCGGAGACGATGCCGCGAGACTCCCCACGCCCTGGCATGATCTCGCGCCCCACGTCCATCAACGAGGGCAACTCGCCCAACTCGGGCTCCACCACGCCGACGGCCTCCCTCGTGTTCAACAAGAAGATGCCCAAGGTGGTCCTCAGCAAGGTGATCAAGTACGACGTCGACCACCGCAAGCGCTCGTACCGCCCGGAGCGCATCGACCTGCACTACGACAGGCTGCACAACCCGGACAACTGCTACCACATCCGCATCGACTGGATGAACGTGACGGCCAAGCTGATCGAGGACGTGGTCGAGGGCTGGGCGCGCGAGGCGGCGACCCACGGCCTCCGCCTCGTCGAGGTGCCGATCAAGGAGGCCTGCTCCATCACCGAGGTCAACCCGTTCCGCCGGCCGTACGTGATCCGGCTCGCGGCGCCGCCGCCGCACCAGCAGCCCGTGACGTACTACGAGCCCAACTCGTTCGCGCCGCAGACGGCGCCCGGGAAGCACTTTTACCAAAAGGTCATCATGCGCAAGTTCGATTTTGTCTTGGACATGGAGGCCGCGAGCAACTTTCCCCGGGACGTCGAGGTGAGTTATAGTTGGGGACGGCCCGAGTTCAAGTACTCGCAGTACATCCACCGCTCCGGGGTTCTGCTGGCGGAGATCACGGACGACGGGCACTTTCTGGTGCTCGCGAACCGGCTGTTCAGCAACCGCGCGTCGGCGGCGCGGGACAAGGAGCTGAAGGACATGAGGGAGGCGAGCGGGGCGGGCGGGGGCAACAACGTGGTGGAGAGGGGCGGGCGGATCATCCCGGTGGGGAGCTACACGCCGTTCGGGATCCCGCCGGAGGCGACGCCGATGAACTCGCCGATGGTCAAGCCCGTGTTCTACGCGGGCGGCTCGCCGGCGTTGAGAGGGGCCGACGGGACGGGAAAGAACGTGGGGCGGGAGTCGGCCACGGCGCCGGCGGCCGACCCGGTGCCGATCCTGGAGGAGCTGGAGAGGTTCTGCGGGGACGCGGCGGGGCTGGAGGTGTTTTACCGGGAGACGCTGGAGAGGGGTCCGCCGCAGGCGATGACGACGCCCGGGGCGATGAGGCCGACGACGTTGGAGGCGGTGCCGGAGGCGAGCATCCCGAGCCTGAACATGCCGGCGGGGGTGTTGGGGGATGTGATGGGCGGCGGGGGCGGCGGCGGGCCGGTCATGGAGAGGGGGGTGGGCGGGAGCCCGAGTCCAGGGCCGAGGATGGGGATGATGAGTAGTCCGGCGGACGGGATGAGGTTTTTGAGGAGGGCGAGCGTGCAGGACGGGCTTGGGCTTGGAGGGGGGCCGAGGGGAAGGGAGAGGGAGAGGGAGAGGGAGAGGGAGTGATGAAGGGGTGTAGATGTTGATGTTGTAATTATGTGTGTGACGATATCATGAACATTATGGCCACTTTGTACAAGGTGCGGAATATATTCTGAGTGAACTTTGAAGTACCATGACCTTGAAAATAATTATGAGAGTGAATTAGGTAAACTGTCATGGTTTCTTGAGAGTGTACGACGCCGGTCTACATACATATTCGGACTTACTGGGTCTATGATATCTGATAAACATTGTTTTGGGAATACCTCGTTTCGTCTCAATGAGTAACTAATGAGACCTTCTTTGAGGCCACAGCTATAGATAGATGTTAAAATCCTGTATTTATAAGAACTCGTATTGCTAACATTTTCAACTAGAAGACGTCTACTTCTTTTGCAATCCTTCAAGAGTTGAAATGTAAATATCCTAGTTTTGACACATTTGAATCAAGGCGCTAAAAAAACAATTTGTCGTAGCATATTAAGCGGGATTACCAGCGGAACAAATGATAGAATCAGATACGATAACTGGTTTTTCTGTACAACTAGAAGGACATTCTAAGAACTAACCACACCGGATTTCCATGGAGAAAAGCAGCTAGGAATGTCATTATGGTATCGTTCAATGTAAAACCGATGGCTACGGAAATTCAATCATAAACCCGGCACAAAGATCGCAACGGACTTCGGAGAACAAAATCACGGTCCGCAGACAACGGTTTCTGTCCGGAGACGAAGGCCAGGACTTGTCGTTGGTCGCGTGATCAGAACAACGTCGACGACGCTGAAGAGCTGTGGCTGTGCTGGGTATTTGTTGTCTAGGTCCTTCAGGCGGGGTTCCATTGCCTCGGTGTAAGCCCGCCAAAATCCGCTGCGCCACGATCGAATGGACTTCCGGATCGAGCCCCAGGGATCGGGATGCGGGAGAGATCAAAGCCCCAGTCATCAAAAACACACATTCAAATGATATTCTACTAGCGCAGACATTCAAATCACGGATACTGTGGCGGCATTACGGGCGTCGAATGGAATCAGGTGGGATAAAGCTGAGCGTCCCAGCCACAGCTGGAGCCCGGGTGCCCAGCCTCAGCGGCCGGGCGCGATGGCCTCTCGAGACGGGGTATCACCTAGAAGCTAGACTCGCTTCCCGCGAGGCTTGTTCGAACTCTAACTGCCGGACCAGTTGGAGCGATGAAATCCCAATCGGACGGATCTAACCATTCGAGACCGGCCTTTCTGCAAGCTGGAGCGAGGCGGCGAATTTGAGTTGGGCTTACGGGACGAGAGGCCCCTTTGTCAACGTTAACTCGGGGGTGGTATCCCTGTCGGAGGGTACGGAATACGCCTTATTGCGGCCCTGGGATCCCCCGTTTTCTGCGCTGATGTTTGGATAGAGGGGGAGATAGTCGTATATCGGACTAAAGAGTATGGGTGTGGTGAGCTTTTCCATGCACGGGTGGTAACCTGCGACGGTCTAGCCGTGGGTGGTGAGTTGTGGTGTGGCTGATGTCATTCTGCAGCCTCGATTTGCCGTGTCGTCGAGAATTACCTTCAAGCCACGGGCAGGAATGGAATGGCATGCACACGCGCGCATTTGTTTGGCCGCAGGACCGAAAACCCGGGTTTCTCCAACGGTCTTGTTCGTCTTCTTTTGTTCCACGACGTTGTATGTACTCATTCCTGTTCATCGTCGGACTTTTTGGGGGAAAGGACCGAAAAAAAAAAAAAAAAAAAAAAAAAAAAAAAAAAAAAAAAAAAAGAAAAAACAACCCAAACAATCAGAAAAAAGACGACGGTGCGTGGGCGGGG